GTAATAAATTATGGCGCAAAAATGTTCTCGGTTGAGTTCCATTTTTCTAATGACTTGGTGACACTTAAAAATTCACTGTAGTGAGAACACTGCACGTATCGTTGTGAAACTTTGAATTTAAGTTTACTAAAGAGTGAGGTTAAGATTCAGTACTGACGTTCTATCCGCGCGGCCTACTATGTTTCTATATGCAAAACTTAAAAGACATCCCTCGTATTGGATTGTCAATTCTCATTTTTAACTGTCCGCCATACTTATAGTCAACGCCAAACAAAGTGGCGTGCACGTCATCACGATAAAAATTCCCCGACCTAATGCCTAGGTTTCTATCACAAACAATTGCTCTATTGCAGTTTCATATTAATGTGATATATAAATTGTAAAATGGTCATTACTCTCTTATTATGGTTAATAGTCATATAAACATTGTTATTAAAATATCACATAAGTTGCTTTCTGATAAATTTAGACGCATTATGCGAAATAAAATGTTTTGCAAACGCTCCAATCACTTATCGACATGTAAACGCACTACACCGATTTCGCAGCGTTGACACATTGTCACCTTGAAACTTATTTAAACTGGGAACTGACATTTGTATTAATTTTGACACTGAATCAATTTGTGGCATTTCAAATCTTTATAAATCCTTTGGCCCCGCATACTGTAAATCAACAACTGTTTGTTTCAAAACAAAATTATTCATTTTACGAGTAGATAAAGGCAATTTTGGTATATAAAGATGCCCAAACAGTTAAATAGTCGGTGTAAGGAACTCGTGGCCTCGTTAATGCACTACTTTGAGCAAGAAAGGGACAACAACGGGCCTTTGTTGCCTTTAAATGCTGTTCAAGAGGTAGGTTACTAATAATTATATGTAATGTATATTAATAATAGTGAAATTTTATTTCATTTTTTGTAGCGTGTTGCTGCTGCTTTAAAAATTCGTTTAAGGACAGTTAGTCGTATTTCCGAGGGTGTAAAAGTGATGCAAATTTAGAATCGCCCAAGAAAAAGCGGAGTTATATTAAACGTGTAACCAACACAGCGACATTGGATACAAGTGCCATTCGAGAAGTGATCTATAATATGTATCACAAAAGTAAGATCTTATTATAATAACTTATCAGAAATTTGCATTAATTTGTTAACTAAATTATAATGTCATATTACACATGGTTTCAGAAGAACAAGTTACGATACAAACTTTATGGTCTCGATTAAGAGATAGGGCATTATTTGATGGTAGTGCCACGTCTTTAAGGCGGTTGCTTAGAGATCTTGGATTTAAGTGGCTTAAGGACAATCCGCGACGAGGGCTCATGGAACTACCAAGTATAGCTTTGAAAAGGGTGGAATTTCTAAGGCAATACAATCAAGCCAAGGTTGAGGCCTTATACCAGTTTGTCTTCCTCGATGAAACTTGGATATTTCAAAATGGGACCATAGGTCGCTCTTGGCAAAATGGAAACCAAAAAAGCGTGAAAGCTATTAAAATAGATGGTAAAAGGTATGTACTTTTACACAATTTGCACTATAAAATTTAAAACTAATATATTTTAGATACATTATATTACATGCTGGAAATGAAAATGGGTTTATTGAGGGTAGTGAAGCGATATTTTCTTCGAAAACAAAATTGAGCGATTACCATGGAGAGATGAACCAGGACAATTTTTTGAAATGGTTTCAACATCAGTTATTAGAAAAATTGGAGAGTCCATCTATGATTATACTGGATAACGCCCCTTATCACAGCATGATATTGAACAAAGTGCCCAACAATGCATGGACAAAAAAAAATATCCAAGACTGGTTGACAAATCAAAACATACCATTTTTAAACACAATGTTTAAAACAGAGCTATTGAGTATTGTTGCTCGGTACATAATGCTTCTTAATTATATATATTTTGGTCGACAGTTTATATTTCTTTTGTTTATTCCTATTCTTAAAATAACTGCTTTTTTAGAAACAAACCACCTAAAATATACGTGATTGATGAATTGGCGGAACAACATGGGCACAAAGTTCTTCGTCTGCCTCCTTACCATTGTATATTTAACCCTATTGAGTTAATTTGGGGCATAGCAAAAGGTTACTATAACAGACATATTGGTAGAGATGGTAACAGTGAAAAAGACTGTTTGGATATGTGGAACGAGGCTCTACAAACGGTTACCCCAGACATGTGGAAAAATAGTGTTCGACATACTAAGCAAGAAATTTTTAAATGGTATGAAAGAGAACGAATTTTTGATCGACCAGACATCGAACCTTTAATAATCAACTTTGAGAGTGATGAAGATTCAGATTCAGACAGCGCTGAAGAAAGAAACTCCGACTAACTTTATTGTACAGAAAAAGCATACACCAGTAGCTTACCTAATTTTAGAATGCATTTTTCTGTATGAATTCTGTAAAATAAATACCATGCATAAAATTTGGAGGACCCCATTTTGATTTTTATTCAGTACCTTTAAGCTATCAATTAAATATGGTAGTTTCATAGTGTCATCTGATCAATAATTGTCATACTTAATGATTATGCAAGTACAGATCTATAATTTTATTATACTATTATTTTTGTTCTCATTTGAGGTTAATATTGCTTATAAACCTAGATATGTAAATAATAAATTTTATTATTTTACAAAAAGTTTGGCAACAATGTAAATTTTTCAACACACCCACCTTGATGACGTGCACGCCACTTTGTTTGGCGTTGACTATATATTGAAATGCCAGGTCAAAGTAAGCAAAGAGAACATGAAAATGGTTCAGGGTAAATTACTAACATTTTATTAGTTACCTAAATGCGCAACTTTGCTGTCATAAACGACTTTGTATTGTATTGCTCACCGTTTACGAATTCGAAATGTGCATATATACAGGGTGTCCCATAAGTAATGGAAATAATTCACCAGCAGATTCCTTTCAAAGAAATGTTGAAATTAAGTTAAATTTTCTTAGTCTGAAATTCAAAGGCAACTAAGATACATGGTGATAAACTTTTTGTAATTTTTTCGAATTTTGGCCATAAATTTAGCATTTATTCTTAGTTTTTCACGAAATTTGGCATATGAGGGTTTTTTATATGGCAACTCTAAAAATTAAAAATCTTATAGATGGCGCCATCACGAATATTTTCTGTTCTTTTAAACTCCGTAACTTTTTTATGCTTGGCATAATTTAATTATTTACTTAAAATATGCATTGTGCAATCATGTTTGCTTCAAAATGTACTTTAAAAATCTCGCTATGATTCACCCTTTTCGAGATAGCACTTTGAATTTTTGCCACTAATTCCTCTCTTGTGTTTACCATATTTTATATTTTCTCACCAGTCTAGCAAAGTGCGCAGGAGCACCATTTTGCATAAAAAACATATCTCGGCGCAAATAATAATCAATGAGTGTTGTTTTTTAGAAGTTTAAATATAATTCCCCGGTTAGGTTTGAAGGTAACTCGTATGGCCCCAAAATAATTTACACAATAATTACACCACACCAAATATTAATTTTAAATTCGTTTTGAAAGTGTCTTTCAGTAAAGAGGTTAGGATTTGAAATATCCCATGAATACTTGTTTCTAAATTAAAAATTCCCCTTCGGGTAAAAGTCGTTTCATCCGTAAACATAATTTACAAATAAGGGGTCTTGATTTTGTTGAGCCTGGACACAGAGGGCAAATTCCAGTTCTTGCTGCTTGCCTTACACTTATTTCTGGATCTTCAGCATCCTGGATTAACACTTCTTCTTCTTCTTGATCCACATTATGTCTATTTGGACGTCCAACATACCGCTTTGGCTGCGCATAACGATGACAAGCTCTTAAACAGCTGTTATTTTCTTGGACATATACGCAAACCATAACTCGTATTTCCGAATTAGAAAATAACGCATGTCTAGGCATTTTAAACTAAAGTGATAAATACAGAATGAACACTGGAACTAATACTAAAAGTACGCAATAACAGGTAATAGATTACGACACTAAACGTGTGCGTTTGTATTTTTATAACCTCGCATCAAAGTAACTGACGAGAAAGTAAACCGTGACGGTGATAATGACGTTTATCATTCATCTCATCAGGCACAGTTTACTTAAAAAATATTTTAACTTAGAAAGATGAAATTTCATCTTCAGTGCATTGACAACTTTAAATGTAAATATCTCGAAAATGGTGAATCACAGCGATATTTTTAAAGTATACCTTTTTTAAGCAAACATGATTGCACAATGCATCTTTTAAATAAAAAATTAAATTATATCAAGTGTCAAAAAGTTACGAAGTTTAAAAACACAGAAAATGTTACTGGTGGCGCCCTCTATAAGATAATATGAATGAAGGTCAATTTTTAGACTTGCCATATAAAAAACCCTCATATGCCAAATTTTGTTAAAAACAAAGAATGAATGCCAAATTTATACCCAAAATTCAAAAAAATCACAATAAGTTTATCACCCTGTATCTTGGTTGCCTCTAACTTTCGGACTAAGAAAATTTAACTTAATCTCAATATTTCTTTGAAAGGAATCTGTTGTTAAATTATTTACCATTACTTATGGCACACCCGGTATAAAGCGCTTTTAGCAAAGTCGAATTATAATTCTACGTAGATTTCAACTAAGCATAGAATTTATATTATAAATCTCATGTAATACATATTGGCTAGGCTTGGGGAGAACCCTGCACATGAATAACTTTGTTATAGTTAATTGTTATAAAAATTATCTCATTTAATTTCGTGGCGCTTGAAGAGGAGGCCAGCTCCATCGAAAACGCTAATAAAAAACAATGTGTAAGGTGTCTCAAAGAACTTTGATAAAGTTAACAGGCGATTTACTGAAGGTAGACCAGTTTTTGTACAAGAAAATATTGAAAATCTTGAAAACTATGAGATTTTTGCAAGTCCTTAATTTTCTGGACTTCCTTTCAATAAGTTAACGACACAATTTTCTGAGCATCCCTGTATCATAAATAAAATTGATTACCATAGCTCTGATGTATCGTATAGCTCTCTTCCCCATTTTCCTTGGCTTTTTGAGTGTACAAACAGAAAATTTGCAACAAATTCTTCAACGTAGCGTTGTTTTCCCCGGGTAAAACGTACGATGCCACACTATGTCTCTCAATCACCACAGAAGACAAATCAGTGATGAGCTCATTTAGCTCAACAAATGCTTCGTAGGAATCTTGCAGGGACAAAAAATTGATGTAACTGCTCACTCGTACTGGATCTGTTTCTATCTGAAGTGCTTGTCTGAGGAATTGAGTCACAATTGGTCGAACCAGGAGAAAATGTTTAAACAGTGTTATGTAGCTGGTGATCCATATTGAAGAGTTTTCATTGCAAACTTCGACGTCGTCCGTAGGCGATAAGATTAAGCACAGTCCTTTGGTCGCTTGCGTCCTGCTAGCAGCATGATCTGCAGTCAATCTCCTGCAAAGTATCATATACAGATAAGCTGAACAAAACGAGCCTATCAAAATACATCTGATATGCAGTTTAGCGAGAGTTTTCTTATCGAGAAAGAATTAGTATATCATCGAAATATTATAAATACAAGCCCCTTCCCACTTCAGTTGGCCCAACTATCGAAATCTTAGTTTTTTTCTTATCTAACACAAATAATAAAAATGTAGCAGGGTGTTATAGGTTTAAAATATCAACAATGAATATTTTGATAATATATAGTAGAAAACACCAACTTTATCACTCCCTAATCAAATTTGCAGCATAAAAATAACACACAACCTATTTTCATTTCAATGCAAAATAAGTCTATAACGCATAGGTGGCTGTGAAAAATAAAAGCCATGACAATTGTTTTTATTAATCACAGCTGTCAGAATACGTTTAAAATAGTGTTGGGTAGTTAAGGTTTTCAAAATGGGTAGAGGAAAGGTTATTAGTGAGAAAATTCGGTTACTGATAATTAAATTTTTTTTGCACCCAAAACCAGTTTTTTACAATATCTCCTTTCTGACTGATTTTACGATGAAATTAGCTATTTGGTAAATTAAACTGGAGGAAATTTATGTATCTAGCATTTTTTGTATGATTAACAGTTTCGAAGTAAAGGAGCTGTAGCACTTTTTACCTTTTTAGTAATTCAAAAACCAGATGACGAACCCCTATAAACTTTATATCAGAAAAAAGGTCCGTGAAAAGGAGAATTGAATAGTGTGAAAGTATACTGGGTATTCCGAAGTTTTGAGATATTGTTCATTTTGCGTTAAGGGCCTCCTGGTTAAATTAACAAAAAAAATGAAAAAGTAGGTAGAAATGAAAAAAACATGGGATCAAAATTCAAAGATGAGTGCTTTCACCCCACAGATTGTTCAATATCTCAACAATTTTGTGTGGTAAGGGTCTAACCGAATATGCAATCAAATGTAGGCATTTCCATTTAAAAAAATGTATTTTTTTGTAATCATGTAATTATGAATCACCCTGTATAAATAAGAGTATTTTACAAGTAAGGAGCATACTACTGACAATTTTTGTGTCTAACTTTTTCAGATACCAAACAATAGCTACAGAAGGTAAATAGAGCGTTAGGTTCAAGGACTTATACTATCAATGTTGTGTTCATGATAATATTTTAGATAGCTTATAAAATAATCCTGGTTTGTTTGTTAATGATTTATTTAGCATGATCGCTACAATCCAAATATGATATGAAATTTTTTATATTCAACCAGTGCAATTCTTGTCTTAAAAATTTTATTTTTGTGTACTTCTTAATATTATTCTCATAGCTTTATTTTGCAGGACTTGTAATTTTTGAGAATACAGCTTCATTGGCAGTGAACAAGATAGTTGAACAATGTAAATGCGGTAGAATAATTGTACTATAAACTATTTTGTTGGAATATGTACTAAGACTATGAGAAGGCCCATAAAAGTAATTTGCCTTTTTGGCAATTTTTGAAATAATGTATTCATAGTTATCCTCAAACTTTAGTTTACGATCAATATACGAGTATATACCTAAATATTTAATTGATTCAACATTTTCAAATATACTAAGTGACATATAAATCCGAACACCCAGTTTAAATGGTTTTATTTTAATAAAATTTTGTATAAGTACTTAATGAAGCATAATAAGTAAATGATAAAAATTTCAAAATGATTGCACTGCTTTAAAGCCCTTTGACCTTTAATAATGTGTGGATGCACCCTGATGTACTACGCATTCTCCAACGCGCCTAGGCATGCTTCTGATCAGGTGGTCAATGTCCTCCTGTGGTATCTCATTCCAGGCAACCACCAACTCCTCTCGAAGTGCTTCTAGAGTCTGAGGAGGACGTTGCAAATTGAGCAATCTCCTACCCATCATATCCCACACGTGCTCAATTGGGGATAAGTCGGGAGATCTTGATGGCCATGGTAACAATGTGACATCATTATGTTGAAAGAAGTCTATTGTGACTCTTGCAACATGTGGTCGGGCATTATCGTGTTGGAAAGTTGGATCTGCCAGGGTGTCAAGATAGGGTAAAAGATGGGGTTCTAGAACTTCGTGGATATAACGCTGCGCGTTCATGTTACCTCTGATGAAGATTAAAGGTGACCTGGAACCGTAAGCTATAGCACCCCAAACCATAACTCCAACAGTGTGATGAACATGTCTTTCAACAAAAAACTGTGGATTCCTCCTTTCACCACGTCGCCTTCTAACCCTGGCACGACCATCATCGTGCATGCCTAAACAAAATCGAGAATCGTCACTAAAGACAATACTGTTCCATTCCTGATCCCAGAGTGACCGTTGTCTGCACCACTCAAGGCGATTACGTCGGTGTTCTCGAGTTAAAGGGAGGACCCAGTGTGGCCGGTATGAAAACAAGCCAAAACTTCTCATTCGTCGGTAAACACTTCGCATGCCAATAGGTCTTCCGTGTTCTGCAAACCATTCATTTGCAATGGACCTGGTAGTGGAGAAACGGTCCCTTAAGGCCAATAATCTTAGGCGGCGATCTTCACGGTCTGTTGTTCTACGGCGGCGTCCAGTGCCCCTTGCTCTTTGCGTACGGCCTTCTCGAAGCCATGCCTGACAACACCTAACCACAGTGTCTACACTTCTTTGCACTCTAACTGCAATTGCCCGAAAAGAAAGTCCAGCTTCCCGAAGTCCCACTATACGGCCCCTATCAAACTCACTAAGATGACGAAATCGTACAGGTCTCCGTACTCTAGGCATCGTAACCGATCGTAAAGGATGTCAAGAACCAAAATCCGCCAACGTTGATTCTTTACTGTGGCTGAAATATTCATTTTTAGAGCGTTAGTGAATTAAAAAAAGCAGTATAAAAACCGGAATGTCCAACTGATAAGGCTGAAAATTTTTTCAGTTGTTATTTACAGTAAGATAAATAAATTCACCAACTTTTATTAAAATAAAATCATTTAAACTGGGTGTTCGGATTTATATGTCACTTTGTCTTTTTAAATTTATGTAATTTAAATACACATCCTTTAAATCCGTAGTGATACAATTTTAAAGTAATTTATCCCTGTCAATAGTTTCAAACACCCTTTTCAAGTCCAAAAACACAGTCACTGTATGTTTCCTATTACCCATACATCTCTTCCAGTCCTCTAAAATAATTTGTATTGACGTTTCAGTTGAGTGTTTCTTCCTGAATCCAGATTGAAATTTGGTTAACATTTTATTTCCATGGATAAATTCGACAATCTGTTCGTAAATAATTTCTTCAAAGACCTTTTCAACATCTGGCAGAACATTTATTGGCCGCATAATGGTGTACAACTCAGAAACAGAAGTTATGGTAGAACACTTGAAAATTCGCCATATTTTAAACAAAAGTTTATCAGAATTAATATTCTTGGTCCAATAATATCAAAACATTCATTAAGCACACTTAGACAAAATATCAGTCTTATTTTGATTCGATTTCAATTTTGATATAATCTTGAGACGATTAATGTTTACTGTTCTAAACTCACTGAAATGAACTATTATAATCTGATCTAATGGGACATTGGTTGGGATCCCCGTAAATAATCGATCTTAGAATATCGTTGACACTTTCTATATAGGTATTCATTCGATCTGCTATTGCTTTTTCATTTGTCATTACCCCATGGTTAAACTTCATTTTAGATAATGTATTTTTTCTAATAGGAGACACAATGTTTTTCAACGCTTTCCACATCTGTTTGTTATTATTTTTAATGTCATCAATTTTTCCATGTTCGTACGCCTAAACTACTCATCCTATTTACCGCGAATGGGACCGACGATATTGTAAAAAAACGTTTTTCCAATATAATGGCGCGAGCGGAAAAGACACGAGGTAGCAGAGTGAAAATTTAGAAAAAGCACATCGAAATCTATAACAATGTCAACTTGTTAAAACAACGCCAAAACCTTCCAAGTAAAACTACCAAATGATTGTACGAAATAATTCCGTATTCATCTGGTGGTAATAACTGAGAAGCAACATAGTAAATATCAGCACATTCCCAAGTGCATTACCTAAAGAGGTACTCCAATACTTCGCAGGCAGTTTGTGGATCGCTTCCATTAACTACAGCTTTCAAGTGTTGTAAAACCTGTTGGTGTCTTGTGAGTTTCTCAGCTGGAGCAGTTGATAAAAGGTATTCGCAAAGGCACTGGACGGGTAGATGACCTAACGCTCCTTCCGAGTTGTGAACTAGTTCCGCCAACCATGGCATGTGAGCCGTGCCCCCTTGACGGGACATTATATCCAGAAGGAAGTCGGGACGACGAGAACGGCACAAGAGGTGGCCTAGCCTGAAAAGCATTAATAAAATATCTTACTAGCAGACAGTGGTACTTGTATTAAGCTGGTAACCTCCCTATACTGAAACGTGTGACAAACATATAGGGTGTCTCAGAAATAACACGCCAGAGTGACACGGACGTAGATTGGCTGCAGATCAATCAGATAAAATCATCATGACCTTAGTAAAAGTTTTCTAGTTTTCGAGATATTGCCACCTTTGATTTTTTTCTAAAAAATCATACTTTTTGCTTCTTTTTTGTCTGTTATGGCTATAAAGAACTTCTAGTTTATGTTTTTTCCTGGGCCACCGTTAGTTGAGACAACCGAGTATTCATTCTATTGGAATGCGGGTATGCATAAAAAATTATTGCAGTGTTTCAATGTGAGAACCTTTATTGAAGTTTGACTAATTACTGTTGAAAAAATTTACCAGACTGAATCGGCAAATGATCTTAAAAACTTAGATTTTTTTGCAACATCATCTAACCCATTGTTTCCCAAAGTGGTTTATATCGACCCTTAGGGGTCTATGACAACCTGCAAGGGGTCTACGTCAGCGAAAAAAAATTTGGGCGTCCATGAAATGAATATGGGGGTCCACGATAGTGGATCTCAACACATACACTGATAGTACCTATTTACTTACATCATACTATCTTATAATATCAAAGCATATACATTATTTATAAAAGTACCTATGGAGTAAAAAATGTATTATATATGTTTATAAAATTGTGTAAGTTGTAGGATGTTGGTATTCGCTTTGTGGTCGCAATACATTTTGAACTTGTAAAAACCTGAGAGTCGCAGTCTCAGAGCTTCGCTACCTTGCACTGACTTGTTCAATTCGTCACTTTATAAATACGAATGAGGGACAAATACGTTTATTCGTTTCCTGAATCTTGAAAAGGCTGCTCTTCGCAGGAACTTTGATAACCGACACTAAAGGTGAATCAATATTTCATGTTTTGAAGGATTAATTCATTGAAAAAGCAATTCCTTTATCAAATATAATATCAGTAGCTACAGATGGAGCACCTGCCATGGTTGGACGTTATCGTGGATTTATAAGCTATTTAAAACAAAATGTGTCAGGGGTGTTAGCAATACATTGCGTCATTCATCGACAACATTTAGTTGCTAAAAATTTGAGTGTTAGATTGCATGAATCACTTCATTTAGTCATTGATGCAGTAAACCGAATCAGAAGCAACGCGTTGAATACGGGGTTATTTGCGCAGTTGTGTGAAGAAAATGACGAACACTTTCATCAATTACTTCTTCACACTGAAGTACGCTGGCTGTCGAAAGGCTTATGTTTGACAAGATTTTTTGCACTTTTTGAGACTATTTTAGAATTTCTGGATACTAAAGATAAAATTTTAAAAGAAAATTTAATGAAGAGGAAAACAGATTTAACAGATTTGTTTACAAAATTTAATATGGTTAATTTGCAATTACAAGGCGACAGTTTAAATTTGATTAAAACAAAGTCCATCTTATCAGCGTTTCTTGCCAGAGTTAAACTAATGAAGCAAAATATTGGACGGGTCGAATTTTCTCAGTTCCCCAATTTGTCACAGACAAGCTGTCAGGAAGACGACGTTTCAACTTACGTTCAACAATTAAATGCCCTCTATTCAGATTTTGAATCTAGGTTTGAGGATATTTTGACTATGGTAATACCACCGTGGATAATTAATCCATATGGTGACATAGAAGAAACGAATGTCATAATACAAGAGGAACTGACTGAACTAAGTACAAACGAAGAACTTAAGGTTCAGTTTAAAAACGGATATCAGCAATTCTGGCTGCAAAACAACATACCCGTTACTTATCCCGTATTATGGAATATAGCGAGGAAATTTTTTATTTCCTTTCCATCGTCATACCTAGTGGAAAGGGGGTTCAGCGCTGTTACCAATCTCTTAACGAAAAAAAGAAACAGACTTCAATGACAAAAGTTTTCAGTAAAAAGAACCTACAAATGATAAACTACTTTTGACAGAGCATTAAATAGCTGGTTTTTAAGGTCATTTGTTGACTCAGTCTGGTACATTTTTTTCACAGTAATTAGTAAATATTTTCGCATCGAAACCGAATGTAATACTTTAGTTTTTTTAGCATATCGTGCTAGTATTCAATGAAATGAATATTCAGTTGTCTCAACCAACTATTAATTGTAACCCACAAAAAATATCAGTTAGAAGTTCTTTATAGCCATAACAGGCAAAAAAGGAGCAAAAAGTAGTGATATTTTGAAAAAACTAAAAAGTGAAAAATCTCAAAAACTAGAAAAATTGTGTGCCGAAACTTTTAGGACATACGTTATCAACCATACATTAATGCAAATTTTGATTATAACGATGAAATTAATTAGGTTTGCTATTCAAGAGTTGAATACCTCCTCAAAGCTACATTTACCTAGATGGAACCCTATCTAAAGGTGATGGTACTAAATCTGGTAACTTCAATGAGTATGAGAGTACGAAGTTACAAAATGCTGGTTGGCTACCAAAAAAAACAAAATGTTCTACTTCAGAATCTGGTAAATTTAAAGTTTGCATTCCCCCAAATCAGGTGTATGGGATTTTTATTTGAGAATTATCGAAATTATCGAATCCGAAGTAATGATGATGTTGCTGCAATTATTACCACTAGTACAGACAAACCCAAAATTACTATTGACAAAATACAGTGGCGGGTCCCTCATTTATCCGACATCCTGACTTTGACAAAACTGATAAGAACAAAGTCGATCACAGTCATCTAACCAACATTCTAGTGTTTCTCAATTCAGAAAAGCTTTAACTTTCCAAATAAAAAACATGCTGCCTTGTATGACATGGTCTGAAAAATTCGTCATAATGAATTTGCACTTAACGCACCCATCGCAGATATTCACTGTTCCAAACAGAAGGAAAGCATTCAATCTGGATCGGTTGTTATAGAGAATTGAATTTGAACAAGTAAAAATGTGCCCCCAAACATCTCCGCATATTGTCTTATCCTCCTCGATCGCCTCTTCTATTATAATCCTTTGACAAAGATTCTGAAACAACGTTAAGCTGATATTGTCTACAAAAATGCTCACCTCCCAATTTAATGCTAGTACAAACGACGAGTAGTCAAGGTCGGCACCGATGGTCGGCACCCAAGGCCGTTCCAGATCATACAGGGTGTTCGAAAAATAGACTTGAGACATTTCAGAGGAAGATTTCTGGTTAAAAATGTGAAGAAAAGCTTCTATAAACATGGGTTTTGTTTCACGGCACGTAAAACTGTATCGTCAAACTTAGGCGTTCTGATGAGCCTCTATCTGCATAACAGTTACTAAAGGGTTGTCCAATAGGGACGCAGGAAAGTAAACGTCAATTTGACATAGACGCCATCTTTGTTTTCTGTCACCGACATGTCATTTTGTTAGTTGAATGTTTACCATTGATCGCTATGGAGTCGTATTCGATTGAAGACCGCATTAAAGTTATTCAAGAGCACTACAAAAATGGCGCAAAAATAAAAAACACGTTTCGCGCGCTTCGTAAACATTTCGGTCGCAACAACCGCCCAAACGAAACAACCATCGGTCGTCTGGTGCGTAAATTCGAGGCAACAGGTTCTGTGGCAAATCTGCCAGGCTCTGGCCGGCCAAGGAGCGTTTGCACACCGGAAAATATTGCTGTTGTGAAGGAGAGTGTGAGAGACGATCCGAAACAATCAACAACGCGTCGATCCCAAGAATTGGGCATTTCGAGAACCAGTTTGCTCCGCATTCTCCACAAGGATTTGAATGTATACGCCTACAAGATCCAATTGACGCAAGAGCTGCGTCGGGCCGACCATTTTTCGCGCCGAACGTTCTCAGATTGGCTCCTTGAACACCGCCAAATTGATGCCAATTTTTCATCAAAAATCATGTTCAGCGACGAAGCGCATTTCACTTTGAATGGGACGGTAAACAAGCAAAACTGCCGCATCTGGGCGAACGAAAATCCCCGTGAGTATCAAGAGCAGCCGATGCATCCTCAAAAAGTGACTGTGTGGTGTGCATTGTGGTCAAAAGGCATCATCGGACCTTACTTTTTCGAAAATGCGGCCGGGGACGCCGTTACCGTCAATTCTGAGCGATATCACGTGATGATAGAGGACTATTTTTTGCCGCAACTTGAAGGAATGGATATGGACGATGTTTATTTCTAACAAGACGGTGCAACATGCCACACAACCAACGTCAATATCCATCGATTGCAGTCCTTCTTCGGTGATCGCGTGATTTCGCGCAGAGGAAATGTGCCATGGCCACCAAGATAGTGCGATTTGACTCCCTTGGACTTCTTTTTATGGGGATATTTGAAAAGCAAAGTCTACGTCAACAAACCAGCCACCCTCCAAGAACTCAAAAACAACATCATTGCCGAGATAAATGCCATAGAACCGACCATGTTGCAAAATGTCATTGAAAATTTCGACCATCGCGTGGACGTCTGTAAATCCAGTCGTGGTGAACATTTGGGCGATATTATTTTTCATACATAAATGGTATAAATGAACCTTCAAAATAAAGTACCCAACTTGATTTGAATATCAATCTTTCTTGTTTTAATATGCGTTTACTTTCCTGCGTCCGTTTTGCACAACCCCATATAATTCACATACCTGTGAGTATCGTTCAAAGTCTGCAGTTGTTCGAGTATCGCCTGAGGGGGTCTCCTTGCTTCTCCCGTCGGACTCAGCTCCATCAGTTGTGGCAACAACAAACTGGTGTGCTCCGTTATCTGCATCTTGGTACTAGCAGCTGCTAGATGGGTCTCGAACTCCAGTATTACGTGTTTCTCTAATGTAAGGACCTGAGGCTCTCTTGAAGCATAATCGTCTTCTAGGGAAGTCGGGGGTGGAAACGTGAAGTGACTGAATGCAGCAGAAAGAGTACGGTTATACAATCAGTTTTATCTCTCAGAAATAAAATCAAACTATCAAACACATAAACAAACAAACAACCTACAGTTTTGACAAAAAACTCGAACGCCGTATTTGCCAGTCAAGTTAAATTGGATTGGTTATCGTAAGAGAAAACAATTGTCTATGATTTGTTTTAAAAAAAATAACAGCACATCATTAAATCGGGCAATCATTAATGTCTGTGCTACTACAGTAACAAGTTTGTTTCTTCAATACCGTCAAGATGAAACGATATTTCATTTTTTTTTTCTATTTTTATTTTGAGTGCGGGCTATTTTGGGTTAGAAATAGTATTTTTTGATTTAAATTTATAAATTACTGCGCTTGCCGCCCGTCCCTTTCTGTATGCCGCCCGGTGTCATGAGCAGAAATAAATCAAGATTGGATAAAAGTATAATATAAATGCTTATAACGGGTGATTTTTTAAGAGGTATAGGATTTGATTTAAAAAAAAACACAACAAATTTGAAAAAATGATTAAATCTTTATTTGAGTCGATACAACGGTCGATATAATTTAATGTTTAAAGATTATTTCATGTAAATGTTAGCCGCGGCTACGCTTTAGATGACCCATGCGCAAGGTCCAATTTGGGCACACTCTCTCCAACATATCGGCCGGTATCTCACGAATAAATTCTTCAATATTGGCTTCCAGTGCGTCAATCGTTGCTGGTTTATCCCTGTAGACATTAGCCTTAACATGGCCCCACAAGAAATAGTTCAACGGCGTTAAATCACACGATCTAGACGGCCAAATGACGGGCCCCAAACGTGAGATAAACTGTTCACCGAACTCGCCTCTCAATAGGGCCATTGTTTCGTGTGCGGTGTGGCATGTGGCACCGTCTTGTTGAAACCACATGTCAGCCAAGTCCAGCTCTTCCATTTTGGGCAAAAAAAAGTTTATTATCATCGCACGGTAGCGCTCGCCATTCACAGTTACGTTCCGGCCATTGTCGTCTTTGAAGAAGTACGGCCCGATGATGCCACCGGCCCATAATCCACACCAAACAGTGATTTTTTCGGGATGCATTGGTAGCTCTTGCAATGCTTCTGGCTGGTCTTCACCCCAGATGCGGCAATTTTGCTTGTTAACGTACACATTCAACCAGAAATGAGCTTCGTCGCCGAACACAATTTTTCGATAAAAATGTGGATCTTCCTCCAACTTTGCCAGCGCCCATTCACCAAATTGGAAACGTTGTTGGAGGTCGTGTGGCTTCAATACTTGCACCTGCTGTATCTTATAAGGTTTTACACCCAAATCCTGTCGCAAAATTTTCCACGTAGTGGAGAAACAGAGGCCCAATTGCTGCGAACGGCGGCGAATCGACATTTCACGGTCATCACTAACACTGGCGGATACAGCCGCAATATTTTCTTCAGTCCTCACTCTACCTCTGCGTGTTGGTGGTTTAATGTCCAAAAATATAGACTGGGTTTGAAATTTAGTCACAAGCTTCCGAATAGCACCCTCAGTAGGCCGACCAAATTGCCCATAAATTGGAAGCAGTGCTCGATGCACTCTCTTAACCGAGCATGAATTTTGATAGTAAAATTCAATAATTTGCAAGCGTTGTTCGTTCGTAAGTCGATTCATGGTTAAATTATAGACCAAACTGAACAAGTTTGACTATGACACAAGACACGATTCACGCGTCATCTGTCAAAAACAGTGTTGCCAAAAAGATACTAGCAAAAAAATCACCCGCTACAATGATATTATTGCATATATTATAAGCAAAAGTGAGAGATAAATTCTTGTCAATGATGGCTCGAAAATGATTTTTTTAAACACTTTTTGAAATTTTCAAAATTAAAAGCTTTAGCATCATAGTAGGGAATAGTAGCATTATAAGTAAAATATTTAGTAGAAAATGAAATTCAGTAATGAGGTACTGTTATTGTATCAATTATGCGAATATCTCGTGAGTGCATAGAACCACGCAACTTTAACGTATCTTTCGAAAATGTGGCATTGAGGTAAGTAAAAGCTTAGGAATATATAGTAAATAAAATTTAAGTAGATTAGGAATAGATAATCATCCCCGTTTTATGAACGAGTAGGTAAGGTGGTCATATTTTTTCAAGTTACAGATTAATCTGCAACATTAATTTTAAATTTTCCGCAAGCACTTGACAGATACTGAATCTAAAAAAGGACTCACTAAGAATTTTTTTTAGTTTTGTAATCGAGAATTTGTTTGTTCGAGTATAATTTCCGAAGTACAAAAAACATTTTGTAACTTTGCTCACATGAGGATTAAAATTCAGACATCCATCAAGATATATGCCTAGATTTTTTTACAGTTTCACATACTTTTATAATTTCAACAATTAATCATATAGTCAAATATTTATTAATTTGATTTCTAAATTTTTTAGAAGAGAATATAATTTCTTCTGATTTTTCTGGATTTAATCTAAGATTATGAATTTTTGCACACTTGTCGATAGATCTCAAGCCTTCATTAGCTTGAGCCTCGGCAATTATTATATTGTCAGTATTAAAATTATTGTACAACTCCGAGTCATCCGCAGAAATATACAATAAAAAGAAGTGGCCAAAGAACCGATCCTTGAAGCACTCCCGATGATATTAAAGCCTCAGGAGAAGTGTTCAAATCGATGACAACTCTTTGTGATTTATTTCTTAAAAAGCTATTCATTAGAGCAACTGATGATTCAGAGAAACCATAAAAATTTACATTGGGTTATAAAAAGTGAATGGTTGATGGTGTCAAACGCTTTAGAAAAATCTAAAGGAATTAAGGAAGGAGTTTGATGGCTGTCCCAAGTCCTGGCAATATTGTCAGCTAGATCTAGCAATGCTGCAGCAATAATATATCCCTTCCTAAATTCAGTCGATTTTTTACTGGGGAGCGTTTTTTATATCGAATATTGTGGGTACTGCCAATGCTGCACCTGACTATATGAAAATCAGTTTCCAGGGGGAAATGTTGCATACACTTTCAAAATTTAACAGCGTATCATTGAATTATCTAAGAAAAAAAGTAAACAGTTAGTTTAAAATCAAATAACAACTGTGCCGAAATCACTACTAAAAACGTGCTGAAAAACTGTTTCGAAATTTTGGGATATCCTGTATTAAATTGGATCAATTGTTCACTGAGAAGCAGTTCTTTTCCTGAAAATTTGAAATGCTCTACAATAACACCAGTTCCCAAAATAAAAAATTCTAAAAGATGCAGCGATATGAGACCAGACATTGAAAAATTATTAGAGTCCATAGTGCATGACCAATTAATGCAGTTTATAGAAGAAAACAAAATTTTAGTGGAGGCGCAAGCAGGCTTTCGAAAAAAATATTCCACAAAAACAGCTTTCCAGTTGGTAACTGAGAATTGGAGAAGAGCCATAGACTCAGAAGAAGTTGTCATAGCAGTATTTTTGGATTTGAAGAGGGCATTTTAAACGATTGATAGAGAGAGATATTTTGTTAGGTAAATTGAAGGCATATGGTATAACAGGAAGTGTTTTAGATTGGTTTAGAAATTATTTGTCTAAAAGGATGCAAGTTACAAAAGTTAATGACACTATTTCATCAAAAATTGAAAATACTCGCCGATGACACTATGATTTATATAAGTACTAAAAATATTCAGTCTGGTATCTCTTATATAAATGAAGACTTGAAGCTTGTCTCAAAATGGTTAGCATCTAACAGACTAAAATTAAATTCAAGTAAAACGAAAGCCTTGTTAATCGGAAAAAAAACAATATACTAATGTTCAACTGAATATTGATGGTGAAGATATTGAATTCGTAGAAAATTTTAAATACCTGGGGGTTTTTGTTGACGCTCGATTAATTTTTGATATTCATTATGAAAAAGTTATAAATAAGATTAGTAGTAAAGTGGGATATTTGTCGAGAGTTTCTGGATGTCTGAGTTCATATAGCAGAAAAATTATATATAATACCATCATTCTTCCAAATTTCTTGTACTGTTCGACAATTCTATATTTAGCAAATAATTCCATTTTTGAAAGACTGCAAATTTTACAAAATAAGTGCAAGAGAATAATACTAAATAAAGATAAATATACTCCATTTAGGCAAATGCTTAGCAAATCAAAATGGCTCAATGTAAAAAATTTTATCAAATATCTTGTAATGATATTCATTTATAAAGTAAAAATTAATATATTTCCATCAAGTCTAACTAATTTAACATCATCAAATGTCGACCATCATTTACATAATACCAGAAATAAAGATGACTTCCATTTAATGACCAAAAAGTATAACATATGCTACAAATCTGTATTCCATCAAGGGTTGATTGAATATAATAAATTATACTCTGAGATAAAAGACCAGAAAACTTTGACAAAATTTAAAGTTAAATTGAGAAATCACTTGTTAAATCTACAATTATAGGTTGCCCAGCATTTACATCATACACCATATGGCTTGAATTTACTGGTTCTAAGTTGTTTACAATTGTTCTGTTTATCTAGCCAAATGTGCTAAATAAATCTTTCTACTACTACTACTACAATGGCAGAAATCAAGTCCGGACCACTAGCTTTGTTGATGTTGAGCGACAACAGCACTCGTCTTACAGTTTTATGCCTGAATGTTAGCTCCCGCATAGTGTAGGGAACCCTTTGAATTGACGGCACTTGGGCGTTGGGGGGGACGTCCATGGTGGAGTTGGCAGCAAAAATCTTGGCTAGCACTTCCGCATTGGCCTTTGAGTCGAATACAATCGTTCCATCCTGACACGTAAGTGGTGGGAGACTACTGCGTGAGAAGCTCTTTTCAATCTGCTTGGCCAGCGTCCAGAAAGACCGATTGCCATTGCGCTGCGAAATTATCCTGTGCCTAACTTTTATATCGAGCTGGTTTTTGGCATTGCGAACCACTTCGTGATGTCTGTTTCTGGACTCGACGTCGGCTTGTCTGTTCTCTACAGTGGGGTTTTGTAAGAAGGTTCTGTGTGCCTTGATCTTCTGCAGGCGAACAGTGTCACACGATTTGTTAAACCAGCCGTTGGACCCTGGTTTGGGCACTTTCACTGAGTGAGGGATGTATTCCTCCATTCCGACGTGGATAAATTCGGTTATCGAAGAACAGACAGCCGACGCATCCGCGTCGGTGAAACAGACATCTCTCCAAGGAAAGATAGAGAGGAAGTCTCTGATCCCCTTCCAGTCGGCATGTCCGTAATGCCAAGTTTTACGGCCTGTACGAGTTTCTGCTGTCACAGCGGGTTCTGACCGAAACCTAACCTCCACAACACCGCGGTCTGAGTTACCCAGGGGGTACAGGACAGCAGTGCTGTGCGGTGAAAGAAAAAGTTTATCGAAAATTTAGATGAGCTAAGGGACAGAATAACTAAAGTAGTTGAATATTTGAACATTTGTTGTGAATTTCATAAATACATCTACGAAAAGCGTCTAAGGAGAAATTGAGCTTTGTAGTACTGGGAACTAACAAATAATCATAGGGTGTATATTTTTTTAAAGAGTATAATTTGAAAAGTGCACGATTTTTTTATATTTTTATGATAACTATTATGAATCGGCCTATCCCCCGTTTCCGGCTTGTCGTCGACTTCTTTTACTTTGAGGTCACTAGTGGATATGACAATGATAGTTGTTGGATCTTAGAGCCATCTAATGAATACTTGAATAGAGCGACAAACGCCCCTAAACTGTAATTACTACGATATTTCAAGAAAGAAAAGCAATTATACTTACTTCGTTATACACATCTCCATAAACATCCTCAGCATGGGGTATTTACTCCACGACAAGCTCCCAATAGTAAGAGGATTATGTGCAGCAAGTATGAGTAACATCAACCACGATTTCCAATACAAGTTGCTTATAGCCAACTTTGGCGGAACGTATCTCGGAGGTAATGTAATATTCTCTGGATAGTTGTAGATGCACAGATTGAAAAAGAAATCCACAACATCGAGTTTGTCAATCACCAGCGGCGGAGCGCAGTCTTGTGAAATGTTTGCTGCTCTTTTTATCAGCAAATCGCATATATCTATCACTTCAGGAGCTGATACAGGATGTTCTTTGGACAAACCGATTAGCAAAACTCGTATTAAGGTAGTCTGGAGCAAGGGTACCTCACTCGTCAATCTGGAAAGAAACATTAGCTATAAAGGTCTTTTTATAGAAAAACTATATTGAAACACAAATATTTTGTCCCGGCAGGGAAAGTCAGCTATTGAATCACATGTACCAAACAAAAATAAGTCATCCATCACCAGAAATTTGAATACCTGCATAGCAATTATCTTCTCTGGTAAGAATCCAGACTGAAGAACAGAAGCGTCATTCCGCTTGAAAAAAAGTTGTGAAAACCTGAATATTTAAGGATGTGAATCTATATGAAAAATTAATGTTATTTTGCGGTATAAACTATGGTCCAAAAATGTTTCCTTACACGGTGTGTTGATGTTTTAGGAAAAAAATGGAAATTAATTAATATTTTCAGAACCGCTTCAGATATTTCACCGATATTTAGTACGTAGTGAAAGTTAATAAAGTTGCATATTTTTCAATGCAAACATAATTTTTAGCGTTAACAGTGGCGTGTGTACGGGTAGTGAAATCGATATTTTCAAGAAAAAAATTGTACGCCAATGGTTTTTTGCCAAATAAAAATTCTTTTTGAATTCCCCGTTCAATTTAAAACAAATGATTTCTCTTGAGTTGATTCCCTTCGATGCGCCACTTTTGAGTAAAAAAATAAAAACCGTTCTATTGTCCGAGAAAATTAATGTAATAATTGAAGAATGCAATTTAGCAATAAATATCTATTTCATTATTTAGTTTTTACAATCTTGCTAATAATGGTGAATTATTCAAATGCAGAAATGACGGAAATGCATTGCGTATATGGTCTTGCCGACTTTAATGGTGAGCAAGCCAGACGGATTTATCACCAGAGATATCCAGATCGTGCTTTGCCAGATAGTCGAACCTTTTCTAATATTCATCGTCGTCTTGTTGTCTGGATATAACGCATTAAACAACCGGGCAGTAGCCCATGCAATGCTCCATCTTGGTAATACAGTTTTGTTATTTCTACCCTTTCTTGAATTGAACAAGTCATTGTTCAATATTTATCAGAACTAGGTAGGTAACTTAACAATTTGGAATGAAAAACAAAGATTTTTTATGACATACGACGACACTGACTGATGCTAAATGTTCTTGCTGATATCCATGATTTCTATTTTTTATGTATAAAATTTAATATAAAAGTTACTAAGAACTTCATGGAAAAACTAAACATTAAAAAAATGGGCTTTTCCATTTAAAAATTTAAAGTGTAATCTTATTTTTGGATCAACCTGTGTTGTACGGCTATAAAAATCAAAATTGACGTGTCCAAGCGTTTTCTCCAAAATGTACCAGGGGATTCACAAATGGGGGTGCGACCTTTTCATTGGAGCATCCTGTATACACTTTTAAGGGCTTGATGAATACGAGCCTTCAAAGTAAAAATCAGTAGGTTTAGTCAAAAACCGTATGATATGTAGTTTATTTCATGGACAATGTGTCAATTGAAACATATTACCTGAAAAAGAGGTTCCTTTCATTTTCGCCAGGCCATGAATCGATCTTGTAATAGTGTTCAGCTTGTTCCAAAAATAAGACCTTCCTCAGGGCATATATGAAGTCGGTAGGATTCGGTCTGAAAATACAATAGGTGTAGTTCTCTGATATTTACGCTTGGCCACCAACGCCACATAACTTCTATTACTATTATAATACGAAATAATGGATTAACAAATTAGTTTGCGTACCTGAATAATTTTAATACAGAGTCGTGTAACCATGTGACACATTCTTTCTGTATTTTGCTTACTTGTTGTTGGAACTGCTTCAGGACCGATGCGTCTCTTTTACTCTGACTGGCTGCATCTCTGACCTACAACAAATGCCATAATATTTGTGTTTGTTTAATGCATTGATTCCCAAAGTGGTCTATATCGACCCCTAGGGGTGTATGACAACCTGCAAGGGGTCTACGTCAGCGAAAAACAAAGTGGGGGTCCATGAAATGAATATGGGGGTCCACGATAGTGGATCTCAACACATACACTGATAGTACCTATTTACTTACATCATACTATCTTATAATATCAAAACATATACATTATTTATAAAAGTACCTATGAAGTAAAAAATTTATTATATATGTTTATAAAATTGTGTAAGTTGTAGGATGTTGGTATTCGCTTTGTGGTCGCAATACATTTTGAACTTGTAAAAACCTGAGAGCCGCAGTCTCAGAGCTTCGCTACCTTGCACTGACTTGTTCAATTGGTCACTCTATAAATACGAATGTGGGACAAATACGTTTATTCGTTTCCTGAATCTTGAAATGGAAAGTGCTAAGAAAATATTTAAAAAGTCAGTGTTATTTTGTTTGAGAGTGCTGGAGAAAAGTAAGTACATTATTTTTATTAAATTTTAGTTTTGTACCCGTAGTTAGCAAAGATAGATAAATTACGCCAATCATGACTTTAGTTATTAGTAGTTAAATATTCAATCATGCAAAATTACACGAGTACTCCTCAATAGTTTCTTTTTGAAAGTTTTAGCAATCGGTAATATAATTACAGTGCAATCTCCGTAATTCGAGCTAATTGTTGCAAGAAGATGTTCGAATTATGGAATGTTTTCGGAAAAATCAAAAAATATTTTTAATATACAGCTGCTGGATTTTCTGTCTTATTTAAATAATTTAATTTTGCCCACAGATGACTGATGCCATGTCCGAATCTAAAAAGAAATGTAGACAGTACAGTGTTGATTATTTGAAATTTGGCTTCATTCCATCATTGCCGGACAAACAATCGCCTATGTGCCTTTTATGCAACAAAGTTTTGGGCAATGACGCTATGAAACCATCTAAACTGCAGATCATCTGAGAAGATGTCACCCTGATAAAACAGAGAAAGATTTTAAATACTTTCAAACACTCAAAGATAAATTTCAGAAGAGACCTACACTGGACAGAATGTTCGCTTCGACGTCACAAAGAAATGATGATGGTTTTGCGGGCGTCTTACAAAATCTCGTTACTTATAGCAAAATCCGGAAAACCGCATACTATCGGAGAGAAGTTAATTTTGCCAGCCGTTGAAGAGGTTTTAAAAACTGTTTTACACAAGCCTGCATCTGATATCATTAAAAGAATTCCCTTAAGCAACAATACTGTTGAAAGACGTATTGATGAAATGAGTTCCGATATTGAAAGCTTCTTCTGTAATTATTTGCAAACGACCCATTTCTCTATACAACTGGACGAGTCAACTTTACCTGATAATGCAGCATTATTATTGGCATATGTTCGTTTTATTATGAATCAAGAAATCTACGAAGAACTGCTCTTCGCAAGAACTTTGATAACAGACACTAAAGGTGAATCAATATTTCATGTTTTGAAGGATTACTTCATTGAAAAAGCAATTCCTTTATCAAATATGGTATCTGTAGCTGCAGATGGAGCACCTGCCATAGTTGGACGTTATCGTGGATTTATAAGCTATTTAAAACAAAATGTGTCAGGGGTGTTAGCAATACATTGCGTCATCCATCGACAACATTTAGTTGCTAAAAATTTGAGTGTTAGATTGCATGAATCACTTCATTTAGTCATTGATGCAGTAAACTGATTTCGAAGCAACGCGTTGAATACGCGGTTATTTGCGCAGTTGTGTGAAGAAAATGACGAACACTTTCATCAATAATTACTCCTTCACACTGAAGTAAGCTGGCTGTCGAAAGGCTTATGTTTGACAAGATTTTTTGCACTTTTTGAGACTATTTTAGAATTTCTGGATACTAAAGATAAAATTTTAAAAGAAAATTTAATGAAGAGGAAAACAGACATCGCCTATTTAACAGATTTGTTTACAAAATTTAATATGGTTAATTTGCAATTACAAGGCGACAGTTTAAATTTGATTAAAACAAAGTCCATCTTATCAGCGTTTCTTGCCAGAGTTAAACTAATGAAGCAAAATATTGGTCGGGGCGAATTTTCTCAGTTCCCCAATTTGTCACAGACAAGCTGCCAGGAAGACGACGTTTCAACTTACGTTCAACATTTAAATGCTCTCTATTCAGATTTTGAATCTAGGTTTGAGGATATTTTGACTATGGTAATACCACCGTGGATAATTAATCCATATGGTGACATAGAAGAAACGAATGTCATAATACAAGAGGAACTGACTGAACTAAGTACAAACGAAGAACTTAAGATTCAGTTTAAAAACGGATATCAGCAATTCTGGCTGCAAAACAACATACCCGTTACTTATCCCGTATTATGGAATATAGCGAGGACATTTTTAATTTCCTTTCCATCGTCATACCTAGTGGAAAGGGGGTTCAGCGCTGTTACCAATCTCCTAACGAAAAAAAGAAACAGACTGGACATCATTAGTCGAGGAGATTTAAGATTAACCCTTACAAAATTGACGCCAAATGTTGATAATTTATTATTAAAGCATCAGGTTCATCCTTCTCACTAAAAATATTGACTTATGGCTTATGTTATTTTATTTATAGTTTATTTTATGTTTATTGGTGTCTAACCAATAAATGTCCGCATTTCAAGAATAGGTACACTAAAATTCGTTAATTTTTTGCCTATTTTTAGATAACTTAAACGTATAAGAAGCGGAATTTGATCAAACTAACAGTGAAATTATTGTAAAACATACGTTTATGTTATAATTAATAAACGAACTCGCTTATTGTACTATTTTAAGTAAAAAACTTTTTTTATTACTTTTCACTTTTTTTTTATTTTATCCCTCTTATTTTTTTTCTTCAATGCGGGCACTTATTGGTCAGACACCTGTTTATTTAATGTTACGTATATTTTACATAACAGATACAAAATTTTGATTTTGAGTAGTTTTAATTTAAATTCAATTAATAAATGTATAAATTAACATGTGTTTTTACTTTAAGTTTTTAACACTAAACTTCACTACAGTTAGAAATTTACAGAAAATCAATATCAGGTAAGTAGGGGGTCTACCCAACACGGAAAAACATGGCAAGGGGTCTACGACACAAAAAAATTTGGGGAACTCTGGTTTAATATTTAAAATTCGGCCCCAACCATTAGGATCTTGGAGATAGTAAAAGTTATGTGGTGACCGTCTTTGACGGTGCATTGCTGGAGGCGTTCTTGACAGTTTGCGTAGGCTCTCTCCACCATCGTTATTCTCAACTTGGGCGACTTTCACGCGAACTGCCTCCTTCAACTCGTCCAGAGTTTCGGGCTTGTGCTCGTAGAAAGGAGCCTTGAGGTGACCTATACGAAAAAATGGCAGATGGATAAATCTGGGGACCGAGGAGGCCAATGAACATCACCAAATCTGGAAATAAGGCAACCAAGAGAGAGCGAATAACGTTAATCGTTGCTCTGTTGGAACCACCCACGTCGGAATGGAACACTTTGTCGTCGTGATGCAAGTTTGCGATACAGCGCACCAAACTGTCATTTTTGGGGTGTGCAGCGGCCTTTCATGTAAGTGTCATGGATTTTCATTAGCCCAATAACGGCCATTGTGCTGGTTAACCATGCCATTACGAAGAAAGTGAGCTTCATCACTCATGAACAAAATAAGGTCCTCATTTTGCTCGATAAGTGCTTCCATCTCACGTGCGAAGTTCATTCGTTGTGCGTAATCTCCAGGCTGTAATTGTTGCATAATGGCGAATTTAGGGATGAAAGTGGAATTCCATATGCAAAAATCGCCTTATCAAACGATCACTGAGGCGAAGTTCAGCAGCATGTTGCCGAGCAGATCAAGCCGGACTGCGAAGAACGGCTTGTCGACATTTTCAGGGATTCGAACCGTTCGTGGAGCTCCTGGTGGTCTTTTGTTGATCAGTATACCACATGTGCGACGTCACTGAACCCAAGGAAGGATGGCGTTTCGAGCAGAAACAGCTCGATTCCGATGAATATTGAAGTGGCGACGAAACTCACGCGGTACAGCCGTGATAGACTGTTGTACGCGAAAACGCGGAGCTCAATCGTCCACTGCTCCATAATGTCTACTTTTAAAAAGGAACGCCCGAGTCGAACGGCACTCTCCCCACCACTCTCGCCCGAATAGACCGAGAGTACTAGCCATTTCAAAAACATCCGCCCTTTGTACCGGACACTATATTTTTGCGTAAGGTGAATAGGGTTTATAATTCTGATTTCAAAAACGTATAATATGCCACACATTAATATTATAAAACTATGATTATTTAAAGAAAAAACAAAATTTCCTAAGAAGACCTTGATTATCGAATATTCATTTGTTTCATAATATCAGCCAAGCATTTATTTCTTCAGTTAATGTACATGGTCGCCAACTAAGAATGCGAGGTACTGTATCTGGGAATCTATCCATTCTAGAGGCAAAAACAGTAATTACTACAACGGCCAAGAGAAAGACCTGCAATCTTGAATCTAAGAAAGTGATGTTTCTGTGGATTCCGCAACATTAACCTAATTAGAAAATGTGTGACCTTTAAAGTCGATGATAATGTAAACTTTTTTGTACGACAATTTTTGCTGTATCTCTAAAAATGAGGTGGTGGGGGGTATTCAAAGGTTTCCGTAAAAAACACACTGTATCTTCGAAACGGATGAGCCATTTTAACAAACTTAGGCTAGTTGAAAAGAGCTATTCTTGGCCTACAAATGTTGTAATATTTGAAGTTTTGTTAGTTTCACATGTGACTGCTAGAGGGTTTTTTTAACAGAAATTGTTAATTTTCTCAAAGAAATTAAATGTATTGGTATGATCGTTTTTATGAAAAAGTAGCTAAATGATGCCTAAATAAGCTCGCGAAAACCGCATCTCCATATTTTGTTCCAAACCTAACATTTAGGCCAAAGCTTTTATATGGAATTCCCTTTAATTTTGTTTTAACTAAATTTTCTGAAATTTCTTTTTATTACTATAACTTGAATCCATTTCAAGTGAGACCAGACACAACAACCAGCACGCGTCGCTGGCATGATGGTCGTAGACACAAGAACCGAGCAGGGTCGGACTCAAAACTATGGAAATATTAAGGTGATATTTCAGAACTAAATATTTGAAAAAGAGACATCAGTAAATAATAACACAACACTACTGTCACAGAGTCAATAGAGGTGATTGAAAGTTAAGGGGGGCACAAAAAGTAATTATACATATGTGTTTGACAACATCAATATTTTTCACTTTCACTAGAAGAGCTGTCATCATAGATGTTGATAATTAGCGGTTCAATATGCCTTTCAATTATGTTGTCTAGCTCCCACACTGCAGCCTCCACTTTCTCCTGAACATGCTTCACACATTTTAATCATTTTTCTGGTGTGATTCTCTGCAACGCAAGGTTGAACAGCTCTTTCATGTCGGAAAACTTGAATGTTGTGTTGTGTTCAGCAACAAAATTCTTTATATCTGCCCATATGAGCTCAATGAAGTTGAGCTCACAGTGGTAAGGAGGCAAACGAAGTACCATTTTATTGTGCGCTTTTGCCATCTCGTCCACTATATATTTATCATATTTTGCTCTGTGTTGTTTCACAAGATCTAGAAGTTGTAATTTCAACATAAACGTATCAAAAGGTATATTTTTTGCACGTAGCCAGTCCTGTATCTCAGATTTCTTAAAAGATGAATTTGGAATTTTTTCTAATTTCCGAGAATGATACGGAGCATTATCCAGGACCACCACAGAATTATCTTTAAGACGTGGTAAAATGCCTAAAAACCAGTTTTCGAATGCTTCACCATTCATCTATTCGTGGTAGTCAGTGTTTTTTTTTTTGATTCAAAACACCATAGTCCTTCCTTCACGAAGCCATCTACACTCCCGATGTGGCAAATAATGAGCCTTTTTCCTTTGCCTATAAAGATAAAACTTGTTAAATACGGATGTACATTATATGTCTTTCACAAGAGTACTGAGGCCACGGAGATAGGGACACATTTCTGTATTTTATATACGATGCTATATTGTTTCTCATGATAGCGGGATGCATGCGGTGAGATATATCGGACACTTCAACCAATGCATCATTTAATCTGTTGATGAATCTGGTTAGCTTAAAAAACAAAAAGAAACAGGCAACATCAATTAAAAAAATTATCAAGTGTGACAAACTTATCGAAAAATTTACAAATCAACGCAATGTCTGACGTTGTTAATTAACGTGTTACATTCCGTGACGGACGAGGTATGTTGTCTCTGCAACGCTCGCATTGCTGTAAAAAATCTTGTCATCGATACCATAAGAATTCCAACGTAGAATACATTGATTTCCAGAGTGAACATCCCCTCGTTTTTTCTAGATATCTGATAACGTGTAATGCCTCATTTAAATCACTTTGGCTATGAAAAATTATCTAATAACTATTGTTGGATTTTATAAAATGGAATGTCTGCATTACCTGTAGGGTTTTTAAGCTCAGTTGAAAGCCCATCTAAAAACGCTCTTCTTGCTGACGTTACTGTTTGGTCAACACAAACTTTTGATTTTGTATGGCCAGCATTTATCCACGTCTCGTCCAGGAAGTAAATTCTACGGTTTTGGCTCCTGTATGTTTTTATTTTTGTCAAATACTCTCTCCTCCATAGTATAATTTCATCTCTATCCATCAATGAAGTTGAGTTCCTTTAATAGCCTGTAGGACGTCGTTTTACTAAAATTCGGCAAATCTGAGTCTTCATTCACTACTTTCAAAATCTTATCAATTGTAGGAATTTCATTCTGGAAAAAGAATTGATGAACCTTCCTTCTGATCGCATGTCTGTCAGCATCATCTATTTCTTTAATTTGGCTTTTACGGTTCTGATTCGTTTTAGGTTCAGCAAATGCATTCCGTAATTTATATTCTTCGAGTACTCTAAATACCGATGCACGAGAAACTCCAACTTTATTCGCCACCCTCTGCACAACATCGTTGACGCTGAGCTCAGGTTTTTCCTCCGTTTCACATTTGTAAACATTTAAAATAATTTCTTTCACTTCGATGCTCAAATGGTTTTGTCTTGATCGTTTCCTGGGTGGACTCAATGTAGTTCTCCCTTCATCAGCTGTGTCGGTAGAAGACATGGTCAAAAAACACCAGATATAACAGAACTTATAACAGCGATGCACTCGACGCCACGCCACGGCCTGATTACAACTCTGGTTTTTGTAGACATCAACGCGGCGCAACGGCGGGTTTTGTATTGCTACAGTCTAACTAGGTCTTAAAAAATGTTCGAAACTGCATGTTTTCCAAATTCATGGAGTTTTATATTGGAGCCACTTCAGGACATTGTATTTAACAAAAGCATCAATATGAGGGGCGGAAAGTTTAAAAAAAGAAAAATAAAAGCTACGAAATGAAACTATTAGTTGAAAAAGCAAGCGCTTCAAACTACAACTTCAAACCGTAAAATGCCTGAACTATAATGAGACCCTCTGCGGGAACATCGATCACGCGCTGATCACGCTTCGAGTTTGCGATGTTGTGGTCTCACTTGGGCTGAATTTTAGTATAAGTTGTAGCCCTAAAAAGGACCGATTTAAAAAAAGGTTTTTAATGCCGACGTAAATGCTCGAAATGCTGACCAGCACGCTGCATGCATTCCTGAAGCCTCTCATGGGTAGACAAAAGTGCAGCTTCAATTTCTGCTTTCGGTGTTACGTATTGCATTACGAATACGGTTTAAACAAGATATCGAGATGCGGTTTTCGCGAACTTGTTTAGACATCACTTAGCTACTTTTTCATAAAAAAATCATACCAATGCATTTAATTAACCATTTCTATCGGAAAGTCGAAAAAAGCCCTATAGCGGCTACATGTGAAATTAACAAAACTTGAAATATTATAGCATTTGTAGCCAAAGAATGGCTATTTTCAACTAGCGCAATTTTGTTAAGACCGGTTCAGCCGTTTCGAAGATATAGGGTGTTTTTTACGAAAACCTTTGAATGCCCCTCAGCACTTTATTCTTAGAGGCGCAGCAAAAATTGTTAGATAAAGAAGTTTCATATTACCCTCGAATTTAAAGATCAGGTATCTTTTGTTAGGTTAATATAGCGTAATTCACTCTTTTAGATTCAAGATTGAAATTACACCCAATAGCGACCATGTCAGAAACTTGAAGATATTTCCCAGGTTTTTCTCTTGGCCGTTTTAGTAATAACTCGCACTCTGTACAGCAATATCGAAAATGTCGACATGATTTTAATTAATGGACAGTATCTTCAAAACGCTACCGCAGCTTCGCGAGTGTAGGCAGATCGCTTTCCTAGACGTTATCATTCGGGGCCGCATAGATTTGTTTAGCTGGTGTACAGTGATAGGGTTATTTGCAGTCGTTTGCAGGAATATCAAGGCGGGCACAGTGGACCTAGGCAACCCCGCGTGGTGCAAACTGAGGAAGGTTTATTGAACCTTGTAGAAAAAATCCTTCAACAAGCACTAATAATAAATGACTTTTATTTCAGGAACAGTTTAGCTAGAAGCTATTCTTCCACTTTACCCTTAAAAATATAGAATATTGTAACCAATTTTAGCAGAATATTGTTCCAAAATTTAAACAACAATTACAAATTGAATATAACGTACACAGGAGTGTACAAATAAACTATAAACGATTTACATAATAGTCAGAAATATGGCTGAACTATATACTTTGGGTTTCAGATTTGTTTAATTTGCTTAATTATTCAAAAATGAAGGAATCGAAGTATGTAGGAGTTTGTGAACATAGCGTAATAAATGAAATTTTTTCTAGACATTTAGCTGAAACTGAATTTAGAAATGGATAGTATACTAAATCACTTTACGTAATTTTTGATATTAAAGATTCACATAAACTTTTCCTGGATCTAAAATCAAGAATTTCTTTATTTAAGTTCAGATGCAGTAAAACTGTAAAACATAGTTACATTATTTACATGAGAAATAAATTTGAGATTATTATCTATAAACAAACCTAAGTTTTTAACTGATTCTTCTATCTGAATAGTATAGCCGTTTAGAGTAATGTTCAAATTATTTTTAATAAGGAATCTTAGATTTTTAGGAGGAAAAATAACTTTGGATTTGGAGGGATTCAGCCCGAAACTACTTTCTGTTGCATAATTTTCAATAGAATTTAGGTCCTCTATTAATTGAGCTTCCGAAATTTCTTAATTTTCATGGTTGAAGTTATGATATAATTGTGAGTCGTCCGTAAAAAACTGAATACTACAAAATTTCCACAACCCCGTTCACACCTGCTATATACAAAATAAAGAGAACTGATCCTTGAAGCACTCCTGTGGAAATCAGACGTTCTGTAGAATATTCCGAATCAAAGACTACCTAGCAAATGCTACGCTTTTGTACAAGCTGAAGATTCTGTGGTTGTTGCATCAAAATGAAAATAATCCGGAGTTTGAGTTGAAGTCCATATTAGTCATGGTACTTTTTTCATTTATTTTTTCTTTTGATTTTTGTGCTACTGTTTCACCACACATTAGCTTTGCTATTTCAAGCTTAGTTGTTTCTAAAAAAGAATGTCCCAACATTGAGGACACACTATAGTTTCTATGATACTTACCTGTGGGCTGACGTATAGAAGTTGACAAACACATACTAAGTCCACAATGGATAGCAATATTCTTTCCTTGAACTCGTGCTCCTGAACGCTAGTGGCAAAATCTTTTCTTTCTCTCAACAGCGAACGCACTATTGCAACAAGGTTTAGCTCGTGGCGTAGCACCCGGTTGATTTCTTTCAAGAGAGCTCTTAGAGAACGGAGATAATCGTCTTTGTTCAGCAGCAACTCCTATAATACACAGAGAAAATGATATATACCAAGTGACATATAAAATGCAACACCCAGAATTATATATTGAATTTCGATAAAAACTTGTAAGCATATTTGCTATCATGGAAGTATACGCTGATAAAATGTTGAAGGTATTCCGAGCCGTACTTTTTTGTAAAGTCTTTTTCTGTCATATCAGGATCCGCACGAGATGAACATATTTACTTAATATTTAGTAATTTTCAATTTCACTCAACTTTCCGGATTTTCTTTTAGAGAAATCGCTAATCGGGTGAATCGAAACGAAGCTACTGTAATGAGATGTTGTCGAGCGAGGTTCCAAGAAGGCCGAAATCGAAGAGTTAGAGTTACTGGACAAAAACAGACTACAGAGCGACATGATCGTTATTTGAGGCAGCTAGCACTTAGAGATCGATTTTCCACAACAAGGGCAGTTTGATGGTTTGATGCTGTCGTAAGGGCAATAACAATGAGGACAGTTTATCGCCGAATAAGGGCTTTTGCAATGTTTTCATACCGTTCCCATCTTGTACTACCTCTGACCCACAGCATCGTCGGCAACGATTTGTATGGAGTAGGGAGAGACTTTAATTGAATTTGGAATAGAACTCAATCGTGTTCAGCAATGAGTCCAGATTATGTTTAGGCAATCATTATGGCCGTGCAAGAGTAAGGAGGAGAGTTGGTGAACGATGGAAGGTCCAATATTCCATAAAATGGTATATTCATCGCACTGTGGGTGTTATGGTATGGGGTGCCATCGCTTACAGCAGCAGGTCACGATTAGTGTTCATTCAAGGTAGCATGACTGCCCAGCACTATATCCACAAGTTTTACAACCACATCTGCTTCCCTTTTTTGAAACATTATATAAGGTACAGTACCACTGACTACTGAAAAAATATTGACTTATCTATTTACATTCCGATTTTTGCAGACATCTCGGAAATTTGCCATGTTGCATGTTCCTCAAAGTGAATAGTCTATAGTTGGTGCACTCACATTATCTATTAATAAATTAACATTCATGTTCTTTTACTAATACACACGGTGGCTGAACTATATTTTAGCGCATATCGCAAATATTACATTTCTTATTTTAAAATGAAAGATTATGTCACTTGCACGAAAATATCATTTTTTCTTTAAGGAACCCTCTGCTTGCTATTTTATAGAAATTCAAAGTTGCATTTTGTGTGGTAATACTAAGGTATAGAATACTGCTTTATACGCTGTTTTTTTCTTGTTTACACAAAATATTGCTAAAAATTATATGAATATAACATACAATGTAAATTACTGTGATACTATTTATCGCAATAATGCAATTTTGCATTATTTTAATGATGAAAATAGTTCATTGTTAAGTAGTAATTTCTTTTATTTTAGATAAATATTCCCATCAATACACTACCATACACTATCCTCTCTCCATCTAGTTGCGATGTTGCCAAAAGGTGGATAGTTATATACCCTAATTTGGTTTGTCAAATTCTTACTTATATACTAGCTCAAAAATGTGCCTTTGGCACAGAATTGACAGTAAAATGCGATTTGGAGGTGTGGCCGGCAGGTTTTACTGTACTAAATCCACTTCGTGCCCTACGATAGAATTAGCTAGACACTTTTTTGAAGAATGCCTTATGCCCTTCACAAAAGTACTTCGGTTATTGTTTTCACTAAATATTGAAAACATAACAAAGAACATTGCAAGTTTTTTGATGATTTGATGAAATGATGGTTGACGTTTAATTAACTATAATATGTTGGGTGGACCTAGCGAGGTGGTCCAAATCGACGAATCGAAGTTTGGTTTTTTATATGCAATATCCGCTGGTACTTTTTGTATTTTCTATGTCACGCGAGCAGCTGCTGCATTTTCCACTGTTTAGACACATACTGTTCAAAATTTCATCTAGTTTTCGGTAAATATTGGGTCAACTTCTCATAAAACAAGCCATTTACAATAAATTGAGACTTTTATTTTGCAAATAACCTCATTTTTTATCACGTATTTCTCCCCAAAAAGGTACAACTTGACAACAATGGACATCATTTATCTTATCTGTCAAGAAATGAACGTTATAAAATGGCCATTCAGAATTGTTTGTACTTTCAAATATTTCTTATAAACGGAAAAGCTTCGATCTCATTGAAAATACGCGAAAAAAAAATGGTTGAGAAATTTCAAGAAGACTGAAAAATCACAACACAACACCTCTACATAGTTTACCAAGTAAATACCATCATTTACGTATGTATTTTTTACTGTTATTTTAGCTAATAAGCTAATGTGTTAAATAACACGGCTGATTTTGAACCTTTTTTTTGCAAAAAACAACGTGTATCTTATATTCTTATAATTTGAAGCATCATTTTGTACAAAAAGCAAAAAAAAGCGTATAAAACAGTATTCCATTCTAGAGTATTACCACCAAAAATCCAATTTTGAAGTTCTATAAAATAACAAGCAAAGAAAAAATGATATTTTCGTGCAAGTTACATCCTAATCTTTCATTTTAAAGTAAGAAATGAAGTATTTGCAATATGCGCTAAAGGACCAACGAAAAGATCGCAGCCCCATTGGTGACTCTGCTGATATATTTTGGGAAAAACGCTCGGACACGTCAATTTTGATTTCTAGGGGTACGTTTTTTCATCTATAGCCGTACTACACAGGGTGATCCAAAAATAAGATATAGCGTTTCACTTTAGATTTTTAAATTGGAAACCCCCATTTTTTTTTAATTTTTAGATTTTCCATGAAGTTGTTAGTAACTTTTGTATAATAAAGTTTATACATATCTTCAATCGTTGTGAAGCTATTTGAGTTTATAATAAAATTCGAGTAACTTAATACTGATAATAATAGAATGTACGACAAAAATAATAATAATGGACACCAGCAAGAACATTTAGCATCAGTCTGTGTCATAGCATGTCACAGAAAAATTCAATTCAAGAAATAACAAAACTGTATTACCAAAATGGGAGCATTGCAAGAGCTACTACTGCCCGGTTGTTTAATGCCTTACATCCAGACAAAAATATTAACGATAAGTATGTAGCTAGCTTGATAAGAAAATTTGAAGAAACTGGATCTGTGTCTAATATTCGCCGTAATCGCCATCGAGAAAGTCAACCAGTTAGAAATGAAGCATCAGAAATAGCAGTTTTCTGATACGTAGCTTTTGACAACACCCAAAGCACTCGTGGACTGGCTACTTCTTCAGGATATAACACTCAACATTAAAAAGAATTTTGAAAGACAATAAATTCCATCCGTATAAGATAAAACTTGTCCATGAGCTTAATGAAGACGATTTTGATAGAAGGACGAATTACCGAAATATTACAAAATGACGTTAATTATTCGAACAAAATATTTATTACGAGTATTATTGCATGGAGGTAAATGGACATCACTTTCAGCACTTATTACAACATTGACCTACCTCGTTATAGCAAATTAATTTTTACTCTCACTTTAATGTGCGTGTAAATTGTAATTTGTTTTTGTTTTTTTAATATTCGGAGACTTGTATTTAATTTTAGTAAAGTCTTGTTACTATGGGAACTATACTGATTATTATTTTCACGATATAATCCCTTATCAAAATTTCTGGAATTTTATTATAAACTCAAATATCTTCACAACGATTGAAGATAGGTATAAACTTTTTTATACAAAAGTTACTTAAAACTTCATTTAATATCTAAAAATTAAAAAAGAATGGGGTTTCCACTTAAAAATCTAAAGTGTAATGCAATATCTAATTGTTGGCTATGTGAGCCCCTGCCCACTTCAGTTGGCCCACTTCAAGATTTGTACCAAAATATGCCTTTATAAACTAAACATGACGAAACTATTTACTTCTAAAACAATTTATTTTCTCAAAAACATTTTAGATACACTCTAGTCGTAAAAATACATATTTGAAATCACTTAAACCTATAACTAATAGAACATCTGAACAAATAAACAATGTGCGAATAAATACGCGAAGTTAACAAAGGAACAATTGACAGATTACCATTGGGTAACATCACCTTTATTTTTTATTATGGCTGAAATTCTTTGGGGCATAGTGTTAACCAAGTTTTGGCAAAAATTTGGTGTAAAACAATCCCACATTTCTTGAAGCTTGTGTGTCAGTTCGGTGATTTTACGAGCAGGATGTTGTCGTAGAACCTTTTTCATCTCGTGCCACAAAGTTTCAATAGGTGACAGATCTGGACTACTAGAAACCCATTTCAAAAGTGGTACATTATTTTCTTCCATCCATTTTATAGCCTTTTTGAGGTTTGGCACGCTGCACCATCTTGCTGAAACACAAAATCTTGGCCGGATGTCAAACATTCTTCCATCACTGGTAAAAGCGATTCTTCTAAAATTGCCAAATATTTGTTTGTATCCACCTTTCCATCAATAAAATGAAGTTTTCCTACTCCTTTTGATGGCATACTGCCCCAGACTATAATGGATGCTGGAAATTTCACTTTTCTCTTCAGACAGTCAACATGGAATGCTTCATTTTTTTGCGAATAACTCTACTGCGACTGTCACACAAACTTCGAATCGGGCCTCATCACTCCATTGTATTGCACACCATTGTTGAGATGTCCATTGTCTATGTTCTTTAGCCCATCTAAGCCGATTTTTCTTTTGCAGTGGAGTGAATAGTGGCTTTTCTTTGGCCCATAAACAAGTTGTGGAACTTTAGGGTCTGTACTTCACTTTTTTTTATAAGAAAACTTAGCTTGCAAGTGCTAAATCCCAGTTTGTCTGCCTCTCAATGAGTTGTGGACCTCGAAATTCTCCTTCCAACAGCGTCACTTCACAGAGCATTTAATTGTAAATAGTTGGCACGCCTGTTTTTCACGATTATTCTTCTTAATGCTCTTCGGTCGGCATTTGTGATATTACTTTTTTTCACATATCGTGGCTTAATAGTAACTGAACCAGTTACGTTATATCTTCTAACAATATTTCTCACACTGTACCGCGATAAGTCTAACAAAGTTGCAATTTCTGAGTTTGATTTCCCAGAATTAAAAAATTTAATTATCAGTAACCGAATTTTCTCACTAATAACCTTTCCTCTACCCATTTTGAAAACCTTAACTACCCAAAACTATTGTAAACGTATTCTGACAGCTGTGATTAATAATAACAATTGTCATGGCTTTTATTTTTCACAGCCACCTATGCGTTATAGACTTATTTTGCATTGAAATGAAAATAGGTTGATATGCTGTAATTGCAACATGCGTTATTTTTATGCTGCAAATTTGATTAGGGAGTGATACAGTTGGTGTTTTCTGCTATATATTATCAAAATATTCATTGTTAATATTTTAAACCTATAACACCCTGCTACATTGTTAAAATAAGAAAAAAACTAAGATTTCAATAGTTGGGCCAACTGAAGTGGGAACGGGCTCGTAGATGAAAAGACGTTCCCCTGGAAATTAAAATTGACGTGTCCGAGTGTGTTTCCCAAAATATACCAGGAGAGCCACAAATGGGGGTGCGACCTTTTCGTTGGGTCATCCCGTATGTTACGTCTCCAGAAGGTCATTCTTTTTTTTTATATACTCCAACTACCACGAAGGCCTAAGGCCTCAACACCCATGGGGTACCGTGGGGCTATTCTTGAAAACAAGCAAGTATAATAACTAGTTAAAAGCGTTGTATTACCTTTTTTGACAGCTACTAACGTTTGTTTTGACGTTTATTAAATAAGTTTTATGCATGCATCAATTTTCGTCAAAACAGTATTAGCCTAATCTTATTAGTCGAAAATACCCCTGGCTTGCGTAATAATTGTAACGTCTGAATTTATTGATGCAAGTTGTTCAAGGAGGTTCTTAATACATGGACGCATAAAATGGGTACACCAATTTTTGTGGGAAAACATTTTTTCGACAACAAAGTATGAGAAAACGTGTTTTTTGCGATTCAATCGAAAGTGTTGGCAGGAACGAAAAAACTCTTCAAATAAGATTTTTAGGTATTTATGAGACGTACAAAATAAGACCACACGTAAAAGGATCCCACTAATTTAGAGGAAAAAATGTAACCCTTCGTTTTTCGCATGAAAATAATTATCTTTCGGAATGGTTTGTGATTCACGTCGGCAAGATAAATTCGTGTATTTTGCTATAAAATGTCTTTGATCAAACCCTGTATATTGCGCAGTAAACTAGTATTGATTCCGGAAGGCAGGTATTTTGGGATAAACAATTAGAAATTCTCAAAAAATACTTGCCCAATCGACTCCAATATTGTTGAGGTTATTTAGAAGTATGAATCCTACAGATTTGACGAATTTCAAGTAGCTGCGTGAAATTATCGTCGCGTCAACAAGTGCCAAAACCTGCATTTTGCCTTGGTTTTCGGCCATAACTTTTTTACTATTAGTCGGATCTTTTTACGTGTAGTCTCATTTTGTAGGTCTCATAAATATCTAAAAATCTTATTTGAAGAGTTTTTTCGTTCCTGCCATCACTTTCGATTGAATCCGAAAAAACGGGTATGCACATTATTGGTTCTCGAATAAAAAATTTTCCCACAAAAAATGGTGTACCCATTTTATGCGTCCATGTTTTAAATAGCTCCTTGAACAACTTGCGCCAATAAAACAGGACTTTGCAATCATTTCGGGGGGAATTTGCTAATATGACTAGACTACATGTATATGTTTCCTAGGTTTTACACATCATTAAATGTTTCGTCACAAAGTTCAGCTGCACTTACCAGACAGATATCAGCGAAGGCGTCAGCGCTAGCATCCGGAGCAACTTGAAACAATGCTCCAACAACAACCAAGTTATTCGCGTTTCTTGCATTGCTCAGTTCATTGTATATGGTGTATTTCAAGAGAGGGTATAAGTTCTCTGGAGCAAACTGCACCATTTCTCTCAGGCAATTATTGAAATAGTTCAACATCGGTTTATTTTTCAGTCTGGAAGGTAACCAAAAATTAATACTACTCGAGTTGTAGACCACGTCCTTGGAGGTTATGTCATCAACGCCATATGAAATAAGTAAATGCTTCTGGTACTGACAAACGGAAACTATTGATAATAGGTAAGTGAATGAATAGAAATTCATGTTTTAATTTTTTTGACATTCAATGGCAGTGCTGCAAAGAATTTATGACTTTTTTTATTTCAGGAAAATTTAAGAATCCAATGGGGTTTCAAAAATGTTAAAATAATTCCCGTCGATTATGTTGGAAATAATAAAGCTTGGATGACTTCATCAATTTTTGAAGAATATTTAAAAAAGTGGGACGCTGAATTTGTTAAGAAGAATCGTAAAATTTTGCTCTTGGTCGATAACTGCCCCGCTCATCCAAATATTTCACTTAATAACATCAACCTTCAATTTCTTCTACCCAATGTGACATCAGTTCTGCAACCAATGGACCAGGGTGTCATTTGGAGTCTTAAACTAATGTATCGGAAACATATGTTGATGAAAATTATGGAGCTTCAAGAAGATGACAAGATTACCAAGGCTGTCACCATTTTAGATGCTATAAATTTGCTTACTATTGCATGTGAATTGGTTACTCCAGAAACGATTCGTTATTGTTTTAGCTATGCTGGTTTAGTGAAAAACAACTGAAATAGTCAACGATTTTAATCGAGATGAAATTCCATTTACTGAAAATCAATAGTTTACTGAATACAGACAAATTTAATGAGTATGTAAATGTTGACAATAATTTAATAGCAACACAGGAATTGTCAGACTCCAATTTGAATCAGTTAATAAGGAACTTGAAGACTAACTAGAAAACAACGATGAAGAAGAGCTTCCAGTGACAACTAATGAGGCATTAGACAGCATGAAAAAATTACAACGTTATTTTCAGCAAGAAAAAGACAGTAGAGCCACACTTACCAAATTAAATAAAATTCAACTTGCTGTTCTAACTAATTATACAAAAAAACAATCTGTTCAAATGAAAATTACTAGCTTTTTTACCAAATAATTTACGGTTTTTACACATACGTACACAGTACGTATGCCTGTAATATGTGTATCAGATTCTGAAAAAATGCAAATTTCAAAATTATGTATAACTTTTTTGTATAGTCAACGCCAAACAAAGTGGCGTGCACGTCATCACGATAAAAATTCCCCGACCTAATGCCTAGGTTTCTATCACAAACAATTGCTCTATTGCAGTTTCATATTAATGTGATATATAAATTGTAAAATGGTCATAACTCTCTTATTATGGTTAATAGTCATATAAACATTGTTATTAAAATATCACATAAGTTGCTTTCTGATAAATTTAGACGCATTATGCGAAATAAAATGTTTTGCAAACGCTCCAATCACTTATCGACATGTAAACGCACTAAACCGATTTCGCAGCGTTGACACATTGTCACCTTGAAACTTATTTAAACTGGGAACTGACATTTGTATTAATTTTGACACTGAATCAATTTGTGGCATTTCAAATCTTTATAAATCCTTTGGCCCCGCATACTGTAAATCAACAACTGTTTGTTTCAAAACAAAATTATTCATTTTACGAGTAGATAAAGGCAATTTTGGTATATAAAGATGCCCAAACAGTTAAATAGTCGGTGTAAGGAACTCGTGGCCTCGTTAATGCACTACTTTGAGCAAGAAAGGGACAACAACGGGCCTTTGTTGCCTTTAAATGCTGTTCGAGAGGTAGGTTACTAATAATTATATGTAATGTATATTAATAAATAGTGAAATTTTATTTCATTTTTTGTAGCGTGTTGCTGCTGCTTTAAAAATTAGTTTAAGGACAGTTAGTCGTATTTCCGAGGGTGTGAAAAGTGATGCAAATTTAGAATCGCCCAAGAAAAAGCGGAGTTATATTAAACGTGTAACCAACACAGCGACATTGGATACAAGTGCCATTCGAGAAGTGATCTATAATATGTATCACAAAAGTAAGATCTTATTATAATAACTGATCAGAAATTTGCATTAATTTGTTAACTAAATTATAATGTCATATTACACATGGTTTCAGAAGAACAAGTTACGATACAAACTTTATGGTCTCGATTAAGAGATAGGGCATTATTTGATGGTAGTGCCACGTCTTTAAGGCGGTTGCTTAGAGATCTTGGATTTAAGTGGCTTAAGGACAATCCGCGACGAGGGCTCATGGAACTACCAAGTATAGCTTTGAAAAGGGTGGAATTTCTAAGGCAATACAATCAAGCCAAGGTTAAGGCCTTATACCAGTTTGTCTTCCTCGATGAAACTTGGATATTTCAAAATGGGACCATAGGTCGCTCTTGGCAAAATGGAAACCAAAAAAGCGTGAAAGCTATTAAAACAGATGGTAAAAGGTATGTACTTTTACACAATTTGCACTATAAAATTTAAAACTAATATATTTTAGATACATTATATTACATGCTGGAAATGAAAATGGGTTTATTGAGGGTAGTGAAGCGATATTTTCTTCGAAAACAAAATTGAGCGATTACCATGGAGAGATGAACCAGGACAATTTTTTGAAATGGTTTCAACATCAGTTATTAGAAAAATTGGAGAGTCCATCTATGATTATACTGGATAACGCCCCTTATCACAGCATGATATTGAACAAAGTGCCCAACAATGCATGGACAAAAAAAAATATCCAAGACTGGTTGACAAATCAAAACATACCATTTTTAAACACAATGTTTAAAACAGAGCTATTGAGTATTGTTGCTCGGTACATAATGCTTCTTAATTATATATATTTTGGTCGACAGTTTATATTTCTTTTGTTTATTCCTATTCTTAAAATAACTGCTTTTTTAGAAACAAACCACCTAAAATATACGTGATTGATGAATTGGCGGAACAACATGGGCACAAAGTTCTTCGTCTGCCTCCTTACCATTGTATATTTAACCCTATTGAGTTAATTTGGGGCATACCAAAAGGTTACTATAACAGACATATTGGTAGAGATGGTAACAGTGAAAAAGACTGTTTGGATATGTGGAACGAGGCTCTACAAACGGTTACCCCAGACATGTGGAAAAATAGTGTTTGACATACTGAGCAAGAAATTTTTAAATGGTATGAAAGAGAACGAATTTTTGATCGACCAGACATCGAACCTTTAATAATCAACTTTGAGAGTGATGAAGATTCAGATTCAGACAGCGCTGAAGAAAGAAACTCCGACTAACTTTATTGTACAGAAAAAGCTTACACCAGTAGCTTACCTAATTTTAGAATGCATTTTTCTGTATGAATTCTGTAAAATAAATACCATGCATAAAATTTGGAGGACCCCATTTGGATTTTTATTCAGTACCTTTAAGCTATCAATTAAATATGGTAGTTTCATAGTGCCATCTGATCAATAATTGTCATACTTAATGATTATGCAAGTACAGATCTATAATTTTATTATACTATTATTTTTGTTCTCATTTGAGGTTAATATTGCTTATAAACCTAGATATGTAAATAATAAATTTTATTATTTTACAAAAAGTTTGGCAACAATGTAAATTTTTCAACACACCCACCTTGATGACGTGCACGCCACTTTGTTTGGCGTTGACTATATGTATCTTTATTTATGTAATTCATGTTAAACAAACACATTTTAAGCTTTTAATATATAATTTCTGCTGCTTTTTTCATGAAAAAAAAATGTTTCTTTTAAGATGGTCATCCGCCTATAATAGACTATTTGTCACAGTCCTGCCGAGTTCATTATAAGCGGGTTGCACTTCATTTCGATCAACGTACCTCAATTTGCTAAGTTGCGAGATAACTTCTAAATCCCTTTGCGAATTTGCCGAACAATTATAACAGAGATATGCAAGTAATTCCTGTGCAGGTTTCATCAATTTGTGGTTATGTAGCCAGGTTTCAATCCTAGATACAGCAATAATTCGGATCTCGCACAATCCACACGCTGTGCTTAAGAAGCGTACAAAGTTTTTCGTTTGAGTTTCAGGTTGCTGTCTTCGTGCTAACTGTTCCTTGATGGCTTCCAGTACGAATTGCTCCACCTTCTCCTGCGATTGTGTATACCTGGGGTAAACTTTAGGAGTCCATGACTCGATTATGGCTCTCTCATCGCTACAAACTGAAACAAATATTGAATAAACTCATATAGGATGACTCAAAAAAATAATACCAATACAGCAGATTCTCGATAATGTAAACTAATTTAATCCAAGTGTGGTTCACATTATCGAAATGTTTACATTAGCGAACGTGATTTATATAATATTTGATTTATTAAAAGAAACGTTTAATACATACTATTTATAACAAAATAAACAAATATTCTAACAGCGATAAGTATTTTTTTAATTAGAAGAAATATAATTAACAATTTTTGCCTGCGTAAATTTGCGCTTAGCATTGTCTTCCAATACCTGCGCCCGTAATTTACGAAGAACTAAAATATCCGTGTATGAAACTTCTTTTCTTTCAGCCCAATCTAAAGCTTGGTTAAAAACTTGTATAGCTTGCGCGTCAGTCACTACACTTCTGACTTCAATGGGATCGTTCTCATCATCCTCGCTGTCCATATCCTCCTCCTTATCAGCATCATTCATCTGCTTATCTTCGTTCCATAAATTAATATCAGCAGGAGTACAAACAATTTTGGGATTCACTGTTTTCAATAAATCAACAACATCCAATGACACACTAATAACATTATCATTATTGGATCGCAAACGTTCTCTAATTACGCTTAAGGGGACATCGTCTTCTTCATCATCTTCATTATTGGTACAAAAGAGATTGTTCCAATATTTTTGAATAGTTTGCTGGTTCAGTTCATTCCAGGCCATATGTAAATCTAAAACAGCTTCTCGTAATGTTTCTTTTTTTAAAGCCTCAGATAAGTTTTCAGGATTCTTTGATAAGACAGACGAAAGTAGAAACTTCCTATAGTATAGTTTGGTGAGTCTTATTATATTCAGGTCCATCGGTTGAATTAACGGTGTTACGTTGGGCGGCATGTACATGACGAAAACTGACCCATCCCTGCTCCTCAGTTGTTGTTCGGGAGGATGACTTGGTGCATTATCCGATAGTAACAACGCTTTTATTGGAAGCTTCTGTTGTTTTAGGAAACCTTTTACCTACAAATTGAAAACACATCTTCAAATTATGAATAGAGCATTTGTGATAATTGATTGTCATACCTGAGGGACAAAGCACCTGTGGAACCATTTCAGGAATATACTGCTAGTCATCCAAGCTGTTTTTGAACAGTCATAATCAACAGGGATATGAACATTTTTAAATGAGCGCGGATTTTTTGCTTTCCCACTTACCAGTGGCTTTATTTTGTGTGAACCATTAGCATTAGTGCAGGCTAGAAACGTTATTCGTTGTTTGTCCGGCTTTCTTCCCGGGGCAGATTTTTCAAATGATGCAGCATAGGTTTTCTCTGGTAACATTTTCCAATAAAGACCACTTTCATCTGTGTTATAAATTTGTTCCATTCTTAAATCTAGCTCGGTAATTGTTTTCATCAATTTTTCTTTGAATGGTTGCACTAATTGTGGTTGTGCTGATAATTTTTCACCAGATATAGACAGCAGTCGAATTCCATATCTTGTTTTGAATCGTTGTAGCCAGCCATCACTAGCTACGAAATTTTCAGTTTCTTTCAGTTTTTCATTTAACAGTCTCGCTCTCTGTTTAAGTACTTCGCCACTAACTGGGACATGATTTTCCCGTTGTTTTAAAAACCACTTATACAGGGAATTTTCCATTTTAGGTGCATTCGCATTTTTTCCCGGATCTCCAAATGCATTGCACGTTCTTTGTAAAATTTGAGTTTTCATACGCTTAATTTTACAGATTGTTGCTTTCGATACTCCAAATTTTTTTGCTAACTGTGTCACTCCCGCACCTAGTGCAACTTCGTCTATGATTTTCACTTTCTCACTCAACTTTAAACACTTTCTTTTATAGGATGTGGCTGCCATAGTCGTAAAATATATTAACGCGTGCCATGTATTCACTTAAGTTCAAAAATGAAATACATACGTACGTATAAACGTATCCTAAACGATCATACGACTGACCGAGTTTGTCGTATTTTATCGCAGAGGTGAATTCCCTACACTTTACATCATAAATCGGGGACTCCCCGACGCCCGACATATCGAGGCTTCAGCATTTTACCGTCGCGCTGTTTCCGTGCACCGAGAGTTGTTTACGTTATCGAGCGTACACATTGTTTACGTTATCGCGTTCCGTTCCGTTTGATGCTATATAACGAAGTTTGTGTTTACATTAGCGGAAGTTTTCATTATCCCGTGTTTACGTCATCGAGCGTATGCTGTATTTGTATTCCCAAAAATGACGATAAACTTCCATAAATATAGAGATACAATATACAGAGTGTTTGAAAAAAACTATAAAGTAGTTTTATGGGAAGAGTAAAAATAATACTCGAGACGGATTTTCACTACAATATTGACATATTAAAAGCATAAATCCTATTAAACTTAGTATCAACTCATTCAATCATACACTACCGTTCAAAAGTATTTGAATGCCTGCTTATTTCCATTTAAAATCGTAACAAACAAAAAAAACTATTCAGTACGTACTTATTTGTTAAAAACCATCACCATGGAAATCAAGCATCACTGAATGTAACTGAAATCAAAATTTCTGGTTACACTATTATTGGCACCTCATCATTAGCCATAATAGGAATTTCCTTGCCCTTAGAATGTCGTTGTTTTGTATAGGAATTCTTTCTCAGAATTTGTTTCTCGATTATCTCTTTTGATTTGCGTTGTACGTAAGCCCATAACACAGTTTTACTTCAGTTATCCTGTCTCATTTGATAAACTAACCATGCTTCAATACCTTATACGAGCCCCACCCCACTTCAAGATTTGTACCAAAATATGCCTTTATAAACTAAACATGGCGAAACTATTTATTTCTAAAACTATTTATTTTCTCAAAAACAATTTAGATACACTCTAGTCATAAAAAATACATATTTGAAATCACTTTGACCTATAACTAATAGAACATCTGAACAAATAAACAATGTGCGAATAAATGCGCGAAGTTAACAAAGCAACAATTGAAAGATTACCATTGGGTAACATCACCTTTATTTTTTATTACGGCTGAAATTCTTTGGGGCATAGTGTTAACCAAGTTTTGGAAAAAATTTGGTGTAAAACAATCTTGAAGCTTTTGTCTCAGTTTGGTGCTTGTACGAGCAGGATGTTGTCGTAGAACCTTTTTCATCTCGTGCCAGAAAGTTTCAATAGGTGAAACCCATTTCAAAAGTGGTACATTATTCTCTTCCATCCATTTTATAGCCTTTATTGAGGTATGGCACGCTGCACCATCTTGCTGAAACACAAAATCTTGCCGGATGTCAAACATTCTTCCATCACTGGTAAAAGCGATTCTTCTAAAATTGCCAAATATATTATCAATAAAATGAAGTTTTCCTACTCCTTTTGATGACATACTGTCCCAGACCATAATGGATGCTGGAAATTTCACTTTTCTCTTCAGACAGTCACATGGAATGCGAATAACTCTACTGCGACTGTCACCAACACAAACTTCGAATAGGGCCTCATCACTCCATTGTATTGCACACCATTGTTGAGGTGTCCATTGTCTATGTTCTTTAGCCCATCTAAGCCGATTTTTCTTTTGCAGTAGAGTTAATAGTGGCTTTTCTTTGGCCTATAAACAAGTTGTGCAACTTTAGGGTTTTTACTTCACTTTTTGTTATAAGGAAACTTATCTTGCAAGTGCTAAATCCCAGTTTGTGGGCCTCTCTATGAGTTGTGGACCTCGAAATTCTCCTTCAAACAGCGTCACTCCACAGAGCACTTGATTGTAAATAATTGGCACGCCTGTTTTTCACGATTATTCTTCTTAATGCTCCTCGGTCGGCATTTGTGATATTACTTTTTTTCACATATCGTGGCTTAATATTAACTGAACCAGTTACGTATATCTTCTAACAATATTTCTCACACTGTACCGCGATAAGTCTAACAAAGTTGTAATTTCTGAGATTGATTTCCCAGAATTAAAAAATTTAATTATCAGTAACCGAATTTTCTCACTAATAACCTTTCCTCTACCCATTTTGAAAACCTTAACTACCCAAAACTATTTTAAACGTATTCTGACAGCTGTGATTAATAAAAACAATTATCATGGCTTTTATTATGCGTTATACACTTATTTTGCATTGAAATGAAAATAGGTTGATATGCTGTAATTGCAACATGTGTTATTTTTATGCTGCAAATTTGATTAGGGAGTGATAAAGTTGGTGTTTTCTACCATATATTATCAAAATATTCATTGTTAATATTTTAAACCTATAAAACCCTGCTACATTTTTATTATTTGTGTTTGATAAGAAAAAAACTAAGATATCAATAGTTGGGCCAACTGAAGTGGGAAGGGGCTCGTAGTTCAAGATTGTTCAACACGTGCGTATTCGTTTATTTTTTTCCGGACAAAATGGGTAAAACTAAAGAATATTCCGAGGAGATAAAAGAAGTTATTATTGGTCTTGATAAATCCGGCAAAAATATTCGAGAAATTTCTAAACTTCAGAGGCTACCATCCAGCATAAAATAGCCGTCGTTCAAGGAGACCCAGAGTTACAACTTCCACTGAAGACTTTAGCATAATAGTGAAAAGTAAACGCAACAAACACATGACTACACCCGAAATAGCAGCGGACTTGAAGAAAAGAGACTGAATTGGGCCACACAATATCAAAATTGGACAGTTGCTGACTAGATCAAGGTCATCTGGAGCGATGAATCGAAATTTGAAGTTTTTGTCCGCCGTCGGCCTTACGAGAGGACATCAGAATCATGCACCGTCGCTTCAGTCAAGTACGGTGGACGCTCTATCATGATTTGGGGCTGTTTTGGTGGTTCCGCTCTGGAGGATATTGTGAGAGTACATGGAATAAAGAAGGTTACAAAGCCATACTACAGAATCATGGGGTTTGTCTTTCAGGATGATAATGACAACATACATCCAAGCTCTGAAAACAATTTTTGGAAGCAAAAGAATAGAATATTTTGAAGGTCATGCAATGGCCTGCCCAATCCCCGGATTTGAATCCGATAGAGTTGCTGTGGGATGAACTGGACATACAAGTATGGAAATTTTGTCATACATCTCAAGAACACTGAGAATATTACAAGACGATTGGCGAAAAATAACACCATCCACTTTAGAAAACTTAGTTGCGCATTTACCCATCATTTGCCACGTCGTAATTAAAAGTAAAAGAGGACATACTGATGAGTCGAAAATATGATTATTTTCATTATAAATAGTTTTATGTTGTTAAGAATTAAGAAAATAAATGTTTCATACAGATGTTATAATGTTTTCTTTAATAACTTTCATCAGTTTCCTTGTTTTCTGGATGTTCAAATACTTTTGAATAGTTATAAAAAAATATACGCGGTTTGCAATAATAATGAGAATTCAAAGAAATGTTGTCACCTTCATCTTCTTCATTGCCACTGACAGTAAGAGGACTGGAAGTGTCTCTAGCAGTAGACGACCATATTTCAGACTTCAAAAGAGAAGCTGGGGGCACTTTTGTATTGAATGCTGTGATTATGTTGTCTACAAACGGTTTGCATACTGGACTGTCTACAAAAACCCTATCGCCCACTGCATCTTCAACGTACAACTGAAAAATAATACATTTTTTGCAATACAATAAATAAATAACAACTTCAAAAGGGACCAGTCAGAGCTATTTGCAACCACCAACTACTAAAAGACCTATCTACAAATATTTACATCCGGATTTTGGCAGACATCTCATCGGAAATTTGCCATGTTACATGTCCCTCACTGGAGGCTAGCAAGACCGCCCATATAGCAAAATACATGGGGGCATGTTTGTTTTACAGGTTGTGCAGGATGAAAAATTTTCAAAATTACAAATTCTACAAAATAAAGCTATAAGAATCATTTTAAATAAAAACAAATATTCTAGGATTAAGTTTTTTAGTCATCTCTATACACAACATGAAATTATCAGATGAAAAGGATTTATAATACTGCTGCAAACATGTAGTTTAAAAAAAAATGAAAAAAGGGAAGTGCCACCTTAAAGCGGCCTGATGTCGTACTATAACCTCAGATACGAGGGATGTCTTTTTTGCATATAGAAACATAGTTTCAATTCCGGAAACTCAAAAAATGTGTACCGCATTGTTAGTGGTGATGAATCGTGGATTTACTGTTATGAATCAGAAAATAAACGATTGTCGGCTGTTTGGGTGTTCCAAGGTGAAGTAAAGCCAACAAAAGTCATCCGTTCTCGAAGTGTTTCGAAAAAGATGGTCGCGACATTTGTATCAAAAGCGGGTCATATTGCAACAATTCCTCTTAATGAGCAAAGAACTGTTACTGCGGTTTGGTATACCACCATATGTTTGCCAAAACACCAAGCTTCGAAAAATCAACCCCGAAAGAAGAATCATCCTCCACCAAGACAATGCAAGCTCGCACACAGCCCAAAAAACAAGACAGTATTTAACGGAAGAAAACGTGGAATTATTAGACCATCCTCCATATAGTCCCGATCTAAGTGCTAACGGTTTCTTTACTTTCCCGAAAATTAAAAACAGCCTGGGTGGTCAAAGGTTACAGTCACCAGAACAAGCAGTTGACGCATTCAAAAATGCCGTTTTGGATCTGCCAGCAAACGAGTGGAAAAGTGCTTCGAAAATTGGTACGAGCGCATGCAGATGTGTATTCATCTTCGTGGAGAATACTTCGAAAAACAATAAAGTCATTTAAAACTACCTACCGTGTTGTTTTATTTCCATATGCAAAACTTAAAAGACATCCCTCATACCCTGCGGATGCCCAGTAGCAGAAATTCGCTTCAATCACTGCGCCCTCAGTTAGGTGTCAAGATTTGAGGTGATTTTTTTCTCATTCCTCCAATTCTCCTGGTATATATGCACCATAGATATGATTATTGTTTAATTTTTAAGAAAATTGGGTTACCTACCTTGACAAACATGTCTGGCCAATTATTAACTTCCGAATAGGCATGCGCAAGCAGATTCAAAAAGATTTTATGAAAGAGCGGGTTGCCCTTATTTAACCCTTTCAGTCCAGCATTAACATCTCTTCTTAAAATCCCCAACATTGCGTTTACAACGTGCTGATTCATGTAAATTGCTGGTTTACAAGTGCCAACCAAGAAAAATACTGAATAAGCCTGCTTGGGTGGTTTCGAGCGCTGATTCTTTAGAGATTTTATCAGACCTAAGAGATAGCCAACCTGAAAAAAATTAGGCGTAAGCGGATGATTGAAATATATTTTTCGAATAATTCATTTATTCTATATATAGGTATAAAGAAATTGAATGCTAGTTTTTATTTATGCTTGATTCCTATATTTTGTCAGATAAATATATTTGCCCTATAACCACCACACTATCGAAGAAATCCATGCATCTGAAATGACACAGGAACGTACAAATAATTACACTTGTGTTTTTTTCCTAGACGCGGCATTTCATTAAAAAAAATTGTTGAGGTGTGTTGAGGGTAATTGCGGCCACTGTGCCTTAAATAGCTTTATTCAAGCCTTTCATAGGTGCTAAATTGTTCTATATTTCTAAACAGAAACAAAAGATACACTCAAAAATATAAATACCAGGCACAGAGAGAATATTCAGCTCTCTAAACCTCCTCTGCAATGTGATCTATTTCGCAGAGATAACATAGTGCGTACAGATATTTTTAGTGTTCTCAAAGTTCTGACATATTTCAAGTTATACTTACTGCTTTTTCAGTGTTATCTTGATTAATCTGAGCTACAATATTCTCAAACAGATCATTTATATCACATTCCACAACTAAAGACTCCCAAGGTTCTACACCTGGAGACTGACTTCCTGTCCTATCCATTGTGAGCAAATTACAGCTTGATATTCCTGGTCTAGAACCTGGCATATTGACTTTCAATTTTTTCGATGCAGGAAGATTCACGAGGCTTGAGGAACTGCCTTCTCTTTTAAGCTTATCTACAGGGGCTGGAACAATGCACTTTATTAGAAGCGTTTTTCGGTGTTAGTCAAGCTAATGCAATATTCGCACGTTCAAAAAATTATCCGAGATAAAATCAGGTACCGCAGCGTTATCTACGGAAATTTGACACAGCTTTTCATCTACTTACTATACTAAGTGACATATAAATCCGAACACCCAGTTTAAATAGTGAAACAAGTGAAAAAAATTTCAGCCTTATCAGTTGGACATTCCGGTTTTTATACTGCTTTTTTTAAATTCACTAACGCTCTAAAAATGAATATTTCAGCCGCAGTAAAGAATCAACGTTGGCGGATTTTGGTTCTTGACATCCTTTACGATCGGTTACGATGCCTAGAGTACGGAGACCTGTACGATTTCGTCAACTTAGTGAGTTTGCCGTATAGTGGGACTTCGGGAAGCTGGACTTTCTTTTCGGGCAATTGCAGTTAGAGTGCAAAGAAGTGTAGACACTGTGGTTAGGTGTTGTCAGGCATGGCTTCGAGAAGGCCGTACGCAAAGAGCAAGGGGCACTGGACGCCGCCGTAGAACAACAGACCGTGAAGATCGCCGCCTAAGATTATTGGCCTTAAGGGACCGTTTCTCCACTACCAGGTCCATTGCAAATGAATGGTTTGCAGAACACGGAAGACCTATTGGCATGCGAAGTGTTTACCGACGAATGAGAAGTTTTGGCTGGTTTTCATACCGGCCACACTGGGTCCTCCCTTTAACTCGAGAACACCGACGTAATCGCCTTGAGTGGTGCAGACAACGGTCACTCTGGGATCAGGAATGGAACAGTATTGTCTTTAGTGACAAGTCTTGATTTTGTTTAGGCATGCACGATGGTCGTGCCAGGGTTAGAAGGTGACGTGGTGAAAGGAGGAATCCTCAGTTTTTTGTTGAAAGACATGTTCATCACACTCTTGGAGTTATGGTTTGGGGTGTTATAGCTTATGGTTCCAGGTCACCTTTAATCTTCATCAGAGGTAACATGAACGCGCAGCGTTATATCCACGAAGTTCTAGAACCCCATCTTTTACCCTATCTTGACACCCTGGCAGATCCAACTTTCCAACAAGATAATGCCCGACCACATGTTGCAAGAGTCACAATAGACTTCTTTCAACATAATGATGTCACATTGTTACCATGGTCACCAAGATCTTCCGACTTATCCCCAATTGAGCACGTGTGGGATATGATGGGTAGGAGATTGCTCAATTTGCAACGTCCTCCTCAGACTCTAGAAGCACTTCGAGAGGCGTTGGTGGTTGCCTGGAATGAGATACCACAGGAGGACATTGACCACCTGATCAGAAGCATGCCTAGGCGCGTTGGAGAATGCGTAGCACATCAGGGTGCATCCACACATTATTAAAGGTCAAAGGGCTTCAAAGCAGTGCAATCATTTTGAAATTTTTATCATTTACTTCTTATGCTTCATTAAGTACTTATACAAAATTTTATTAAAGTAAAACCATTTAAACTGGGTGTTCGGATTTATATGTCACTTAGTATATATAGAGGGTGTCCCAAAAATCATGGATCAATGGGGGGATAGGGGCGCCATTTCCAATCAGAAAAACCAAATGTGCCCTTATTCGATTCTGCGCGTAAATAGTTTTTGTTTGTTTAAGATTTATTTAGATGATTGCTACAATTAAACTCTTTTAAGAAACTAAAACAATTACATAACATACAGATATTTAGGAAAATAAAAATTTGCATCTCTAATAATTTTCACTGTCCATGTCCATATTTCTTAAATTTTCTTTTAAACATCTTTAAATTACAAGTAGACTTTATATCATTATTTAGTTTATTAAATTCAAGTAATCCTTTCTGAAATATTGATTTGCTAGTTATATTACTATTACAATTTTGGAAATGAAAATCTATATTTCCTCTTGTACAATAATATTGTAATGACTATTCAATTCTATGTAGTGTTCTAAATATTGTGACAACAGATGATTTTTCATTTCAAATAATAATATAATATATAATATTCTCATAGCTTTATTTTGCAGGACTTGTAATTTTGAGAATATAGCTTCATTGGCAGCGTCTATATTCTCATCTGATATGTATATCAATGTATCATCTTCAAACATCTGAATTTTACAATAATGTAAAATAAATTAAACTTGAGAAAGCACAGTTTACAAGAACGAAAACAGTTCATAGTCTATATTACCTATATGAATAAGTAACAAATAAAAATTATTAACGATATGTGTTTAGGAAGTCAATTGTAAGACAATACAGGAAAACCAATTTAGCGGCTCTTTCGGTTTCCAAGCGATTTTGAAGTTTGGAATGTACCAGACCAAATGTCAAAAACACTCTTTCGATAACCACATATGCACTGTTACGTTTTTTGTTTTTTTTTCATACTGATGCTGATGTAAATAAGGTTTAATCTGTATCGTGGGTGATCTGAATGAAGAACGGTTGATGTTTGTGAAGTTAAATAAGAAAGTATCTTGCGAGTTTATTTAGTCATTTATATTAAAAATGGCACATGTGTACACTAATGAGGAGTTAGTGGACATTGTTTTAGCGCACGGAGAAACAGGGCAAAATTCGCGAGCGACTTCTCGTTTGTATGCGCACCGATTTCCATATCACCCACATAATAAACTCATGTTTGGAAAATGGCTACCACCCTAAGCTGTGGAAGCTGGCTCTAATTATACCTGTCCCTAAAATATCTAAACCTACTGAACTTAAACATCTTAGACCCATTAGTTTGTTGCCGGTGCTATCGAAAATTTTGGAAAAAATTATACAGCAACAAGTTGTCCATTACATAGAGGAACTTAAAATAATATCGTCATGTCAATCGGGCTTCAGGAAGCACCATACTACCACCTCGGCACTGTTAGATCTTTGTGATAATGTTATTAGGGCAGTTGACAAAAAGTTAGCAACAGCAGTGGTTTCAATTGACTATTCCAAAGCATTCGATCGAATAAATCATAAACTTTTGTGCGCCAAGCTGAGGTATATAGGCTTCGATGATGCTGCTGTCAGTTTTTTCCGTAGCTATTTGTCCGGTCGCACGCAATGTGTCGCAATCAATAACGATCAATCCAATATTACGACTATTCCGTCAGGAGTTCCGCAAGGCTCAATTTTGGGACCTGTGCTCTTTTTGATTTACACGTGTGACATGCATAAAGCAGTTGACAATTCAGGGATACAAACATTTGCTGACGATACTCAAATAATATTCCATTTCGACGCCTCAGATACGAAAAATTCATCAGACATTTTACAGTTTGATTTAGATAAGGTACATCAGTTTTCTATGGAACATAATATTGCTATTAATCCAGATAAGACACAAGTGTTATTGTTTTGTTCTGATCAGAAGAGGAAAACTGTCGAAGATTCTTTCCATCTGACTATTGATGGCATAACATTACAGCATACTCAAACAGCTAAGGTACTAGGAGTGGAAATTGACACAAAATTAAGATTCCGCAGCCAAATAGCTAATTTGATGAAAAAAACTTACCTGCGTTCTAGGGCTCTTTATTCCAATCGCTACTTGCTTAACTTTAAGCTGAGAAAAAAACTGCGAATCTTTGGTGATGTCAATGCTCAGTTACTGTGATGTCGTTTATTATCCATGTTTGGATCAATTGACCAAAAATCGTCTTCAAATCATCCAAAATAACTGTGTTCGCTTTATTTATGGGTTGCGTAAATACGATCACGTAAGTGATAAATATAGGGAATTGAACTGGCTTAGGTTAGGAAGTTTGGTTAAACATAAATTCTTAGTTAGTTCATAAAATAATATTTTCATCAAAGCCTGAATATCTAAGAGCTAAGTTAAGATTTAATTACGAAGTGCATGACAGGGCTGTTAGGAATTGTTATAGTATCAGAACCACCCCACACACTTCTGCATTATTCCAACGAGGATTTACATATAATGCAGCACTATTTTATAATCAGTTAGACCACAGTATTAAATTGATGTCTTTGGAAAGTTTTCGTAAACATACTAAAAGCATGTTGCTCGCTATTGATTAAATAAGCATTTCTGCTACCGATATAGATTGTGTCTATTTGTATTTTATACTTAGGTATACATGTGTTCTTTTTTTCATTGTTCTTATATTTTTTTTCCATGTTTTGAACATCAGATGTAACTGACATAAACAGTTAAGTGTAAGAGTAGCCTTGGCTAAACTTCGCTGTTTATGTCCCTCCGGGTTATCCAATAAAGACGTTATTATTATTATTATTATTTCCGAATAAGCAAATACCACATCACGAAACATTAAGTTCAATTGTTTTACGTGCACGTGCTAGTGGAGATATGCGCCCCGGACGTGGATTGGATGGGGGTCTGGTTAGCCCACAGCGCGTTTTAAATGCCCAAGACGAAATTTTGGATATTGGGGAAGAAAATCCAGAAATAAGCACAAGGCAGTTAGCCCAACAGGTTCCAGAAGTGTCACATGCAACAGCGTGGAGCATATTACATGAGGCCCAACTGTACCCTTATCACGTCCGGAGAGTCCAGGCAGAGTAAGATTTTGTAAGTCGTTATTGCAAGAAAATGCTCGAAATGCCCGTTTTACAGCTCATATTTTGGCCATCGGTGAAGCTATTGTTACTCGTAGTTTGTTAACGACTCTTCATAATACACACGTTTGGTCCTTTGAGACTCCTCACACAGTCCAGACACACTTCCAGCATCGTTTTTCTTGGGGTAGGTATTGTCAATGAACGTCTAATTGGACCCTTCATATTGCCAGATCGGATGGATGTTTAGAAGTTCGTGATTTTTTGAATCAAGTAAAGCAGATACACTGGATTGGAAGGGGTGAACCAATTGCACGGCTTCCACGGTCTCCCAATCTAAATCTTCTGGACTTCTTTTTATGGGGATACTTGAAAAACGAGGTATACTGTACACCAGTTCAGAAATATTGAAGAATTGCGTGACCAAATCACAGTGGCTGCCGATAATTTGAGCCTTCAGGCACAGCAGGAAGGAGGTGTAATTTTGACCAGCTTTTATCAGTAAGTGAGCTGTTAAACTACGTTATTTTATTATCTCGATTTCTTTTATTATATTTTTTTTTTTTGAGAAAACAACTTCTTTGGTAACAGTGCATATGTGTGGTTAAAATTTGTCAGATTAGTTATGAAACACCCTGTATACAACTTACTTATACAGCTATTATTACTTCTGTTTTGTGTTTTGTTGTACTGTTGTACTTTTTTGGGATTAAGTGCTAAACTTTGCCCCTAATAAAAATGATAATTATTATTTTCTGTAGTCACTGTAGCTTAGATTATTAGTCATTTCAAAGTTCATTTATGGAATCAATCAGTACAATTTGATGAAATTAAGAAAAAAACACGATTTACTCGGAAACATAAGTGGTTTTTATTTTTTCAAAAAAATCCTGATTTTTGCAACACTGACTACAGTTGATTGATGGTGAGTAGTGTGCACCATATATCACAAAATGTGCTGCTGCGAAGTTCTCTAAAATGTTACATATTGTTAACATTAATAAATTCTTTGATGTTGTTTAAAAATTCAACGTCTATTACCTATTGGAAAACATCTCCAATGAAGACGCATACGAGAATACTGAATGAGAAAGATAAAATATTTTTTATAAAAGATTAAGGGAAGTTTAATTGCATAGTAAAATTTATAAATTCAGTTTAAATTATATACCCATTCTCAAGAGATTCAAAAAAGTCCCTTTCCTTAGGTATGAATGTAACACTTTTTTAAAGTTTGATAACTTCAGTTATCTAAAACTTTCAAAAAATTTGAGTAATCACTTTTCTTAGGATAGGCCAAAGATCAAAAAGATGCATAGAAGAATTTCCAAGATCAGACACTGAGAATCTGAAATAGCCGCAAACTTTGCTAAAAAAAACCTGACTTCCTTTGCTTATGCCTTTATAAGTGGATAAATAAAAGAAATTTACTGGTTCGAACCCTGTACATGTTTCAAAGAGTTGGTCAAGAACCTCCCAGATACTGCAACTTGATATCTCTCTCTGTTCTGAGAATATCGGGATTTTAGTTTGGGTACACTTTTCCATGTTGCAAAGCAACTATTCACCAGTTTAGTCCATTTTTTTTGAGAATGGACTTAGATGGTGGATGTATTGGGGTGTCAATAGAAAATTAGTAAACAGTTTTTAATTAAAACTGATTAAAGGAAAAAATTCTTACCTTTACTTGTCCCTGGGATACTATGAGAGCTCACAGCTGACTTCGGCAAAGGAACTGTTCTTTTAGGATCATCCCTGGCAGCTGTTTGGGTTTTGGCCCCCAGAGCGATAAATGAATCTGGTAGCTGTTGGGTGATTTTAGATTTAGGTCCTCTTGTACCTGATGTTGGCTTGTTCCGGTCCATGATATGGAAGTAATATTAATGGCACTATATTGACGACTACAAAGTTTCCATTAGACTTTAATCAATGAAGGGTACTCTTGCACCTAGTCCTTTCAAGTTTTGCGCTGAATAGCTTTAGCAGATGATAAACACTATCTAGATAGTCACAATCAGGTTGTAACAATGACAAAAAGAGAAAGGAATTAATATCTTTTGGAAATACGCAAAATAACAAATCGGAAGTATATTTACAATCAAATACGGCTAACATAACCTATACCTATAACAAAATACAAGTGTCAAGTGTGCTGTCAAGTCCTGTCATTAAAAAAGTGTGTTAAAAATTCGTGAGATTTTTAGTTCTCGATACGGAACGAACTATACCCTGAGACTTCAGTCAATAAAGAATTGTTTATAATACATAAAAATTTAGCTATTAAAAGCTAAAGGTACAATTTTATGTGGGTGGGAAATATCTTGTTGTCTCCTACAAATCTTACTCCACATCTGCGGCTTGGATGGCAGCAGATCACGCGAATACCATCCAACCTGTTATTTTGCTATATATTTATAAAAAAACATGCCTCCCATTTTTTTAAATACATCCAATATTGAGATGTGCAATGATTCCATAATTCTTTTAAAATCCCTGTATCAACGCAATTAGATAGCATCATAGTAGTTTAGACTACTTATTGGCTCTCACATTTAGAGCAACCACAAAATATTTCCTTTATTTTAATTTGGTGAGGGTAGGTACTTCACGTTACCACTCTAGTATAGCAATAGCGTCATTTTTCATATCATATCTCAGATAGATGATGTGACAGAAAGGAAATTGGTTGAGTAGTTAAGTAACAAGATCGCATCTGGATGATTGTGTGTCTTGGTCTGCATGTGTATGAGATCAGTGATATTTGCTATGTGAGAAAATAATTACTGAATATCCTGCCCATGAAGTATATCTATTAGCAGACAAGTTATTTATACCCTATTTCACGAGTATCCCTCACGGTAGACTAGTAATGTCTCAAAACTCAAAATTCCCCATATCGGCAGAGGACACATAATTCTGACGGATCCGTCAACATCAGGTAGTCAGAGCCGTATTTTGTTTTGTTTTTTTGTACTTGCTAACAGATCTTTTGCTTAGAAAAGTTCTTTTGTATACAAAAAACAAAACGCCACAAACAAGCTTTACTAAATTTATACTCGATTCATTATTGCCAACGTTGCAGACTAACACAAAAATGTCACTTGCTGATTAGCTGTTCACCTCAGTAGACGTCAAAGTGTGATGGATACTTGCGGAAGTTCAAAGTTATATATTTATGTATTATTTCCCCGGATTTTTTACGTTTTTAAAAACTTCGACGATCATTACGGGAAATCACTACCGTGTCTGCATTGTGTGTACTTAAGCCACAACACAGAAAAATGACGCATTCACACACAAAACATTTTCCACTGTAAATAAAAAAACTTTTTACGTTAGAAAAATATTCCATTTTCTTTTCTTATGTCTTCATTTTTGAAATTAAAGCAAATTTGCATATGTAATTTCCAGAATTAACAAGAAAAAGCGGATGCGCAAATAATTTCTAGGTTTGCATACATCTCAAGTAAGTGTATTTGAGACAATAAACCAATGGAATTATCAACACAGATTATTAGCACACAAATCCTGACTATGCACTATGCACTGCCGTTTCCTTCCAGTTATAGCTTACAGCTTAGACCTCCAATATTGCCATCTCTGAAGCAGATGTTATATCACTTCAGAGCCAAACCATGATATCTGAAGCGTCATGACGTTTAGGCAACACGTACAGAACGAATGCATATCAAATAACATCTAATTCCAAGTTGCCATCTTGTAGAAATTTAGTAATGTCATAAAAACTTGTATAATGTCAAAAAAACTCATTCACTTGCCAAGATATGTTATACTCCTGCCGCTGTACCTTCTAGAATTTTAGATTTGTGTCGATATGTACACATTTTTTGAGTACTAATGAATGGACTATACTCGTTGTTTCGTTTCGTAACGAAAAGTTTGGAGCTTTGGAGCCCAGTTAACTCATACCACAAAACATAAAATGCAATCATCTCTATCGGTCAGTGTGGTCAGCATCCCGCTAAAAATTGAATTTTGACGTTTTGTGTTAAGGTTGTTACCGGTTTTGCTAGACATTTGTGATACTTTTTATAAAACAGATACTTTAAAAATTAAAAATATTCATTCCTTATTCAAGCTTCACCGTCTGCGTTCACTAAGATGAGGTAAGAATAAAAACATTCTTGATAATTTCTGTAAACTCTCAAATTGTATAATCCTTTATCTGCAGTTTAAAATGCAATGCTATATTTCACATCAATTTTTTGGTGCTCTTGAATTTAGATATGTTGGTTCATACTTGTAGTACATATATAGGACAAATAATATATGAATAACATGTATAATCTCATATTTTTGGTGCCCGTAATGCATCATAACATTGAAATCGTTTTTGTTATTGAAATGATGACTACATTTTGCAGTTGTCTACCCTAACAGAATGGAGGACAAAAATACGCATTAAGTTTGAAGTGAAATACTGAAATTTTTCTTGCAATCCTACTATTAACAAAATGAGAAATAATTTTTACTGCATTTATTCTTTTGCATGATGTATTCACAAATACACATAGTTATAAAAAATGTAGTCATCATGCTGCTTCCTTAAATTTCCTAACCGCATGTATATATATAGGATGTTGGGATCAACGAGGATGGTCAATACTTGGGGTTCTAGGGGATGAAACATTTGGAACACATTAAGCCCCATATACTCTAGTACAAAGTCACACCATTTTTGAGTTTTGGCAAATTGTAGTAAAAAGTCAAATCATGCACCAAACCATTGCTTGTTCAATAAGAGAAACTGCTTTGATTTTTATTTTAATCATTTATCTTGATGTTCAGTCTAGCGAATACTTTCTCTGTTATCATTCATTCACATTATGAAATTAATTTTGGTTTACTGAATGGTTTGATTTTGCAGTGCTTCATGGTTTTTCAAATTAATTTATGAAAAAATTTGGCAAAAGTATAAGATCAATGGAAAAACCTGGAATTTCATAAGAAATGACAATTATATTTTTTTTCTCAATTATCCAGAATATTAGAAAAAGCAGAATGACATGGCATGATATGGCAATGATTGATGATACCTATAAGGTGTTTTTAATTAATAAAGATACTAGATAATATGAGTATATTGAAATTGCTAAGAAAAAAATAAAAATTTATTTTTCAGTAACAAAAAGTAAACCCCATATTAATGTTCTCGCTCTTGTTTACTATTTCTGTAGTAGTTCAGTTTACTAAATGTGATTTGGTACCATCTAGCTTTTATGAAGATTGACTGGGAAGATAAAAGCAACTGCGCACATCCAAAAATTGTAAAAAACCGAAATTTAATATACAGAAATAAAGTTTACATCTTCAAGAACATTGCAAAACTTAAGAGGAAATCACACAATCCAGAAGTACAAATCCATACATTATTTTCATGCATTAAAAATTAAACGCTAGTCATCATATTTATCATAATAAAGCAAATGGTGGCAACATAATTACTCTTTGCTCATTCTTATGTGAACATTTATTTGTAATACCCTCAGTGATTACCACTTATGTATCTTATATTACTGGATTCCATAAGCATCTTGGTTTCCATTTATTTAAATGATTCTCAAATTTTGCAGATCAACCACTCCTTTTTAACCAAAACATACTTCACCCTCTGCCCACCAGGGTCATCCCCTTAAAAATTTCAAATCACAAGGGGTATCGAGTAATAGCTTGTTTGAAAGGTCTATCGAAGTCCTTTGTTTTGACGTTTGATTTTTTAAAATCGGACGATTCGTTTTCAAGAAAATTAGAAAAATCTTTATTTATCTTAATTTGTTCAATAGGTGTTCAAAATGTTGCCTGTTATTGGCCAGACAATGATATAGGCGATGTGCAAATGCTGGCAAACTTAAAGAGCACAGGATTATAAGGCTTCCATCAGTTACATATCAAAATCTGTAAAATTTGTGAAAAGCAACCCTGATGGTTATATTACCCTTGGAAGTAACCACAACTATACAACACACAGTACCCTTTTAAGTTTTCCTAAGCATAAAACAACAGCATATGAAAGATATGCATTTTCAACATTTTATCAAAATATCTAAGTGATATCACAAATTATGATGAGGTTAATCACAAGTAGAGGGTACTAGAGAAATATCTATGCCAGAGATGCTTTTATACTGTACAAGAATTTTTATCTTACAAATTTCAAATTATCATTATCATGTGTAGGTCTTACTTCTTTTTCATTTGTCTTAAGAATGTGAATTGTATATCCTTGAATATTTTTTCAATATTTCGAATTTGGGCAGTTGCCATATCATTCCAGTGAATCTCCAGAGAAGAAATCAGTTCTAGTTAACTGCCGACTGCTAGAGAAATAGGAAACAAAATTCTTAATAAATTATGAATCGTATTTTGTTAATGAGTAAATAATTAATTTTGTCACTATCAAGTATTTGCTTTATGAAAAATTGTATTTTTTTAATTTCGATGACCTCTGCTTGGTCTAATATTTTAGTTTATTGAAAACATTATAGTTGTATCACTTTATATTACTTAACATAAGAAATAGCAGAAGTGGAGGACATTTTTTTAATGATTTTAAAGTACGCTATTGCTACATTTTTACAGAAATGGGATCATTCAGTAAACCAAAATTATTTTTTATATGAGCTCCATCTTTTGACAACCTAAAAAGTAGATTTTTTAAATTCCCACAAACAAATACCATTCCTATTTTGACATTACTCCAACAGTTATACTCAAATTTAAATCAGATTTCAGCTGCTCTTTTTTGTGACTTTTCCAAAGCTTTTGTTGTTTAAATCATGACATACTATTGGAAGAATTGAGCAAATATGCTTGTACTGGAACTTTACTCAATAGGTTTAAAACATGCTTAAATAATCAATCCCAAATTGAAAGACCATTAAATTTTTAGGACCGTCGGTCTTTAATTGAATTAAATTTTGCTAATCATGTGGACGAATCGCTTACTCAACTATCAAATATGTCCTTTATTATAAGAACAGTTAGTTACAACATAGGAAAAAGCACAGCCTTAAGCAGTTACTTTGCCGTATTTGAAACTTGATTGAGATATAGCGTCCCTTTTTGGTGTGTCTGTTCACAAAATTGTTTCAAAAACTGTTTATTCTGCGAAAACGAACTACTACAGGGTGCGTCATCTATTACTTTTTTTTCTATTTGAAAAATCAACACGCTTTTTACGAGGTGAAATCGATTTTTTTTATTGGTAAATGAAGGTTGGTTTATGCCATTTTTAAATTTACAATGACTTTTACCAGAATAATCGGGCCTATGACCGCAATTTCAGTCCGAATGTTGCGCTTTAGGTCTTGAATTGTCCGGGGACCATTCGCATACACTTTTCCTTTCGAAAATCCCCAAAGAAAATAGTCAAGAGGTGTTAAATCGCAGGATCTCGGGGGCCAAATGACATCTGAATTTTGTGAAATTATGCGGTCTTGAAATTTCGTGTGCAATAATGCGATTGTTTGGCGAGATGTGTGAGCCGGTGCTCCGTCTTGATGAAACCAAAGATCGTCGGGACATATACGATCCAATTGTGGCCACAAAAAGTCTGTTAACATGCCGCGATAACGTTCCCTGTTGACGGTAATCGCCTTTTCTTCGGCATCTTCAAAGAAGAATGGTAAAACGATGCCACCAGCCCATAATTCGCACAAACATTCACTTTTTCAGGATGGAGAGGTTGTTCATGATATTGGTGTGGATTTTCAGCCCCCCAGAATTTGCAATTTTGTTTATTTACGTACCCATTGAGGTGAAAGTGAGCCTCATCAGAAAATAGCACTTTGGCCGAAAATCCGTCTTCTCTTTCCAGCGTCTAATTAACAAAAAAACGCCGCTGTTGATGGTCTGCCGGCTTCAATTCTTGTGTTAGTTGGATTTTGTATGGATGGATATCAATGTGTAAAATCCGGCGTAAAATGCTCTCACTAATTCCCAATTGTTGCGAACGGTGCCTAGTCGAGGTGGTTGGATCTTCTCGCACACTTTCACTCACTGCGGCTATGTTTGCACGAGTACGAGCTGGACGAGCATGTTGGTATTCTCTACGACCTTCAGCGGAACCAGCTTCCTCAAAACGATTAACAGTCCAATGAATTCCAGGCTCTGTAGGGTAAAGGAATCCATAACTATAAATGGCATACCTTTGACAGTTCATTTATACATACCACATAAACTTATAGGTAAAAAAAGTAATAGATGGCGCACCCAGTATAACTAAAAGTAATCTCTAGAGCTACATGCAGACCTTTATCTTTAAATCTTAAAATAATGACGAGGGACATTCCGTGGCCTCTCCGAAAAAAAAAATCGCATGTGTCTACTTCATTAAAAATATAAATTTTCTTCCCTACGCTTTGTCGTTGTTTTTTCTATATTTTTTTTAATATGCTCAACTCAATGGCCCACCCTGTACTATGTGTGAGTTCTAAAATTAATTTCATGTAACTTTGTTTAGTTTTAAGTTAGCTTTGTGATTAAGAATGATTGTATTCTTCAGACAATAAAGCATATCTATCTTTTGGTTATGATGATAGTCTTGACAAAGAATAAAAATGTTTGGATTTATTAGTTACAGCCGCAAGTTGAAAGGTATCTGCAATGATGTGTTACTGAAAGTTTCGGTCCAATGTGAACAATTGTTATAATTAAATTAACAGCATCCACTTCAATTATACACGTATCCAACGAATAAAAACATATCACTCTTTCACGATATGAATAAAATCATGTTTTCAATTATTCCAGTGATTCAGGTGAGGCTTCCATCTCAGAAGCACCAAGTGATACATCCCAAAATTCAATACAGGCCCTCAAAGCAGAGCGTAGAAGGCTTAAACAGTTACAAGAAGAAGAGACAGCTGCCCTAGAACGCAGAGAAAGGGCTACAAAACAGATCAATTACCTTCTTAATTTTTGCAAAAGTTACTGTGATTTCATTAAAGACCAAATTATTCCTACAGATAAGAAAGAGGTGTAAGTATTATGTTAGATGTAAAAATCTTAACTTAACAATTTGTACTTTTCAAGTGTTAAGAAAAAACATAAGTCAAATCCCACATTATCTGACCTGAGGGAAGCATATCAAACAAAGGAGTCTAGTAAAGAGAATAATCAAAACAAACGTAATATACTTTTTGATGATGAAGAACCTGTATCTTTATGTGGTAGGTAATATTTTTCTAAATGTAAAAATACTATCACATGTTTATCCAATACATACTGTAAAATAATGGTAATTCATTATGTTTATTTCAGACTCAGCGGAGATGAGCGAGAAAAGAGGGAAAGAAGAATTCAAGTATTTCAAGGGAGCCCTGAGACCTTACCAAATAGAAGGTGTCAATTGGTTACTTGTAAGTTTGATATTTTCATTATTGGAGTTTTTCATACCAAGATGAATATATTTGTGTCTCTACATCAAATTACGGTATCCAATTCATTAAAAATCAGTGGTGTACTTATACAAAACTAAGAAATAACGGGTACAGTTTAAAATAACATTAGTTGAGACAGGTAGCAAGTAGAAACAACAATTTTGCGAAACAGTATGGAAATGACTTAAGTGAAAATACTTCAGTAATAGCTTCTGCGATTTTGTCATAAAATTTCGCTACTATTATCAGAGACTTTGTTAGATCTTGTTATTGTAAATTTCGAATGTGCAGGGATTAAAGCTGTACATACACCTAAAGTTAATGATCACAGTTGGACAATGCTGCCGTTCGTAGGGCATTTTTCTGATACAAAAATTAAGAAAATCGTAAATACTATTAAGTACGAAAAACTTGAACGAGAACTTGCTGGCTGCTATTGGAATTTTGGTGAGAATATGGAAAAAATATATGACAACATAATAGGAAATATAAAAACTTGTTTAGATCTTGCAACTGATAAAAAAGTGATTTGCTCGACAAAAAATACACCCTGGTATAACAAGAATATTAAAACAGCTCAAAATGTGAGAGACAAACAATGCAATAAATGTATATTGACAAAATCAAATGATGATTGGGAGGTATATAAAACTCTTAGGAATAAATGTGTATATGTAATTAGAGAAGAAAAAAGGAAATTCTACGATAACAAGTGCGACAGTGTAAAGATGTGGAAGACTTTAAAAAGACTGATCAATTCGAAGCCGCATGATTGTGTAAATCAAGTTCAATTCGAAAACGGTACCGAAACAAATTCTTTGGTGATTGCAAACAAACTAAATGAATATTTTGTGGAAAGTATTGTTGATATTGTGGGTACTGCCAATGCTGCACCTGACTATATGAAAATCAGTTTCCAGGGGGAAATGTTGCATACACTTTCAAAATTTCACAGCGTATCATTGAATTATCTAAGAAAAAAAGTAAACAGTTTAAAATCAAATAACAACTGTGCCGAAATCACTACTAAAAACGTGCTGAAAAACTGTTTCGAAATTTTGGGATATCCTGTATTAAATTGGATCAATTGTTCACTGAGAAGTTCTTTTCCTTAAAATTTGAAATGCTCTACAATAACACCAGTTCCCAAAATAAAAAATTCTAAAAGATGCAGCGATATGAGACCAGTAAATGTGTTACCAGATATTGAAAAATTATTAGAGTCCATAGTACATGACCAATTAATGAAATTTATAGAAGAAAACAAAATTTTAGTGGAGGCGCAAGCAGGCTTTCGAAAAAAATATTCCACAGAAACGGCTTTCCAGTTGGTAACTGAAAATTGGAGAAGAGCCATAGACTCGGAAGAAGTTGTCATAGCAGTATTTTTGGATTTGAAGAGGGCATTTGAAACGATTGATAGAGATTTTTTGTTAGGTAAATTGAAGGCATATGGTATAACAGGAAGTGTTTTAGATTGGTTTAGAAATTATTTGTCTAGAAGGATGCAAGTTACAAAAGTTAATGACACCATTTCATCAAAAATTGAAAATACGTTGGGTTTTCCAAGTTGCAGTATCCTGGGACCACTTATTTTTATTTTATACATAAATGATTTACCTGCCTTAGTAAAAAAATGCAAAGTTCAGATTTTCGCCGATGACACTATGATTTATATAAGTACTAAAAATATTCAGTCTGGTATCTCTTATATAAATGAAGACTTGAAACTTGTCTCAAAATGGTTAGCATCTAACAGACTAAAATTGAATACAAGTAAAACGAAAGCCTTGTTAATCGGAAAAAACAATGTACAAATGTTCAACTGAATATTGATGGTGAAGATATTGAATTCGTAGAAAATTTTAAATACCTGAGGGTTTTTGTTGACTCTCGATTAATTTTTTATATTCATTATGAAAGAGTTATAAATAAGATTAGTAGTAAAGTGGGATATTTATCGAGAGTTTCTGGGTGTCTGAGTTCATATAGCAGAAAAATTATCTATAATACCATCATTCTTCCAAATTTCTTGTACTGTTCGACTATTCTATATTTCGCAAATAATTCCATTTTTGAAAGACTGCAAATTTTACAAAATAAGTGCATGCGAATAATACTAAATAAAGATAAATATACTCCAATTAGGCAAATGATTAGCAAATTAAAATGGCTCAATGTAAAAAATTTTGTCAAATATCTTGTAATGATATTCATTTATAAAGTAAAAAATAATATATTTCCATCAAGTCTAACTAATTTAACATCATCAAATGTCGACCATCATTTACATAATACCAGAAATAAAGATGACTTCCATTTAATGACAAAAAAGTATAACATATGCTACAAATCTGTATTCCATCAAGGGTTGATTGAATATAATAAATTATACTCAGAGATAAAAGACCAGAAAACTTTGAAATTCAAAGTAAAATTGAGAAATCACTTGTTAAATCTACAATTATAGGTTGCCCAGCATTAACATCATACACCATATGGCTTGAATTTACTAGTTCTAAGTTGTTTACAATTATTCTGTTTATGTAGCCAAAGGTGCTAAATAAATCTTTCTACTACTACTAGTCAAGTTTTTCGATGCTTTCAGAATCTCCACCACCACGCAGTGAATGGCATCCTTGCCGACGAGATGGGTCTCGGTAAGACCATCCAAGTGATTGCCTTGATATGTGCCTTGATGGAAGATAAGAAACCTGGTCCGTTCTTGATCGTCGTACCTCTATCGACTCTGCCTAATTGGAAATCCGAATGGGAAAGATTTGCTCCAGATATCCCCGTGGTCTGTTATCATGGCTATGCCAACAGCCATGTACAGTTGAGGAAGAACATTAAAATGAAATATAGAGTGGGAGATTATCAAACACACCCCGTCGTCCTGACACCTCACCATTTCATTTTGAAAGAGGGTGATTTTTTGACTACTGTGAAATGGAAGTATGTGATTGTAGATGAAGGTCATAGGTTGAAGAATAACGAGTGCCAGTTCACTAGGTAAATACACAGCTTAATTTCTTAAAAGGGCATTCGTCTTTTTCGTATATGAAGCTTTAAGTGCAACCTCTTCTCATTAGACGTTCGCTTTGACGTTGATATAATGATAATAGCATTTATAGCCCATCAGATACAGAGTTCCTTTACAGAGTAATATAAAATAGAAAAAAACCGTACTATCCACAGTAGGGTGTCCCAACCTATGAGGGCAAACAAATTTTTGATCGAATTGAGATACGCATATCCTCTATTTTTTTTTCATTCGACTCTAACAACTCAAAAAATAAATTTTACTGCGATCCTGGAACGATAACCCGTGCTGACTTTTGATCAAATTTTGGATTTGAAAGTTAATAGGGAAAGTTTTGATATGTTCCAACGCTGATCGGCGCGGGTTTCCTGGTTCTAGGAACATAAAACTTTATTTACAATTGTTTTGACATTGTTCGAGCAAAATTAGAGGGTATGTGTTTGAAAAAAAGAACTTTCATTGTTTTGGGACACCCTAATCCACAGGTATTTTGTGACATATTCTTAGCAGCACACTTTGGTTATATATAATATCTTATTGTAATGTGAACACATTACTGATAATGTTGATTTCAACAATGGATTTGCCCTGAGCAATAGAATTAAATGTTGATGTTTATCTAGAGTTAAACTGCAGTATATTGAGTTTAATGCGCGTTAAAAGATGCGGATAATCAATAACATCAATGGAAGGGATGACAGTGTCCGTCTGAGCTCCTACCAATGTCAAAAAGGTTTAGCAAGATATTATACTCATTTCCTTGTTTTGAATATACAGGGTGTAAACGTTATGATAGTCATTATTTAAATGGGTGATAGAGGGGGTTTAAAGAAGCAAAAAGATTCGTATAACATGGAGGTCAAAACGGCAGTTTTTTTTAGAGAAAAGCGACTTTAAATTAAAATAAAATCTGACAACGCCGCAATGCCAGACGCAAATTACGTCGGAACGCAGTGTAAATAAAGATGGAGTTTGTTACTTTTGGCTCTTAGATAGTATTTCATTTTTTGATAATGTACTCGTAAAATGCAAACAAAAAAAAAACGGACTTACCACTAACTGTCTCAGCGCTTCACCTGGTGTGTGAAAGTTTATTGAACGCATTAAAAAAAATCCACTTATAAATAGGGAACACAATTTTGATACATACATTGTTTTTCTTTTTAAAACCCACACTGCACTTTTTTAAAGAAGGTGTTCAAAATGTCGTCCTCTTTCCCACTTTCCACACAAGCTTCATTACGACGAACCAGTTTCTTCTTACTCTAGGTCCTCCAAGTTGTCCATTTATTATTTCAGCCGCATTAAATTTTTTTTCGCGAAGTTGTACTTCAGTTGTTATTGGACCAGCCCCTAAAACCGTCCCTTTAAGTTCTCCCCAATACCCGAATCCATCGGATTGAGGTCTGGAGATCTTGCTGGCCATTTTCGAGGATCAGGAGCATTTCGACCGATCCAGCGATTTGGATAATGTTTATTCAAGTACTGAATGACGCCTCTAAAAATGTGTGGTGGTGCCCCGTCATGAAGAAACCACAAATTTTGTCTCCGTTGTAATGGCATGTTGTCTAAGGTCTGTTCCAAAAGTTCTGGTGGGTTATTGGCTAGAAAGCTAAGGTATCCTTCTCCTGACAACTTTGGGGGTAACTCGAAAGGGCCAATAACCTGATCGTCAAGAATACCCGCCCAAATATTTGTTTTAAAACGTTGTTGGAAATGACCTTCACGAGTGGTATGAGGATTTTCTTTGTCCTAAGTGTGAGTATTATGGAAAAGTGCATGCGTCCGTCGCTAGAATGTTTTTAAAAAAATCATAATTTTCAATGTTTTTGTGCAAAAACCACTGTCAGAATATTAGTCTGCGAGGATAGTCTTCTGGTAACAAGACCTGCACTCGTTGTACGTGGTAGGGATAAAGCAAATTTTCCCGTAGGATTCTATGGACTATGGTCTTACGCTGCCTAATTCCCGAGTGCTCATATTTGCATTGATTTCCCCGATATTTAAAATTTGTTCCTCCTGCTCTACAGTAACCTGTCTTTCACGAGTGTGAATATTAGTGGGCTGAACACTTCCTGTATCTCGAAGTCTTTGATACACTTGCAAGAATGTCTTTCTATGGGGGTGTACCCGTTGGCGAAATCTGTTGCGATAAATTTGAGCTGCAAGATTTGAATTCTGACGAGCTTCACCATAAACTAACAACATGTCGGCGAACTCTTGATTCGAGAACATTGTAAAGAAACACGACGACGTACGCGAACAAAAACAAAACAACACGCCCGATGCCCAATTACTAACCACTGCTACCGTTTGCGATCGATTGCCGGTTCGATAAGAGTGATGAAAGGCCGACGCGCTGTTTTCATGTGTGTTTTAAATATTTAATGTAATGAAACTTACCGAATACAAATTTTGGCTTAACTTAGAAAAACTTAATATTTGTTAATTACCCAATTTAGAAAAGTTTTAGATTAAGATTATAAAAATTAGTAAGGTTGTGGTGATTGTGGTCGATATAAAGCACTTAAAGTTTTAAACTATAAAGCCATTTAGACAAAAATCTATTGACTTTTGGACCGTGGGTGATCCCCCCTATTACCCATTTCAATAATGACTACCATAACGCTTTCACCCTGTGTAATGCATTACTATCGACTGCTAAACATCTGGGTTTCAATAATTTTAAAAAGCAAATTAAACAAATTATCTTTGATGCTCAAATCTGAAACCCCCAGTATGTAGTTCCGCCATATTTCTGCATATTATATAAATCATTTATAGTTGTTTCTATCTTTTTGAACACTCATGTGTACGAATATTCAATATATAATTTTTGTTTAAATTTTGGAAGAATATTTTGTTAAAATTGTTTTCAATATTCTAGTGGTTGCAGGTAAACTTTGCCTGAAATAAAAGTCGTTTATTATTATTATTATTATATTATTAAAAAATTCTCGTATTTCTATTAATCGTGAATTGTTAGACGATACAGTTCAAAAATAGTTTAAAGTTGCTTTCATCTGGAAGCAGTGTTTCTTCCTAACATTATTGGCCCACTCTGTATACTAAGTATTGAAGTATTTCATTGAAAAAGCATTTTTTCACAGGATTCTGAATACATTTTCTGCCTCATGCAAGCTGTTGCTTACTGGAACACCGCTACAGAACAACATAAAGGAGTTATGGTCTCTTCTCAATTTCCTTATGCCACAGATCTTTAATAATGTCGACTCTTTTTCAACTTTATTGATGTTGGAAGATGTTAAGGTATGACGATTTTGTTTAATTATTTACACATGACGTGATTTATACATTATAATATGAAGAACAGAAATTAGCTAGAACGTCTTTTGGATGTTTGAGAGTTTTTCAATCTACATCAAAAGACTACGATGATAATGTAACATTTGAAACTTATGCTATTGTGCTGACCAAATGAAGCCAAAGATGTATAAATGATAGTTTGCTATCGTTTCAGCTACGTCGGTGACCTTTTGCAAAATGCAATTCAAAATGACAAAGAAACTATACAAGTTTGGAAACATTGTTAGTAATTTTTAAAAAGTGCCTCAATTTTTTATTCTTTATTATCAAGGAACATTTTTTTTTCTCAGATAGGTTGCTTACAGTCTTGAGGATACAAATGACAATTGTGTTTGCTGTGGTACCACAGACTAGCGTTAAAATACCTTCATATTATTTGATGACCAAAAATGAGACTACAAAAGTATGGAAACATATTTTTTATTACAGAATTAAATACAATGACTATACAAAAGGATTTAAAAGTGCTGTTTAGCTAATATTTGGTAGCATAGCCTTTAGCATTCAACACTGCCTGACATCTGCTGATCATAGAAGACACCAATTTTTTGCAGACATCTGTTGGGATATTTTGCCAAATATTTTTGCATAATAAAATAAATCGTTCCTATTTTTAAAAGTTTTTCTTGTCATTTGTATTTTAACATGCTCCCAGAGATGTTCTATGGGGCTTAGGTCCGGGGATTGCGAAGACCATGTAAGAACATTAACATTTTTTTGTCTTAACCAGTCCAACAAATTTTGAGGTATGCTTGGGGTCATTATCTTGCTGGAATGTCCATGCTAAAGGCGTTTCTTTTTCATCAAAAGGGAGCATGTGTTCACTAAGAATATTTTTGTCGTATTGGACGTCTCACAGATCCGACAGATCTAATCAAGTTAAATTTGCTTTCATCGCTCCATAAAACATTGTTGTTCTGACCAAGTTAGATGAGTTTCAGCAAATTCAAGCCGAGCCAGATTTTTTTTAAATGAGACGCTACCAAAAAGCCCAAAATCCACCAAGCATCTCTGCACTGTTCTGACAGAAAGATTCTCGGCACTCTGTTCTACGATTCCGCACCTGGGCCACGTTACTGTTGATCCTTATACTTGATATTTACTATTAATCAGAAATTACGTTGTCTCTTAAATCTTTTGAAAATTCTTTTACTGTCGCTTCTCACTGATGATAATATTTACCGCACGCAATATCAGAGTATCGCAGAACGAATAAATACGGCAAAACTGAAATGTTTCCATACAACGCGTGTTTTTATTTTCAGAGAACTTGAATATTGATAAGATAAACCGTGTATTAGTACGGGAGACAAAGGTAGACTTTAATATTTATATTATCTGCTCCTTCACAATTTTAATTTAGGTATACGAGCCCCTTCCCACTTTTGGCCCACTTCAAGATTTGTTCCAAAATATGCCTTTATAAACTAAACATGACGAAACTATTTACTTCTAAAACAATTTATTTTCTCAAAAACATTTTAGATACACTCTAGTCGTAAAAAAATACATATTTGAAATCACTTAGACCTATAACTAATAGAACATCTGAACAAACAAACAATGAGCGAATAAATTCGCGAAGTTAACAAAGCAACAATTGAAAGATTACCTTTGGGTAACATCACGTTTATTTTTTATTATGGCTGAAATTCTTTGGGGCATAGTGTTATCCAAGTTTTGGAAAAAATTTGGTGTAAAACAATCCCATATTTGTTCAAGCTTACGTCTCAGTTCGGTGATTGTACGAGCAGGATGTTATCGTAGAACCTTTTTCATCTCGTGCCACAAAGTTTCAATAGGTGACAGATCTGGATTGCTAGAAACCCATTTCAAAAGTGGTACATTATTTTCTTCCATCCATTTTATAGCCTTTTTCGAGGTATTGCACGCTGCACCATCTTGCTGAAACACAAAATCTTGGCCGGATGTCTAACATTCTTCCATCACTGGTAAAAGCGATTCTTCTAAAATTGTCAAATATTTGTTTGTATCCACATTTCCATCAACAAAATGAAGTTTTCCTACTCCTTTTGATGACATACTGCCCCAGACCATAATGGATGCTGGAATTTTCACTTTTCTCTTCAGACAGTTAACATGGGATGTTTCATTTTTTTTGCGAATAACTCTACTGCGACTGTCACCAACACAAACTTCGAATCGGGTCTCATCACTCCATTGTATTGCACACCATTGTTGAGGTGTCCATTGTCCATTGTTCTTTAGCCCATCTAAGCCGATTTTTCTTTTGCAGTGGAGTTAATAGTGGCTTTTCTTTGCCCTATAAACAAGTTGTGCAACTTTAGGGTTTTTACTTCACTTTTTTTTAGAAGAAAACCTACCTTGCAAGTGCTAAATCCCACTCTATGAGTTGTGGACCTCGAAATTCTTCCAACAGCGTCACTCCACAGAGCACTTAATTGTAAATAATTGGCACGCCTGTTTTTCAAGATTATTCTTCTTAATGCTCTTCGGTCGGCATTTGTGATATTACTTTTTTTCACATATCGTGGCTTAATATTAACTGAACCAGTTACGTTATATCTTCTAACTATATTTCTTACACTGTACCGCGATAAGTCTAACAAAGTTGCAATTTCTGAGTTTGATTTCCCAGAATTAAAAAATTTAATTTCCTCTACCCATTTTGAAAACCTTAACTACCCAAAACTATTTTAAACGTATTCTGACAGCTGTGATTAATAAAAACAATTGTCATGGCTTTTATTTTTCACAGCCACCTATGCGTTATAGACTTATTTTGCATTGAAATGAAAATAGGCTGATATGCTGTAATTGCAACATGTTATTTTTATGCTGCAAATATGATTAAGGAGTAATAAAGTTGGTGTTTTCTACTATATATTATCAAAATATTCATTGTTAATATTTTAAACCTATAACACCCTGCTACATTTTTATTATTTGTGTTTGATAAGAAAAAAAAACAAGATTTCAATAGTTGGGCCAACTGAAGTGGGAAGGGGCTCGTATATATAAACTAGTTCATAATAATGTGTGTGTGTTTCCAAACACGCTACTGTACATGATGCTAATTAAGTATGCAACATTAATTTAGTAATTTTGAGACAAACAATTGATACAAACATGGTTCCGCAAATTCTCCGTTCTCAAGATACTGGAGATAGGTGTTAAAATTTAAGAAATTTTTTTTTTCGTAAATATCTTAAATATCCTTTACCTAATTATGTTCTAATTTGGCGGTGCTGATTATACCATGTAGGAGCTTGATTAAATTTATTAAGTCCAGTGGCGTCTCGAGCGGGAGCTGAACGAATATTTGTGACAAAAAAATGTACACCACAAACTTTTGTGCAATTTTTATTATGTTCTTTGGATTAAACAAACAAATATAACTTTTTGGTCTTTTTTTTTCGTTACTTGGTGAGTTTTCGAGAAGAAAAAGTCCACTTAATTGCATATCTCTGGACTACACAAGGAATATGAGGAAAAGTTTCTTTCGTAAATAATTATTTTTCATCTATGAAGTACTTTGAAGGTCGAGGGTCGAATTTGAAACACCCTGCATACCCCACCTGCGCTTTTAAACATTGAAATTGATATATTTCGCTTTCCTAAGCTAAATACTGGAAGAAATATCGATTTATTATATGAAATTAGATGAGTCAAGTAGTCTATTGTTCGTAAGATCCCCTTGAAGTGTCGATGATTATTTCGCGCATTTCGGGATCCATGAAGATTACAGGCGCAGTGCTACTAATCGAAGATTTCAACACAGCCAACCTGAATTGTGTGTCACTTGTTTTACATACTCCAAAAATAAGCGACCATTCGTGGATATGTTTCGAGGTGGAAAATATGTTTAATGAGAGAGGATCAAGAGAAATCACAATTATTGACTTTGAAACGTTACGAGAGTCACTCTTACAAGCCAATATCACTGAAATTTTTAATGATGCTAACACTTACTTCTCAGAAATTATGGATTGTATGGAGAACTGCATGAGAGACGCACAAATTAGGAAAGTGGTATATCAAACGAAAAAGCCAACACTCTGGTTTTCACAAATATTTCTAGACTCTAAATTGACGCGTGATAATGACTATAAAAAGTTTATGATCACTCAAACTGAGGAAGATTGGATACAATATAAGAAATCAAGAAACAAGTGTTTAACAAATCTTAGGAACGAAAAGAAAAAATATTATGAAAACAAAATCGATAGCAACAAAAATAACAGTAAAATGATGTGGAAGACACTAAAAAATATTGTATCTCCAGTAGGAAGACTGAATTATCAAGAATGTGCTTTGAAAATGGTATAGTAACACACAAAATATTGATAGCAGAACGAATGAACGCTTATTTTATAGAAAGTATAAATGAGATAGTGGAATCAATCGAAGATGGGGATCCAAATCTATATCTCACGCAAGTTACTTATAATTCTTCTATGAGTGAACTCCAAACAATAAATATCAGCCATCTTTCAAAAGCTGTTACAAGATTGAAATCGAATAGAAATCCTAGTGAACATTTTTTTAAAAATGGTTATGAAGGAATGTTTCAACATTATTGGAGAGAAGTTATTATTGTTAGAGAATCACTGTTTAGTGTATGGCGAATTTCCTTCAAAATTAAAATGTTCTATAATTACTCCTGTTCCAAAAGTGCAAAATTCTGAGTTACGAGTATATACAAACATGCGGCCAATTAATGTAATGCCAAATGTCGAGAAGCTCTTAGAAGGAATCATATATGAACAAATCATTGAATATATTGAAGAAAATAAGATATTGACAAAATTTCAAGCAGGATTCAGAAAAAAGTATTCTACTGAGACAGCAATTCAAACGGTAGTAGAAGAATGGAGGCGAAATATGGATGAAAAAAGTTTACAGTAACATTGTTCTTAGATTTCAAGAGAGCATTTGAGACTATTGACAGCGAGAAATTGTTAACGAAATTGCATTGCTATGGATTTCAAGGTTCAGTTTTCAACTTATTACAAAATTATTTAATCAAAGAACTAAAATTGGCAATACTTTATCAAACACTAAAAACATTTCGGTAGGTGTGCCACAGGGTAGCAAATTAGTTCCATTACTATTTATTTTATATATTAACGATATTCCTGATATTTTACAACACTGCAAAATTCAACTATTTGCTGATATACATTAATATATATAGCAAATAAAGACATTGAAACTGCAATAGAGCTATTAAATAATGATATGAAAAACGTAATAAATTGGTTAAATGTAAATAAACTTAAACTAAACACAAAGAAAGCGTTTATTCTAAAAAATTGTGTACTTATCATTCTTCCTCATTTGTTATATTGTTCGACTATTTTGTTCACTGTAAATGAAACTGTATTTTCAAAATTACAAATATTACAAAATAAAGCTATGAGAATCACCTTAAATAAAAATAAATATACTAGAATAAATTTTATGCTGAAAGATCTACAATGGTTAAATATCAAAAATTTCATAGCCTACTTTTGGTTTTCATTTTCATATTCAAGTTAAAAAATCATCTTCTACCAAATCACTTAGAAAATTTTATTGTATTGAACAATGAGTGCCACAATTATTTTACTAGAGGAAGTATAGACTTTCATTTACAAAACTACAGTGGCAATATAACGAGCAAGTCAGTATTTCAGAAGGGATTGTACGAATTTAATAAATTAAGTAATGATATCAAGATGTGTGTGAATTTGGAAATGTTCAAAGGGAAATTGAAAAAATATCTCTTGGAAAACCAGAATTCATAGTAGTGAAATTTTCTATAAAAATATGTAGTCTTGAAGACATAATATATTTTGTGATATACTGTTTATTATGGACATCGTAGCATTAATGCTAAATAAATCTGAAAGAAACAAACAAAATATGGGGAAATTTAAAATATTACTAGATGATCAGCTGAGTAATTTTGAATTTTATACTACGCGATAAACACCACCGAGGCGGCTGAAGCATTAGTAACCTGTCATTTCCACATCTGTGGTTTCATTGAGTCAGCAGAAAATGGAGATTAGCTACTATAGTTCTAAGGTGAACGGAAGTTTTTTTGCTCTTGGATTTTAATTTATATCGACATATACCTTTTAATCAAACTTTATTTTGCTACAGGACAGATTTCCACAATTTTAAACATAATCGCTGATTGCAGGATGAGAACAAATTCATAGAGCAAGAACAAAAAACGAAAATGGTAACGACAATTCATCAAATTCTGAAACCATTCGTTCTACGTAGATTGAAGAAGGATGTTCTGGATGATTTAGTTCCAAAGAAAGAGGTTTTAGTGTATTGTAACATGACCGACGAACAGGCCACACTTTATGAATCTGTTATAGAGAAGAGTATAATGTTGCTTTTAAAAAAAAGGGAAGAGGTAAGAGATCATGATTTAAAATTCCAGGAGAGTTTTTTTCAATCAATCATTTTGGATAGATAGTTTATTGTCCTGTTAGAACAATAGTGGTGGGGAGAGTGCCGTTCGATTCGGACGTTTATAGCATTTTTACCAGTCGACATTATGGAGCAGCGCGTTGTCACGTTCACGACAGTTTTGTCCAACATAATGATTCTATCACGGCTGTACGACGTGAGTTTCGTCGCCACTTCAATATTCATCGGAATCGACCTGTTCTTCTCGAAACACCATCCTTCGTTGGGTTCAATCACTTCGCGCACGTGGTGTACTGATCAACAAAAGACCACCAGCTCCACGAACGGTTCGATCCCCTGAAAATGTGGAACGCGTTCGACAAACCCTCATACGCAGACCGGCTCGATCTGCTCGGCAACATGCCGCTAAACATCGCCTCAGTGATCGTTCGGTAAGGAGTATTTTGCATATGGAACTCCATGTTCACCCTTGCAGATTGGCCATTGTGCAACAGTTACAGCCCAGAGACTACGCACAATGAATGAACTGGAAGCACTTCACGAGCAAAATGAGAACCGTATTTTCACTTTCATCTTAATGACATGGTTAACCAGCAGAATTGCCGTTATTGGGCTGATGAAAGACCGCTGCACACTCCAAAAGTGACGGTTTGGTGCGCTGTATCGCAAACTTGCATCATCGGCCCTTACTGCTTCGAAGACGGTAATGGCAATGCTGTTTTACCTTGAACTCCGATCACTATGTCGAAATGATCACCAACTTTGTTTCACTTGAATTACGTCGACGACGTGTTCCATTCCGACGTGTGTGGTTCCTACAGCATGGAGCGACCGCCCACACAGCCAGAGCAACGATGAACGTTATTCGCCCTCTCTGCCGTTGTCGCCTTATTTACAGGTTTTGTGATGTTCATTGGTCTTCTCGGTCCCCAGATTTATCCATCTGCGATTTCTTCCTAAGGGGACACCTCAAGGTGTATACGAGCACAAGCCCCGAACTGTGGGCGATTTGAAGGAGGAAATTCGCGTGGAAGTCTCCCAAGTTGAGAGAACGATGTTGGAGAGAGTCTACACAAACTTTCAAGAACGCCTCCAGCAATGCATCGGCAAAAACGGTCACCACATGACTGATGTGATTTTCCACACTTAATTTTGACAATCGCTATTTCATTGTGAACCCGAATCCGTCAATAATTGAGTCAAAATTACCGATTTAATGATTTTTCAAAAACCGTCCCTTTATTTTATATAGATTGTTATATATGATGCCTTTGGCTTGGAAGTTGAGTCATTTATTTTAACAGTGAGTAGATCTGATCAAAAGAAATGTTTTTCCTTTAACATTTTTCTGGTAAAATTAAAGTAACAAAGTTATAGCCCTTTAGAAGTTTGAGTACCGCGCTGTCTCAATAATAATATTATGTGCTCGTGTTTGGCATCAACGGATATAATCCGCCTTATCGGTGGTTCATCGCATCGGAAACAAAAAAGCAAAAGAATTTGAAACGCTTATCATGATGTTTTTACTACAATTTTATTCAGTTGTATTCAGTCAATGTGTCAGTCGGTAACGCGTGAGTGAATAGTGGTGTTTGTTGCGTGGCTCAAACGAAATAAAAAATGGCACATGTTTACGAAAATGCTGAACTTGTGGACATGATTCTTATTTACGGGGGGGGGGGGAGTCTTTACAAAATGCTGAAGCGGCATCACGGATTTATGTGGATCGGTTTCCCAATCGAGTGCAACCAACCCCTCGTGCCTTTGTTAATGTAGTACAAAGAGCTCGTGAATCAGGTGACTTAAGACCTCACAGAATATATATATATATATATATATAACAAAAAGTAGAAAAATAATGGGCAAAATCCGCAAAAAAGAGGAAAGTGGATTCGAGCAGAAAATAGGATAGGTAACCCGAGCGATACGTATTTCTGCTGGTTGGCTTCATCAGGCGCGAAATGAATGCACATATGAAACTACAAAAGTAGATACACACATACCCACTCATCCGGATACGGGTGTAATCTGAGGAAACGAAGATGGAGAGGGAAAAAACGACACACGAAGTCCATAACAAGAACCAACCACATTGTAGTATAAAATTTTATACTTTCCTCTTTTTTGCGGATTTTGCCCATTATTTTTCTACTTTTTGTTATATACCTTTCTCCGCATGATCATTTTCTATATTGTATATATATATATATACAGGGTGTTCCATAATTATTGCGACAAAATGATAGGGGTTGTAGAGGGCATAAAAATATGCAATTTTGCCTTATCAACCCCTGTTCGTAAATATGCCGTTTGAGCACTACCGCTAATTTTACCTTAAGAGCTCATAGGAGAAACAAAAAATTCACCAGCTGCAAAATGTTCGTCTAGCACATTTCATGGTCTCGCCGGTTTATAAAAAAAGCCTGGTGTTTACATTTTTGTTATCGTAAATTCTCCACACCGATTCATTTAATTTATCTGAGTGGTGCGACAAACTAGATAGTAAATAACAGTACCTTAGTGTTAAAATGCAGCGTTATTCGTATGCGGAACTTGCGGATATGCATTTAATTTACGGAGAAGCTGGTGGTAACGGAAGACGAGCCTCGCGAATCTACGCCCAACGGTTTCCAGAACGTCCTCATCCGCATCACGCCATTTTTGCAAGGATTCATGGACGTCTTCGTGTCAGTGGCAGCATCAGACACCTCGCGGGAGCAGGGCGGCCCTTCACGAGGCGCACAGTAGAATTTGAGGAAGCGATTCTGCATCATGTAGAGGCCAATCCGCGTACAAGCGTGCGTGCTATTGCACATGATATGCGAGCGTCTCAAACTACTGTTTGGCGGGTTCTCCATGACCAGCAACTACACCCATACCACCTTTTAAAAGTCCAAGCCATGGGCCCAGAAGACTATCTGCCGCGTCGACGTTTTTGTCGTTGGTGGCTGCAGCAGGAGTTGAGGCAACCAAACTTTGGTCGCTACGTTTTGTTCACTGACGAGTCCTGTTTTACAAAGGACGGTTATTTTAATAGCCGTAACAGTCACATTTGGGATGAAGAAAACCCTCATGCCATAGCCATCCATAGAGACCAACATCAGTTTTCAATTAACATCTGGTGCGGCATTGTGGACGAGCATATCATCGGGCCATATTTGCTTCCACCACGTTTGGATGGGCATGCTTATGGTCGATTCTTACAGCATGTGCTACCGGAACTATTAGAAAATGTGCCACTGAACATAAGAGCCAACATGTGGTTTCAACACGATGGCGCTCCAGCCCACTTTTCTTTACAAGTGCGGTATTTGGACGACAAATTTCCAAATAGGTGGATAGGCCGAGGTGGCCCTGTGCCTTGGCCTGCGCGGTCACCCGACCTGACCCCACTGGATTATTTTCTCTGGGACCATCGAAAGCTTTAGTGTACGAAACTCCTGTTCCCAACCAACAAGAGCTACTGGGAAGAGTGATGGCCGCGTTCGCACAAGTTCAGGACATACCGGGGGTATTCCACAGAGTTCGCCGATCAATGAACAATCGTGCACAGCTGTGTATTGAGCAAGGTGGAGGACACTTTGAGCAATTACTGTAGGTAAGCTGTTTCAAGAAACTGATCTTTTTTTTTGCTGCAGCCCAAACGGCATATTTCCGAACAGGGGTTTATAAGGCAAAATTGTTCATTTTGATGCCCTCTACAACCCCTATCATTTTGTCGCAATAATTATGGAACACCCTGTATATATATATATATATATATATATATATATATATATATATATAATTAATTATTAGTTGGGAAATTGGCAACATTTTTTTAGGCTTTAGTAAACTCTTTGAACGGTAATCTCGAGCTTTCGTCACGCTATGGAGCCATCATCAGGAGACGTCGCTGATGTTGCAGCAAAATGGTGTTTCAAAACGAAAGCGTAGATGGGAGGACTTGTTGCAATTATAAAACCAAACGGACGGACACATTGAGTTTTTTTGTAACGACGGAAACCATAGTTTTACCGTTCACCAAACAGTGATGCAGATACATTTTTAACGTTTTTTGAAGAAAAATGCGAAGAAATGTGGAATTTTAGAAACAATATAATACTTTTAGGTGATTTTAATTTAAATTATTATGGTAAAAGCATGAAAACAAGAAAATTGAAAGAAACCATAAACAACTATGGGTTCAAGCAAAAAATTGAAGAGAGTACCAGAATAACATCATTATCAGAGACTTTGTTAGATCTTGTTATTGTAAATTTCGAATATGCAGGGATTAAAGCTGTACATACACCTAAAGTTAGCGATCACAGTTGGACAATGCTGCCCTTGGTAGGGCATTTTTCTGATACAAAAATTAAGAAAATCGTAATTACTGTTAAGTACGAAAAACTTGAACGAGAACTTGCTGGCTGCTATTGGAATTTTGGTGAGAATATGGAAAAAATATATGACAACATAATAGGAAATATAAAAACTTGTTTAGATCTTGCAACTGATAAAAAACTGATTTGCTCGACAAAAAATACACCCTGGTATAACAAGAATATTAAGGCAGCTCAAAATTTGAGAGACAAACAATACAATAAATGTATATTCACAAAATCAAATGATGATTGGGAGGTATATAAAACTCTTAGGAATAAATGTGTATATGTAATTAGAGAAGAAAAAAGGAAATTCTACGATAAACAAATCGATAATAACAAGTGCGACAGTGTAAAGATGTGGAAGACTTTAAAAAGACTGATCAATTCGAAGCCGCATGATTGTGTAAATCAAGTTCAATTCGAAAACGGTACCGAAACAAATTCTATGGTGATTGCAAACAAACTAAATGAATATTTTGTGGAAAGTATTGTTGATATTGTGGGTACTGCCAATGCTGCACCTGACTATATGAAAATCAGTTTCCAGGGGGAAATGTTGCATACACTTTCAAAATTTCACAGCGTATCATTGAATTATCTAAGAAAAAAAGTAAACAGTTTAAAATCAAATAACAACTGTGCCGAAATGACTACTAAAAACGTGCTGAAAAACTGTTTCGAAATTTTGGGATATCCTGTATTAAATTTTATCAATTGTTCACTGAGAAGCAGTTCTTTCCCTGAAAATTTGAAATGCTCTACAATAACACCAGTTCCCAAAATAAAAAATTCTAAAAGATGCAGCGATATGAGACCAGTAAATGTGTTACCAGACATTGAAAAATTATTAGAGTCCATAGTACATGACCAATTAATGCAGTTTATAGAAGGAAACAAAATTTTAGTGGAGGCGCAAGCAGGCTTTCGAAAAAAATATTCCACAGAAACAGCTTTCCAGTTGGTAACTGAGAATTGGAGAAGAGCCATAGACTCAGAAGAAGTTGTCATAGCAGTATTTTTGGATTTGAAGAGGGCATTTGAAACGATTGATAGAGATATTTTGTTAGGTAAATTGAAGGCATATGGTATAACAGGAAGTGTTTTAGATTGGTTTAGAAATTATTTGTCTAAAAGGATGCAAGTTACAAAAGTTAATGACACTATTTCATCAAAAATTGAAAATACGTTGGGTGTTCCACAGGGCAGTATCCTGGGACCACTTCTTTTTATTTTATACATAAATGATTTACCTGCCATAGTCAAAAAATGCAAAATTCAAATTTTCGCCGATGACACTATGATTTATATAAGTACTAAAAATATTCAGTCTGGTATCTCTTATATAAATGAAGACTTGAAGCTTGTCTCAGAATGGTTAGCATCTAACAGACTAAAATTAAATGCAAGTAAAACGAAAGCCTTGTTAATCGGAAAAAACAATGTACAAATGTTCAACTGAATATTGATGGTGAAGATATTGAATTCGTAGAAAATTTTAAATACCTGGGAGTTTTTGTTGACTCTCGATTAATTTTTGATATTCATTATGAAAAAGTTATAAATAAGATTAGTAGTAAAGTGGGATATTTATCGAGAGTTTCTGGATGTCTGAGTTCATATAGCAGAAAAATTATCTATAATACCATCATTCTTCCAAATTTCTTGTACTGTTCGACTATTCTATATTTAGCAAATAATTCCATTTTTGAAAGACTGCAAATTTTACAAAATAAGTGCATGAGAATAATACTTAATAAAGATAAATATACTTCAATTAGGCAAATGCTTAGCAAATTAAAATGGCTCAATGTAAAAAATTTTATCAAATATCTTGTAATGATATTCATTTATAAAGTAAAAAATAATATATTTCCATCAAGTCTAACTAATTTAACATCATCAAATGTCGACCATCATTTACATAATACCAGAAATAAAGATGACTTCCATTTAATGACTAAAAAGTATAACATATGTTATAAATCTGTATTCCATCAAGGGTTGATTGAATATAATAAATTATACTCGGAGATAAAAGACCAGAAAACTTTGACAAAATTTAAAGTAAAATTGAGAAATCACATGTTAAATCTACAATAATTATAGGTTGCCCAGCATTTACATCATACACCATATGGCTTGAATTTACTAGTTCTAAGTTGTTTACAATTGTTCTGTTTATGTAGCCAAATGTGCTAAATAAATCTTTCTACTACTACTACTACTATAGTTACCCAATATGTCCGTCCGTTTGGTTTTATAATTGCCCCCAGCGACGACTCCTGATGATGGCTCCATAGCGAACCGAAAGCTCGAGATTACCGTTAAAAGAGTTCACTAAAGCCTAAAAATTGTTTTGACAATTTTCCAATTAATAATTAATTGTATTTCTTGCTCAACTGGTCGTTGGCAATGGCAATGACTACTGATCGCATATACATGGCGTTCCTTAAAGATATGCGAATATTTAAGGGTGTGAAGCTACATGAAAAATTAATGTTAGTTTGCTTTATAAACTATGGTCCACAAATGTCACCTTACAAAAACTCTGGGGGTTGAAGTTTTAGAAAAAAAATGGAAACCGCTTCAGATTTTTCACTGATATTAGTACGTAGTGAAGGTTAATAAAGTTGCATATTTTGAAATGCAAAAATAATGTTTAGCCTTAACAGTGGCGTGCGTACGGGTATTGACTTTGATATTTTTAAGAAAAAACTGATACGCTAATGGTTTTTTGCCTAATAAAAATTATTTTTGAGTAAAAAAATAAAAACCGTTCCATTGTCTAACTTGCAAAATTATTATTAATTTAATTGAAAAAATTAAACACATTAGGGGTAATGAACAACAACAACTGACAACATAAACATAACATTAAAATCAAAAACTAAATTCCTTATTTTTACATTATCTGCAATGAACACAAGTCTGAATATAAGCACTTTTTTATGAGGGACAACAATATGTAGACAAATTCTTTTCAACATTAGTTTAGTACAGTTTCGTGTCAGAAGAGGATTAGTTTGTGTTCTTCAAGTATTGTGGAATAAGTTGAGTGATTTTAAGACCATGCCGCGTGGTCCAGAAATTTCTTTCGATGCGAAAACTAAGATCATTCAGTTATACAAAGATGGTCAACGTCAAGTCGACATTGCCAAAAATTTGAAGCTGAAGCGTAAAGCAGTTTGGGCAATATTGAACAAATATAAACAAAAAGGTATCTTGGAAGCCTCTAACAGAAGTGGTCGGCCTAGAAAACTAAATGCTAGATCAGTTAGATTAATAAATGTAATTTCGTCCAAAGATTCGTTTAAAACCCCAAGACAAATAAAAGCCGAAATCGAGACAAAAGGAATTGTCAGTGTTTCTACGACAACTATAAGTAGAAGCATCTGTGACTGGAAGAGGGTATGTTTCAGTGACGAATTCAGGTTCAATATATTTGGATCAGATGGTGTTCATTACGTTAGACTTCCTAATGGACAAAGATTGAACCCCAAGTACACTTTGCCCACTGTCAAACATGGAGGCGCTTCTGGTAGGTTTGGGGGTGCTTTTCGGGGTTTGGGATGGGGCCTTTACATAGAATAGATGGCATTATGGATAAGTTTGTATACACAGACATACTAAAGCATGTCATGTTACCTTATATGGAAGACAATATGCCCTCAAGATCAATCTTCCAGCAAGATAATGACCCGAAGCACACTTCAAATCCCCAAAGAAATTCTTTCTGGATGAAAAAATACCAGTTCTCAAATGGCCTTCACAGTCTCCCTCATTGAAAATCTATTGGAATACGTAGATAAGCAAATACGAGATAAAAATTAGTCAAACAAGTATGAACTTTTTGCTGCTTTAAAGCAAAAGTGGAGACAGATTGATGAATCTTATATCAAGAACCTTTTACAATCTATGCCGAGACGATGCCAGGCGGTGATTGATAATAATGGTTATGCTACAAAATATTAACACAAACATGGTTGGTTTTCTATAATTCAATGAACTTTGCTTCTTTTTTCTATAATTGTTTTGCTTTGTCTATATATTTTTGTCCTTCATAGTTCCAGTTTTTTTTTCAATTAATTTTTTACTGAAGGTAGTCTAATGCATTTATTTATGTATAAGTGAGTATTATGCTATAACGAGTTACAGTATACAGGTTGGTGCATTAATAAAACAAGTTAAAAAAGAAATGTGGCACAATATTAATTTGTCTATATACTTTTGTCCATTACTGTATATCTTGAGTTTATTTTATAAAAGCTAATATTCTAACTTTTGTTATTTCAGGAAGATATTTATGAGCCTAGTCGAAAAAGGAGATGTACACAAGATAGAAAATATTACAACATAATGGAAAACATAGATGAGTCTTATGAGTTTGACCTGGATTATAACACTAGTCCTTATGGTACGCCAAGAGAAACACCAGAAAGAAGCATCAGCGGTTCAGACTCAAGCGTGCTCAGCACCCCGAGTAGTTCTCGCAGTACTTTCAGCAATGACCAGGTACAGCAAACCCTTCTTCTTTCTCCACAAAGGAAAATGACACGGAAACAATGTGCGCATCCAAGAAACTACAGCTTAGAAGTGTTTTATATGCATGTCAGTTTTCCACTGCTCTATTGCAATGTTAACTTTTTGGCGAATGAAACACATTACATCACTGTTTTTTATTTCGCCATAAGAAAAATTGTCTTATTTGAATTTTTCGTTGTTGAGTTTTGTATATTGATGTGATATTGATGTTTTACTTCCTACGCGACTGGGCGAGAAAGTATTTTAAGCGCGAACAATTTCGAAAATGAGAGATTATATTCTTTTGAGTGTTATACGACATGTACAGTAGCGGACAAACATTTGGAAACATTCTTAGTAATTTTTAAAAAGTTTGCTTGTTTTTTATTCTTTATTATTGATTTTTTTCTCATATAGTTTGCTTACCGCCTTGAGGATACAAATGACAATTTGAAAACGAGACCACAACGAGTATGGAAACATTTTTTATTTCAAAATTAAATACAATAACTCTACAAAAAGATTTAAAAAATACTGTTTAGCTAATATTTGGTAGCATAGCCTTTAGCATTCAACACTGCCTGACATTTGCTGCTCATAGAAGGTACCAATTTTTTACAGACGTCTGTTGGGATATTTAGTCAAATATGTTTTACATAATCAAATAAATCTTTCATATTCTTAGAAGTTTTTCTTGTCAGTTGTCTTTTAATATGCTCCCAAAGATCTTCTATATGGTTTAGATCCGGGTATTGCGAAGGCCATGTAAGAACATTAACATTTTTTAGTCTTAACCAGTCCCTTAGGAATTTTGAGGTATGCTTGGGGTCATTATCTTGCTGGAATGTCCATCATAAAGGCATTTCTTCTTCAACAAAGGGAGCATGTGTTCATTAAGAATATATAATTGTAATGTTTTTGATCCATTTTCCCAACAATTTCAGCAATTGGACCCGTTCCAGAATTAGAAAAACAGCCCCAAACCATGATATTGCCTCCTCCGTGCTTAACTGTTGGAACCTGATACTTTTTGTCGAGTCTTTTTCATATTGGACGTCTCACATATGCCGTACCGTATCCAAACAAGCTAAATTTGCTTTCATCGCTCTATAAAGCTGTATTCCATTGTTGTTCTGTCCAAGTTAGATGAGTTTTAGCAAATTCAAGCTGAGTACGATTTTTTTCAAATGAGAAGCTTTTGCACTGGATGCTTACCAAAAAGCCCAAAATCCACCGAGGTGTATCTGCACTGTTCTGATAGAAAGATCTGCGGCACCCTCTTCTACGACTTTTTTGAAAATCCGTATGGCTGACACTCGATGATCTTCATGGGGCAAATCGTCCCTTTGTTCATTTTTAATCTTTGAGAAATGTCAACATTTCTGACACCACTTCTAAATAATTCAATCACTTTGTCTCTTAAATCTTTTGACAATTCTATTACTTTTGCCATTCTCACTGACGTTAATATTACCGCACGCAATATCAGAGTATCGCAGAATGAATGAATACGGCAAAACTGAAATATTTCCATACTTTTTTCGTTACAAAAACTGTGGTATTTAAAAAAACGCGTTTTTATTTTCAGTGAATTTGAAAATTGATAAGATAAACCTTGTTTTAATACGGGAGCCAAAGTATATATTATCTGTTCCTTCACAATTTTAATTCATGTAGGTATATGAAATAGTTCATAATAATGTTAATATTTGTTTCTAAACTTTTGTCCGCTACTGTACATCATGTCACTCATTTATGTCATCATGTCATGTCATCATTATCTACTGCCAATATTGCGAAAAAAGTGAAAATGTTTGTTGTTCTACAGGGTGTAACTAGAAGGTGCATTTTGATCTGAATTTCTGAACACCCTATGGAAACATTGAATTACTAAATAATGCGTCTTCGTATGAGAATTTTAAGCCTCAACTTTTCTCAACAGTTTTTTTGATTCATGTCAATATCTCAGTTATCGAAGAATATATGCTGTTTTGAAGAAAGTCATGCGCATCATAACCATAAACAATTCAACTTAAAAAATTACAGTGACATCATTGGTAATTAGAAATTATACATTAGGAGAAAATTTTCTTCTAAAAAGGGCATAAGAGGAACCACATGTTCTTCCAGACACTCTCTAATGTACCTGTCAGCAGTAAGTTGTCCTCCTCGTAGCGAAACAAGATCTGTGCGGGATTCCAAAGAAATACCGCCCCATACCATCACTCCTCCACCAAATTGCACTCTAGCAGCGAAACAACTTTGAGCATAGCGTTCTCCACGCCTTCTCCACACTCTTTGGCGACCATCAGGTGAATATCTCGTAAAACGAGAAAGAACGTTTTTCCATATCTCAATCTGCAAGAGTTCGACGCTGCCTTAGATGACCTACATCCAAAAGGGGACCTGTAGCAGGTACACAAGATGACAGGTTTCCTTCTCTCAACCTTCGGCGTACGGTATCAGGTGAAACTATGCTACCATGAACATCATCTCCAGTCTTCGAGTGTAACTGTAGCAGGAATTGTCATTTCTTGAAGAGCTTGAAGTCTCAGGAATCGATCAACAACTGCGTTTGTTGCTTTCCGTCTTCCCTGCTCAGGTCTTCTTGAGCAAGAACCAGTTTCTCAAAAGCTTGGTATGGAATCGAATACGAGGGATGTCTTTTAAATTTTGCATATGGAAATAACACAACACGGTAGATAGTTTTAAATGACTTTTTGTTTTTCGAAGTATTCTCCACGAAGATTAATACACATCTGCATGCGCTCGAACCAATTTTAGAAGCACTTATTCCACTCGTTTGCTGGCAGATCCAAAACGGCATTTTTGATTGCATCAACTGCTTCTTCTGGTGACTGGAACCTTTGACCACACAAATCGTTAGGACTTACTATATGGAGGATGGTCCAATAATTCCACGTTTTCTTCCGTTAAATACTGCCTTGTTTTTTGGGCTGTGTGCTAGCTAGCATTGTCTTGGTGGAGGATGATTCTTCTTTCGGGGTTGATTTTTCGAAGCTCGATGATGACTTTTGGCAAACAAATGGTGGTTTACCAATCCGCAGTAACAGTTCTTTGCTCATTAAGAGGAATTGTTCCAATATGACCCTCTTTTGACACAAAGTTCGCGACCATCTTTTTCGAAACACTTCGAGAACCGATGACTTTTGTAGGCTTTTCTTCACCTTGGAACACTCAAACAGCCGACTGTCGTTTATTTTCTGGTTCATAACAGTAAATCCACGCTTCATCACCACTAACCATGCTGTACACATTTTTTGAGTTTCCAGAATTGAAACGGTCAAGCGTTTTTTGACACCAATTAACAGTGGCTGCTTCCTGCTCTTCAATCTAGATGTGGGGTAGTATCCAACGAGAAACTAATTTTCTTACTCCTAATTCTTAATGTGAATTTTTGATGTGTTTGCGCACAGCATTGACGTTTTCCTGGGTGACTGCCGTTTTTATGGCATCCACCCTGGGATCGTCGCTAAGACTCACCCGTCCACGTTTGAATTCTGCATACCAACGGGAAATTGTCGTCTGATGTGGCGCTTCGTTGCCGGAAACAGACAGTAACTCAGCAAGGCATTCTTGTTGCGATAATTGTCTCTGAAAGTTGTAATAAATTATGGTGCGAAAATGTTCTCGGTTGAGTTCTATTTTTCTAGTGACTTGGTGACACTTAAAAATTCACTGTAGTGAGAACACTGCACGTATTGTTGTGAAACTTTGAATTTAAGTTTACTAAAGAGTGAGGTTAAGATTCAGTACTGACGTTCGATCCGCGCGGCCTACTATGTTTCTGTATGCAAAACTTAAAAGACATCCCTCGTACCGTACTGCGTGGAACGGCAAGCCTTTCTGCGATATATCGAATAGGACGTACATCATCTTGTAATGCTACAGCTCGCGCTACTTGTTCTTGTGTCATTTTTGTTGAGTATTGCTTGACTAGAATCTTTTTGACATGTCATAAAAATTCTAACAGACACAGCCTTGTACTTCCTTATCCGGCAAACCCTGCTGAAATAATTTCTCCGTTATGGCTACGATTCGCATGATTTTCTTCAAAACAGCATAACGTTCTTCAATAATTGAGATATTGATACGAATCAAGAAAAGAACTGTTGAGAAAAGTTGAGGCTTAAAATTCTCATACGAAAAAAATACACTTTTTAGTCACACCCTGAATAACAATTATTTTCAATTTTTGCAAGTTCGACAACTTGACGAAAAAATTAAAGAAATTGATGTAAAGGTTAAAAAGTTATTAAAAAATTATTTGGAACAAAATTTTGTTTGTCCGTTTAATTTTGCGTGGAAGTGTATTATTAATTTGATTACAATTCATTTTGTAAAATATACAGCAAATATCTCATAAAGGAATAAAAACGTAAATTTTCCTACATTTGTCAGTTATCACCCAAAAATAGGTCACGCGGTGTGTTGCTGGCGACAGTGTGGCATTAATCAAACATTGATGAGTAAAACGACAGTCTCAATGAAATATTTCAAATTAATCGTTAGAATTAACAGTGAGATGGTTCAATGGTGCCAACTTTGCAAACACCCCAAAAAAACAGCATGCATTACGTATAGATACTCGATCTTGTATATCTTTGTAGATAAAATATGTGGACAAATTAACAATGACTAGGCCACTGTCTATGTTAATGAAGATCACAGATCATCCATACTTGGTGCGTATCCCCCTTGACCCAAACTACAAGCAAAAGACAATGCTAATTGATGAAGGTGTTGTTAGGAATAGCGGGAAGATGATCGTGTTGGACCAGATGCTGGCTAAACTGAAGCAAAAAGGACATAAGGTGAGTTTCACGTTTGCAAACGAAATGTTAAAAGGTATTCAACCAAATTGAAAAAAAAAACAAAAATAAACATACATACACAGGTTGTCCTGAAAGTCGGGACTTTCCTTTTCAGAAACAACTACGTTTGTAATAACAAAGCTAATATGTGGTAAGACAACAGCGAAAATGTAAAAAAATAAATAAAAAAGTACTCGCCGTTCATCGAAGAGAAATGTCGCTGTTGCTATTGACGAGATGTGTTCGTGCCAGATCAAGTCCTCGGATATCCTCGGATAGCTGCCGAATTCTTAAGATATCTGGAGGAGACGCGGAAGAACAGGAGCAGGTTCCGCTGCACACCTCTTCAGTAGTATGGCAGGAATCAAGTCTGGACCAGAAGCTTTGTTGATGTCGAGCGACAAGAGCACCCTTCATATGTTCTTATGCCTGAATGTTACTTCCCGCATAGTGTAGGGAACCCTTTGAATCGACGGCAGTAGGGACAATACTGTTATATTTTGATTACAATTTCTGTCTTTATTTATAGGTTCTCATCTTTTCCACATTGTGCATGATGCTGGACATCATCGAAGATTATTTGATAATGCGCGACTACAAGTACTGCAGACTGGACGGTACACGAAGCTTGTCGGATCGTGGAGAGAATGTCGATGCATTTAACAGTGATCCCTCCGTCTTTGTATTCCTCCTGTCGACCAGAGCTGGAGGACTTGGTTTGAATCTCACTGCTGCTGATACTGTGATATTCTTCGATAGAGATTGGGTGAGTGATAATAATGATAATTTCTTACAGAAATAGCGAATGATGTAAAACTCGTATAGTGCAGAATACTGAATAAAATTTATATAATTTATTAGTTTATAATTACTCACGTCATCCATTTCAGAATCCTCAAGTAGATATTCAAGCACAAGATAGATGCCATCGTATTGGTCAAACCAAACCTGTTATGATTTATACTCTAATTTGCAAGAATACCATCGATGAAACCGTTCTAGATCGTGGATTGCATAAGAGGATTTTAGAAAAACTAGTCATCAAAGATGGTAAGTGCCTAATGTTCACCAAAATGTATTTATTTGCAAATCGAACAAACAATACTTATACACATTGCAGTCATGTATATGTAATGGGTGATTTTTTGCTAGTATCTTTTTGGCAACACTGTTTTTGACAGATGACACGTTAATCGTGTCTTGTGTCATCGTCAAACTTGTTCAGTTTGGTCTATAATTTAACCATGAATCGACTTACGAACGAACAACGCTTGCAAATTATTGAATTTTACTATAAATTCATGCTCGGTGAATAGAGTGCATCGAGCACTGCTTCCAATTTATGGGCAATTTGGTCGGCCTACTGAGGGAGCTATTCGGAAGCTTGTGACTAAATGTCGAACCCAGTTTACATTATTGGACATTAAACCACCAACACGCAGACGTAGAGTGAGGACTGAAGAAAATATTGCGGCTGTATCCGCCAGTGTTAGTGATGACCGTGAAATGTCGATCCGCCGCCATTCGCAGCAATTGGGCCTCTGTTACTCCACTACGTGGAAAATTTTGCGACAGGATTTGGGTGTAAAACCTTATAAGATACAGCTGGTGCAAGAATTGAAGCCACACGACCTCCCACAACGTTTCCAATTTGGTGAATGGGCGCTGGCAAAGTTGGAGGAAGATCCACATTTTTATCGAAAAATTGTGTTCAGCGACGAAGCTCATTTCTGGTTGAATGGGTACGTAACAAGCAAAATTGCCGCATCTGGAGTGAAGACCAGCCAGAAGCATTGCAAGAGCTACCAATGCATCCCGAAAAAATCACTGTTTGGTGTGGATTATGGGCCGGTGGCATCATCGGGCCGTACTTCTTCAAAGACGACAATGGCCGGAACGTAACTGAATGGCGAGCGCTACAGTTCGATGATAACAAACTTTTTTTGCCCAAAATGGAAAAGCTGGACTTGGCTGGCATGTGGTTTCAACAAGACGGTGCCAAATGCCACACCGCACACGAAACAATGGCCCTATTGAGAGGCGAGTTCGGTGAACAGTTTATCTCACGTTTGGGGTCCGTCAATTGGCCGCCTAGATCGTGTGATATAACGCCGTTGGACTATTTCTTGTGGGGCCATGTTAAGGCTAATGTCTACAGGAATAAACCAGCAACGATTGACGCACTGGAAGCCAATATTGAAGCATTTATTCGTGAGATACCGGTCGATATGTTGGAGAGAGTGTGCCAAAATTGGACCTTGCGCATGGGCCATCTAAAGCGGAGCCGCGGCCAACATTTACATGAAATAATCTTTAAACATTAAATTATATCGACTGTTCTATCGAATCAAATTTTTTGTGTATTTTTATGAAAATCAAATCCTATACCTCTTAAAAAATCACCCGTTAGTAAACAACTCAAGAATAAAAATATAAAGCACTACTAAGCAACGAGCCAAGGGTGCTGAAGGCGACCCTTCACGCGTTCATACAAAGGTTGCGTCTACAAGTAAGGAAACGCAGAATTCGTTTCAACTTTTAATAAAAACCCCCTTAGAAATATATAGATACAAAGGCAACACCAATATATCGAATTTCACAGTACACCTCATATCACACATAAAACTACTTCAATCATACTATTTTTTGCTGTGAACCCTTTCTTAAAGGTGTGTATACTGGATATAAATTTCATAGGTCAACACATTGCTCCTTTTCAAATGATACCGCATAATAGACGTCCATTGCATGCACAACAATATGCATATGCAAAATGGTAAGATGCAATGACTGGGGGTCAAGCCGAAAGCTCTGCCCTAAAATGCTATATTAAACTCAAAAAGTCCTTTAGAACTCATTTATTTATAATAAATGGCCTTTAAAACCATAAAACAAGTTGAAGAGATTATTTTTTCACTTCTAATGTCACCGAGTATATATTTAATTCCAGTTGAATTATGAGGTTTCTGAAATGATTAATTCAGTTATGTTAATATCCATCCTGCAATTGGTTTTTAAATCATACATTTGAACAATCACGTTTTCAACAGGAAAATTCATGGGCTCCGGCGTGCATGAGGATAAAGGAAAAGTAACATCCAGCTTGATGGAATTGCGTGACGTTTTTAAGAAATCTAACAACGTCAAAAAACAAGATATGTCTGAGGCCGAATTTGATACATTATTGGATCGTTCGGAGCTCTACGAAATGATGGAAAGAAAATAGGGAAAGTACCTGCCTTGTTATGTTATTTGAAGCTATGATCGAAAAATACAAACGTTTTATTTTGTTCCGATTCAATCGTTGATATGTATAAGGATTAAACGTTTGAGACATCTCACTATTGCCTTTGACCTTCCGTTGTTTATATTTTAATGAGATTCATTGGTAGAAACATCACAAGCTTCAAGTATTATTATCTTATGTTTGTATATGTGATACTTTTACTTTTCTCAGTATTCCTTTTGTTGTTATATATCCACTTTTGTCTTACTATCATCGAAAGTGCCTTGACAATTTGTGATAAAGTATTCTTGTTGCCATAATCTACTTAGTCACAAATAAAATAGAACGTTAGTCATCATTAATTTTCTAAGTTTGTTGTAGTTGATTTTCCTTATGGCAGAGTCATTGCTTATCCTTATTCTGAAACTTACAGGTTTTAGCTTACATTTCTTTTCCAGCTTGTTGACTATTACTGCTTTTATTCTACAAAACTTGAATACATAGTTTTGAGGGCATTATAAGCAGTCATTTTCAAATAAATCAGCGCAAAATGCAAAAAATCCCCTCAATTATTACCTTACGTGGAGATACGACAAAAAAGGATGAACCGGCATTGTAAAAATAATCCGTGAAGTATAAAAAGCAGTAATTTGTTGACAATTCTGAATCCTAAGGAGGAACCGCTTATAATAATACCCAGTAAAAAAAATATTTTACACATCCCAGTCAAAATGGTTTTATTTAAAGGTAAAATTATGCAGTTAGTAAGATGTGAATAAATTTTGAAGTGGAATATCAGTTGTATCGCTGGATCTCCCTAATAACGTTCTGGTCTACCCCGATGCCGTCGCTGAGTCTTTGGGGAGTGCTTTTGAAGCGGCGACTTATGTTTTTCCAATCTAGCTGTACTTAGTTCTGAAGAGGTGTGGAAGATGAAATAAAGAGGTTAATTTCTTTGAATCATGTCCCGCATCTAATGAATAGCAAGCCAAACGTGTTTCTCCGCGACCCCTTCTGTCTGTGCCCATTATGTTTTCCTAAATAGAACCGAAGCGCGCGTATCTAAAAACATTGTTATACTTTTCATTATCCCAATTTTTTGGTCTGAATTCGGCTAGCTAGTTTGGGATGAGATACTTCAAGAAGACGAATCACCTCCTCAGAAGCATACCCTGAGGACTGGGCGAATGTACAGGGTGAGGCAGAAATGATGACCCGGTTTAGAAAAACTGAATAACTTATAGACTTAAAATCTTTTCATTATGATTTGTATGTAATTCCTTTTTTTATTTAGTTTTGAATACAACTTCATCAAGATGGTGGCCCTCAGCAGCAATACACTGATGAAGTCTATTTATGAGGTTTTGAGCTACTTTTCTAAACATTTCTGGGGATGTGGTGGATGTTTTCTCAACAATTCTGGTCATCTAAAGTGTGGGGGAGATGCTTCAAAACTTTCTCCTTCAAATAAACCCACAGAAAAAAGTCGCACATGCAACCCCAGAGGGGTGAAAGTGGGTCTCGTCGCTGCTGGAAAAAGTTGATGTTTTGGGGACTCGTTCAAGCATTTCTTGACAACGATTTACACAGTGGATGTAATCATCAGGCACCATGATTTTATAGCGATGGAATGACAGTTCTTCATGCAGAATTTTCGTTAAAGAGCGACCAGACATATCCAAATCAATCGGATGCCTTCAAGGAGAGCGCCTTGGTGACAATTCAATTGCTGCCCTCACAGCCATCATATTTTGACAGATCTGGGTCATCCAGTTGCCTTGGGTCTTGTAGTGGATCCAGTTTCTTCCAATGTACGAGCCCAACCTTTAGTTGTCTTACCGCTAGCGACCGTAACATTACGAGGAATGTTGAAATGTACGCGAATAGCTCCCTGCGTGGCGATGAGGGAGCGGCCATTTTCAAAAAACGTACGCACAGCGAGGCCGAGATGCTCACTTGTCCAAATCATGCCGTCAACTGAAAACAGGACGATGCAACACCCACAATGACACCCCTCCCCACTTCCTACTCCCGCCATAGAACAAGCTATTAGTTTGACAAACCGGTTCATTACTTATGCCTCACCCTGTATATGGCACCAGGGTGACTTAACACATTATCCAGCGATACAGTAAATGTTTTCACTACAAAATGTAATTACGGCTTACGTCTAAGGGCCGTATCGTAAGTCGTTCCTACAATTATAGGACGCCTTTATGACCTTGATTTTCATGGTTTTTCCTGTCCTTCAGAGATGCGATGGTATTTCTAGATTTCTGTTTCTCTATTTTGAGGTTATATCTTCTGTTTGAATTCTAAGATATTTCAGGCTGATAAAACTTGATTTTTATCATCTATTTTATTAGCAAGAGACTTCTTAAGATTCAAAAAGAAAACCTAACCTCACAATAGGATATCGCTCACACGGAACAGTAGAAATCTAGAATTACCCTAACCTTTCTGAAGGAGAGAAAATACTATGGAAATAAAGGAGGCCATAAAGGCGTCCAACAATGTAAGAACGACCGACGATACGGCCCTAACTGTATCTGAAATATTTAAATTAAATTGTTGTTACTGTATGTTCTATTTTCTTTATCACTAAGTATATTACCTATTTACCATTCCACGCTTAACTAGTACCGTAGTATTTACTATTTCCATATGGCTAAAATTTAAATAAGTGTTACTGTAAGTACTCCAAAGAAAGTATTTTTTATCTTGTGCTTTAATTATATATGTTTGATGAATACGGGGACATCCACTTGAGCACAACTGCTTTTAAATTAGGGCATCTTCGTTAAGATATGCTAATAGTCATAAGAAATTCTCAAACGATACATTTGTCATATTTTAGAAAAATATCTCGTTTACGTTTGCAGAAAAGACAAGAGCAATATAGATGGCAGACAGTACTACTCAAAAACTTCTTAATTTCGCTGAAGATAAATTGAATTTTTTTATGAAGAGAATTTCAACAACAAACTTGATTCATAAAAAACAAATTGCGGATTTAAACAGCGAACCTGCGATTTTACTGTCCCCCGTCGTTTTTATCTATCGTAAAGTGGATGCCCCTTACAGTTTTTGTGTTATTTAAACGTTGTTTTTGTTCTGCGTTTTTGAAAACTGTTATAGAATGTTAGGTTAGGTTTTGATTAAGTGTTTTTTAAGCTGTGCTGAAGCTATTGCATTGTTAACTATGCCGATAAACTAAAATGTGGCTTACCAATTTATGAATAAACTATTTTTCTACTTTTCATTTATCAAATTGATTCATTCCTGATGCTCACGCGAACAGATGGAAAGTTTGATCAAATCAAATGGATGAAATGGGGAGGCCAGGATGACCACTGGTGTAGCATCGAATCCCACGTACATCGAGAGTTTTCTGCGCATGCAAACAACATAAAGAGACTTGAGCTTTCTAATCGATCCTGTGCTCGGAGGACCTTCCTATTGCATTGCCCATTGATTGAATAGATTCTGAATTCTGCCAACTAATCAAGAATGATCTTGTTTTAACGTAAATGCAAGTTTATTAGGTAAATACCTAGAACGGTAATGGTCGATTTCGTCAGGTGGTAGTCTAGTGAAATTAACTTTGATCTAGGCTATCCTTTGATCCAACCGACGATATCGACTATTTCCGTTGGAGGTTCTGCTGAAATATACTTGCAAAGTTAATCTCATCCGGCTGTATAAGCTATTCACGAGACTAACTACTCTTATTCGAGCTGTGTGCTAAATATACTAAGTGACATATAAATCCGAACACCCAGTTTAAATGGTTTTATTTTAATAAAAGTTGGTGAATGTATTTATCTTACTGTAAATAACAAGTGAAAAAATTTTCAGCCTTATCAGTTGGACATTCCGGTTTTTATACTGCTTTTTTTTTTAATTCACTAACGCTCTAAAAATGAATATTTCAGCCGCAGTAAAGAATCAACGTTGGCGGATTTTGGTTCTTGACATCCTTTACGATCGGTTACGAAGCCTAGAGTACGGAGACCTTGACGATTTCGTCAACTTAGTGAGTTTGATAGGGGCCGTATAGTGGGACTTTGGGAAGCTGGACTTTCTTTTCGGGAAATTGCAGTTAGAGTTGCAAAGAAGTGTAGACACTGTGGTTAGGTGTTGTCAGGCATGGCTTCGAGAAGGCCGTACGCAAAGAGCAAGGGGCACTGGACGCCGCCGTAGAACAACAGACCGTGAAGATCGCCGCCTAAGATTATTGACCTTAAGGGACCGTTTCTCCACTACCAGGTCCATTGCAAATGAATGGTTTGCAGAACACGGAAGACCTATTGGCATGCGAAGTGTTTACCGACGAATGAGAAGTTTTGGCTTGTTTTCATACCGGCCACACTGGGTCCTCCCTTTAACTCGAGAACACCGACGTAATCGCCTTGAGTGGTGCAGACAACGGTCACTCTGGGATCAGGAATGGAACAGTATTGTCTTTAGTGACGAGTCTCGATTTTGTTTAGGCATGCACGATGGTCATGCCAGGGTTAGGCGACGTGGTTAAAGGAGGAATCCACAGTTTTTTGTTGAAAGACATGTTCATCACACTGTTGGAGTTATGGTTTGGGGTGCTATAGCTTATGGTTCCAGGTCACCTTTAATCTTCATCAGAGGTAACATGAACGCGCAGCGTTATACCCACGAAGTTCTAGAACCCCATCTTTTACCCTATCTTGACACCCTGGCAGAACCAACTTTCCAACAAGATAGTAATGCCCGACCACATATTGCAAGAGTCACAATAGACTTCTTTCAACATAATGATGTCACATTGTTACCATGGCCACCAAGATCTCCCGACTTATCCCCAATTGAGCACGTGTGGGATATGATGGGTAGGAGATTGCTCAATTTGCAACGTCCTCCTCAGACTCTAGAAGCACTTCGAGAGGAGTTGGTGGTTGCCTGGAATGAGATACCACAGGAGGACATTGAAAACCTGATCAGAAGCATGCCTAGGCGCGTTGGAGAATGCGTAGCACATCAGGGTGCATCCACACATTATTAAAGGTCAAAGGGCTTTAAAGCAGTGCAATCATTTAGAAAATTTTATCATTTACTTATTATGCTTCATTAAGTAGGTACTTATACAAAATTTTATTGAAATAAAACCATTTAAACTGGGTGTTCGGATTTATATGTCACTTAGTATAATAAACTTTTTTGACAGGAGAAAGCTTTTATCTCAGGCAGTATTGTTCTGCTGGCCCTTCCTGTCCGAAGTGTGAGATTCTCCAGAAATGGCATACTCACTAAAATGTCTTTAGTGACTTTTAGCAAAGAATTCAGCGGCGACCTTGAATTTCACCTTGACCTCCAAGGTTAATTCATGGTCAACTTTATTTTTTTTCAAATAGAACCCCTGATTTTGATGCCGACAGCCGAAAGAACAAGATTTTACGTTAAAACACAATTAAAGTTCAAGGTCACGACGGCTACTAAAGGTCAAATGAAGATCAAAGTTCTGCTGCTAGGAAAACCTATATAAATCTCACAGGATAAGTGATGAAAATGACTATCAAGGTCAGATTTTTGGTAAATTTTAACGATCTTGGATTTGACCTTGATCCTCACCTTCAACTTCATTTTTTTAGTGCAAATCCCCGTTCAAATACGAATTGAAGACCAATATCATGCTGACCACTTAACGTCAAATGCGTATTGCTAGAAAAAACACTATGAATCTTACAGGATTAGTGATGAAAATAAGAATCAAGGTCAATTCTTTAGTAAATTTTGAGTGATCTTGGATTTGACCTTAAACTACCCCTTCATGGTCAAGTTTGTTTCAAACAGAAACACGCAGGAACAGAACTAGTTAAAAATCAGATGTAACGAGCACCGCAGTTCCCTCGTTAAAACTTACCCAAAGTCAACTTAATTTTTTTGATGAAAACCCCTATTTTAAACTAAGTGACATATAAATCCGAACGCCCAGTTTAAATGGTTTTATTTCCATAAAATTTTGTATAAGTACTTGATGAAGCATAATAAGTAAATGATAAAAATTTCAAAATGATTGCACTGCTTTAAAGCCCTTTGACCTTTAATAATGTGTGGATGCACCCTGATGTGCTACGCATTCTCCAACGCGCCTAGGCATGCTTCTGATCAGGTGGTCAATGTCCTCCTGTGGTATCTCATTCAAGGCAACCACCAACTCCTCTCGAAGTGCTTCTAGAGTCTGAGGAGGACGTTGCAAATTGAGCAAACTCCTACCCATCATATCCCACACGTGCTCAATTGGGGAAGAGTCGGGAGATCTTGGTGGCCATGGTAACAATGTGACATCATTATGTTGAAAGAAGTCTATTGTGACTCTTGCAACATGTGGTCGGGCATTATCTTGTTGGAAAGTTGGAGCTGCCAGGGTGTCAAGATAGGGTAAAAGATGGGGTTCTAGAACTTCGTGGATATAACGCTGCGCGTTCATGTTACCTCTGATGAAGATTAAAGGTGACCTGCAACCAAAAGCTATAGCACCCCAAACCATAACTCCCACAGTGTGATGAACAAGTCTTTCAACAAAAAACTGTGGATTCCTCCTTTCACCACGTCGCCTTCTAACCCTGGCACGACCATCGTGCATGCCTAAACAAAATCGAGACTCGTCACTAAAGACAATACTGTTCCATTCCTGATCCCAGAGTGACCGTTGTCTGCACCACTCAAGGCGATTACGTCGGTGTTCTCGAGTTAAAGGGAGGACCCAGTGTGGCCGGTATGAAAACATTCTCTTTAGTGACGAGTCTCGATTTTGTTTAGGCATGCACGATGGTCGTGCCAGGGTTAGAAGGTGACGTGGTGAAAGGAGGAATCCAGTTTTTTGTTGAAAGACATGTTCATCACACTGTTGCGAGTTATGGTTTGGGGTGCTATAGCTTATGGTTCCAGGTCACCTTTAATCTTCATCAGAGGTAACATGAACGCGCAGCGTTATATCCACGAAGTTCTAGAACCCCATCTTTTACCCTATCTTGACACCCTGGCAGATCCAACTTTCCAACAAGATAATGCCCGACCACATGTTGCAAGAGTCACAATATACTTCTTTCAACATAATGATGTCACATTGTTACCATGGCCACCAAGATCTCCCGACTTATCCCCAATTGAGCACGTGTGGGATATGATGGGTAGGAGATTGCTCAATTTGCAACGTCCTCCTCAGACTCTAGAAGCACTTCGAGAGGAGTTGGTGGTTGCCTGGAATGAGATACCACAGGAGGACATTGACCACCTGATCAGAAGCATGCCTAGGCGCGTTGGAGAATGCGTAGCAATCAGGGTGCATCCACACATTATTAAAGGTCAAAGGGCTTTAAAGCAGTGCAATCATTTTGAAATTTTTATCATTTACTTATTATGCTTCATTAAGTACTTATACAAAATTGTATTAAAATAAAACCATTTAAACTGGATGTTCGGATTTATATGTCACTTAGTATACATTCGAATATGTATTAAAATCTAAGATCAAGACCGCTGGAAGTCTCCGTCCTTGCTGAAAGTTACTAAAGACCTCATTATGAGCACTGAAATCACCAAGAAGAACTACCTCTGAAGCGGGGTGACTTATGTTCAGGAAGTAGATCTGGACGGCGAGGTATTCGAGTAGGTCATCCCAATTATAGTCCGAGGGAGAGCGATAGAGGCAGCAAATAACTTTGGGAGATGTTCTGGGGTTAAGGCGAACCCACAGAATATCCTTCTGATCTGATTCCAAAGAAACATCTCTGGAGCAGGAAAGACTGCTGCGGACAAAAGCGACAACTCCCCCGTTCTTTCTCAGATTGGAGTGCACCTCGTAATATGGGAAGCTAAGATGGTTAATTGGTGCAGACTCGGAGATTTTTGTCTCCGCCAAGAAACGCATAGCGGGACGATTGGATTGCAGGTAGTGATGAACAGCATCAATGTTGCTGTTAATCCCGCAGATGTTCGTGAATGTGAATTAACACAAAATAAACAATCAAAATCATTCCTTTATTAAGGCGCTTATTTGTATAATCAGGTATCATTATAAAAGTACAATTTTCATTCAATTATTAGCGATTGAAGAATGTGAATGCATTATCCTTGCGGCCAAGCAAGCAAACTGGTGAAAAAGTATAACAAAATATATAATTGCTTAGTTTATATAAACACAAGCTCTTTATTATTCATGATGGATTAAAAGCAAGTAAAATAGGAATATTATCAAATATACAAATTTCTAGGAAATGTGGGCAAGGTGATTAAAAAACAATGACCAGTTTTCTAACAAAAAAAGCTTCATAGGTCCTTAAATGTAGCAGTGCGATGAAAATATATGTGCTACTGTTTGCTTTAAGACATTTTAGTAACAACTACTGCATAAAATTTTCAAATTCAAACATCACTAACTTCATCGTATATCCAAAGCGAAAGCAAAACTTTTTTATAGTGATTTTACCTCAAACATTCAAACCATTTTTTTAGACGAATTGTCTCTTGTCAGTGATATCCAGCCAAAACTTAACAATTAGAAATTACTTATGAACTGAAAATCGATTACCGCAAGTTCAATTCTTCCATCGTTTAGGTAGTCGTAGATTTTGAAAATTGAATCAGTGGTGGCGGAACAACGGACAAAAAAATAAAAATCGCTGGAACATAGTATTACACCGGTCCTAGAAATAATGGCACTCTTTTTTTAAATCACCCTGTATAATGAACTGTGTTGATCACATTTCTTGTCAACTTGAGGCACTATATGGGTGTACTTTTCCTAGAAGCTTTATATGAGGGGTGATTACGTACATTGCAGCGGCATAGATTAAGCATTAGAGTTCGCTTCTCGTTGAAGATCAAACCAGGAACTATAAGGTTGTGCAAGATCCACTTTTCCTAGATCGATGATAACCTGCACAATAATAATTTATATGAATTTAAGAATTTTAAACTTTGCAAGACTTGTAATTTTGAGAATACAGCTTCATTGGCAGTGAACAAGATAGTTGAACAATATAGTAAATGCTGTAGAATAATTGTATTATAAATTATTTTCTTGGAATAGGTACCAAGACTATGAGAAGCCCTTGTTTTTTTGGCAATTTTTGAAATAATGTCTTCATAGTAATCATCAAACTTTAGTTTACTATCAATATACATATATACCTAAATATTATTTCTCCATTTACCCTAACTGTAATAGTATTTTCATTTAGGTATTTCCCTATTAGCATACATTTTGTTTTAGAAGTATTCAATTTTTAGTTTATTTACATTTAAGCAATTTGCGATTTTTGCCAAGTCAGAATTTAGCATTTTTAAAGCAGTGTCTATATTTTTATCTGATATGAATATTAATGTATCATCTGCAAATATCTGAAGTTTACTATGATCTAAAATATCACAAATGTCATTAATGTATAAAATAAATAGTAGTGGTCGTAGTTTACTACCTTGTGGAATACCAACAGAAATATTTTTTGATCTTGATAATGTAGATCCAATTTTGTTTTTTTTGACTTCTCTCAATTAACTAGTTTTGTAGAATGTTGAATACAGATCCTTTAAACTTGTAGTGATGCAATTTTGTAAGTAATGTATCCCTGTCAATAGTCTCAAACGCCCTTTTGAAGTCCAAAAACATATTACTGTATGTTTCCGATTGTCCAAATCTCCTCCAGCCCTCTAAAACCATTTGTGTTGCCGTTTCACTTGAGTGTTTCTTACTGAATCCAGCTTAAAATTTGGTTAAAATGTTATTTCCCTCCATAAATTCGATGATCTGTTCGTAAATAATTTCTTCAAAAACTTTTTCAACATCTGGCAGAACATTTATTGGCCGCATATTGGTGTACAACTCAGAATTCTTAACTTTAGAAACAGGAGTTATGGTAGAACACTTCAGTTTTGTTGGAAATTCGCCATATTTTAAACAGTAATTTATCAGGATTAATATTCCTGCTCCAATAATATCAAAACATTCATTAAGCACACTTTTAGACAAAATCTCACTCTTATTTTGATTTGATTTAATTTTTGATATAATCTTTTTCAGACGATTAATGCTTATTGTTCTAAACTCACTGAATGATGCATTATAGTATGAGCTAATGGGACATTGGTTGGGATCCCCGTCAATAATTGATTTTACAATGTCGTTGATACTTTCTATGAAATAGGTAGTCATTCGATCTGCTATTATTTCTTCATTTGTTATTACCCTATCGTTGAATTTCATTTTAGATAATGTACTTTTTCTAAAAGGAGAAACAATGTATTTCAACATTTTCCACATATGTTTGCTATTATTTGATCAATTTTGGCATTGTAATGGTTTTTTCATTTCGTAGAACTGCTACAGATTGGTTTCTTGATCTTGTGTATTCTAGCCAATCATTTTCACTTCCAGTAATCATAAACTTTTTATACTTGTAGTCTCTTTTTAATTTAGTATTAAGTTAGTTTATTTTTATTATAAACTCAAATAGCTTTACAACGATTGAAGATATGTATAAACTTTATTATACAAAAGTTACTAAAAACTTTATGGAACATTTCCATTTAAAAATCTAAAGTGCAATAGAAACCAAAATTGACGTGTCCGAGCGTTTTTCCCAAAATATACCAGGAGAGTCACAAATCGTGATGCGACCTTTTCGTTGGGCCTCCATGTATATGATAAACATGTCTCACCATTACAAGTGGTCATGAGTTGGAAGGTACAGCATATGACAAAGAGGTTCGAAGAGCAAACATAAAATAAGTAATGCGGTTAGCAGTTGCTTTACCTGGCCTAAGACGTTACCGCTAGAATAGAACACTTGCTTCTGGGTACACACGGTAACTTCTAGCTTTTTACCACCTAAATCTCTTTGATTGATGACGTATTCAAATGCCTCTTCAAAAGCGGGATTACAATTGTCTTTCACAACCTAAAACAAAATGAACAAAACCTTATCGAAACTTTCAGCGTAGATTCTGTTGTTGAAAGACGATAACGGTTACCTGTATAGCCCAGGCTACAGAGAAAAAATAAGCATTTCGTGTGAAAAAGTTTAACAGATACCTGAAAGTTTTTAAAGAAAGAAGGGGGTCTTTCTAATGAAAAATACATAAAAAGATACAGCCAGATATGCGTTGTTTTGTTTAAACAATGGGAAAAGCTCAAAATTCAGTATTTTGCTTGCATAATTTTCAAATTAAATTTTATAAATAATCGGTAACAGGAGATTTATGCAAAAAAATTAATTATTTATTTCAAAATTGTTGTTAAAATTTTTTTAGTTATAAACATTTACAATAACTCTATTTTTCAATATAATTTATTTTAACAAGTTGATCTAGATAGGTGATTAAATACGCACATTTTAAATTCATATCTCCTTTGTTTATAAACATTAAGACTCAAAATGTTCACAGATTTTAATCAAGGATCTTAATTTTATGATCCAATTTATTACCATGGTTTGAATGATATCTTGTTCATTTACTAAATAATTAATAATTTAAAATATAAGAAGTCTTCCCTAATAAATAATATATTCTTTGCTGTTCCTAGAATCAACTAGAGAATAAGAGACAACAAACTCTTTCATTGTTCACCTGTAAGTTGTTTTTCTCTCAATAGAATGATGTATGAGTGTAATAGTTATATACAAAATTTTGATGTGGATCTCCTTTCGACTACTGTGAGACAAATTAAGACTGATTTTAAATTTAAGTAAAACTTCCTTATCTCATTTTATTTGTTTGTTAATCATTTACGTTTAAGGCTGAAACACCAGGCCCATGAGATGACTATAGAGGATATCTATCCTCAAAAATAAGAATTTATTGAAAATGACTGATAATGAAAACCTTTATGATTTTTTTGAACATAGATGAAAGTTTGATGTTGGCCAAGAAATTGAAAATCCAGTTGGAATACAAGAACTTTCCAAAGAGTCTGATGTCGAACAGAAGCTATTACAAATTATGGTAAAGCTACTACTCTGACCAAGCAGCTCAAAAGTTTTGTCGGGAATCAGGGAGATACACAGCCTTTGGAACTTCTTTCTGAATTAGAAATACGATTTCAAGGCGCTATTTTAAAGAAAAAGTGGAGACAACCGACATAGGGTGTTCCTTAATGATATGTGAATATTTAAACTTGTGAATCTACATGAAAAATTAATGTTGGTTTGCTTTATAAACTATGGTTCAAAAATGTTTTCCCTACAAAAACTCGAAGTTTTAGGAAAAAAAATCGAAATTAATTAATATTTTCACATCCGCTTCAGATATTTCACTGATATTTAGTACGTAGTGAAAGTTGATAAAGTTGCATATTTTTCAATGCAAAAATAATGTTTAGCCTGAACAGTGGCGTGCGTACGGGTATTGACTTCGATATTTTTTAAGAAAAAAATGGTACGCCAATAGTTTTTTGCCAAATAAAAATTATTTTTGAATTCCCCATTCAATTTAAAACAAATGATCTCTCTTTAATTGCTTTCCTTCGATGCGCCATTTTTGAGTAAAAAAATAAAAACCGTTCTGTTGTCTAACTTGCAAAATTTTTATTAATTTAATTGGAAAAATTAGACACATTAGGGGTAATGAACAACAACTGACAACATAAACATATCATTAAAACCAACGAAATGATTACAAAAATTGTTGAAAATGGCCCCTTTAACATAGTATGCATCCTTCCGCCCTCCTTCTCATGGAATTGCGCACTCGTTGAAATATCCCTGGAGTGTTTTTTATTCTATCACAAGCTGCAACTATTCTTTCTCTAAATTCCTCTACAGGGTTAATGGGATTTGTGTACATTAGTGTCTTAAGATAGCCCCACAAAAAGAAATCTAAACTGTTGAGGTCTGGGGACCTTGGTGGCCATTCTTGGAGCCCACCGCGGCCAATCCAACGATTTGAATAAACAGTTTGTAAATAATTACGAACCGCTACACTGAAATGCGCTGGTGCACCATCATGCATGTACCACATATCGTTTCTTATTACTAACGGAACATCATCAAGCAGCCGTCCTTCAAGTCGTCCCGGCAAGAAGAATGGGCCAATGAAGTGGTTGCCAATAATTCCTGCCCATACGTTAACCGAAAATTGGTGTTGGAAATGGGTTTCGGTTACGGCATAGGGTTTTTCTTCTGCCCACAAATGATTATTGTGGAAATTCTGAATGGTATTTCAAGAAAAATTAGCTTCGTCCGTGAACAGAATCATTGATTCAAATTGCGGATTTTGTGTAATTTTTTGAAGATACCACTGACAAAAGGTCACACGCCTTGGAAAATCAATGGGAAGAAATGCCTGTACTCTTAAAATATGGCAAGGATATAACAAAAAATCCACTAAAATTCTCTAAACAATTTGATTGCGATCATTTAAGTGTCTAGCGATCTTCCTCGTACTCGTTTCAGGATGCTCTTCGCCTTCGTGCAGCACTGCTTCCTCAATTTCAGGTGTTCTCACACTTAGAGGTCTACCTTCAGATGTTACTTTTCGCACAGAACCAGTTTCAACAAGATGACGATGAATATTAGAAAAGGTTCGACTATCTGGCAAAGCACGATCTCTGGTGATAAATCCGTCTGGCTTTCTCACCATCATCGTCGGCAAGGCCATATACGTAATGCATTTTCGCAATATCTGCATTTGAATAATTCACCATTATTAACAAGATTGTAAAAACTAAATAATGACAAAGATGTCACAGCGAACAGATGTGAATAACAGAGACTTGTCAGATGTCAAAAGCCAGTGACATATTCCAGAGCAACTAGATATTTATTGCTAAATTGCATTCTTCAATTATTACATTAATTTTCTCGGAGATTAGAACGGTTTTTATTTTTTTACTCAAAAATGACGCTTCGAAGGAAAATATTTCAAGAGACATCATTTGTTTTAAATTGAACAGGGAATTCAAAAATAATTTTATTTGGCAAAACACCATTGGCGTATCATTTTTTTTCTTGAAAAATATCGAAGTCAATACGCGTACGGACGCCACTGTTGAAGCTAAAAATTATTTTTGCATTGAAAAATACGCACCTTTATTAACTTTCACTACGTACTAAATATCAGTGAAATATCTGAAGTGGTTCTGAAAATATTAATTAATTTCCATTTTTTTCCTAAAACTGCAACACCCCGAGTTTTTGTAAGGAAACATTTTTTACCATAGTTTATAAAGCAAACTAACATTAATTTTTCATGTAGATACACACCCTTAAATATTCGCATATCATTAAGGAACACAATGTATAAATGTTTGCGTCCTAGAGGTGACTTTTTATTTCATTGTTTTGTTATATATACATACGTTATATATATATACATATATATATATATATATATCTAAAGGAAACAAACCCTTATCGAAGGTTGGAGTCTAGGAAAATGAACCAAAAGTAAGAAGGATTCCCCAAACAGCAATGTTTATGTTTACACGTGCCCACGTCCTCAAGGTTAAAAAATTGATCAATTTATTGGATCGTGTAAAGCGGCTATTATTATATTAAAATCTCCCTTTTTTAAATTGTGGTTAAAAATTTGTTAATCAAACTTGATACTAACCTGAGTTTTCCTTTTTGAATCCTTGGATCGTTCTGGTAGGAGATATAACTTTACATACGGGTCTGGGATGCTTGAGGGATCCTTGTGAGGTAGGTTCCTAAACGAATTTTGAAACAATATTATCTTTAAGAGTTAACCACGAGGTGTCAAAACGAAAATTGAAAGAAGTTTTATGAGCAAACTGGGAAATATATCAAAAATCTGTTTTGGTGGCAACCTTGATACGTTACTAGTGTATATTATAAAATTATTTTAATACAGGGAAATCGAAAACTAGACGTATATATTTTAGTGGGTGATTCCTTGTTAAGAAATATGAAAAGTTTCTATAAACATGGGTCCGAAAATGAGTTTTCAAGATAAATATTTTTTTATTAACATCTTAAAAACCATTTACTCGGTTCTGTTGACATTTGGCAATATGATTTGTTGTGTCAACAGGCTAATTTAGCCCTAAACAGATTAAAATTATTAGGCCAGTGGCGTCCCGGGGGACACCTTAGCGAAGATTGGAAAAAATGTACGTCACTGCCTTTTTTGTAACTTCAATATTATTTGTCGTTTGATTAAGCATCTAAAAATACAACTTCTTTGCCTATATCGAATCTAAAAACCGTTTTATTGGATGTCACTGGAAAAGGTGCGAAACGTTAAACCATTTTTTCAGGTATTTCACTAGATACCTAAATAATTAACAATCGAAACCACATGCTCTAGCTCTATCCACATATGCAATAAAATATAGGGTATTACATTAAAAAAACGCATGTTTTCTATAACAATAAGTTATTTAGCACCCTGTATATATTAAAATAATAAAAAAATGCGCACTATACTACAACTATTTAAAACTGTAATGACTCATACGCGTGATCAACACGTGATCAGAGCTCGATTCCGGCTTCCTTCCAGTACAGCCGTATAGCGTACGATATATGTCGTTTCTGTGGCTTTGCGGTGGTCAACAGCACAGACAGAGATGGAAATAATGGCTGATTGTTCTCCGCCGGTAGAACCAATGAAATCAAAGACGCGCCTCGACCGGCAGACTCATAGGCGTCGGAACGCATTGGAACGTGTCTCGTTGAGCGATCGCATATTGTGTGTTTTTATAAGAATTGTTGTGTGATTGTTATTGTTGTGGTTTCTGTGGTTACTGTTTTGGTTATACTTAACCATGGAGAGTACAAATGGCACGAGTGGAAGTACTGAAAGCCAGGGAACAAGTAGACGGCTTCGTAAAGCACTGAAGAGGGACGCGAAAGAAATCGTGCTCAACGTGTTCAATTATCTGAACAGAACTATGTCGCAGGGAGATGCACTCGCGCGTTGTGAAAGTATGACAGGCGTTTCAGAGTGGACCATTCGCAGGGTGGTGCATGAAAAGAAGGAAACTGGAGCTACTACTGATCCAAAGTTTAATTTGAAGGGACGAAAGGCCGTTAAATTGGATGACGATAGCAAAATGGCGTTAAGGCGAACCGTACATTCATTCTTCTTTAGGAATGAGATACCAACCCTCAAGGCTGTACATGCAGCGATCAAGGAAAATGAAATTAGACCCCAAATGAGCGTCGAGGTAATGAGGAAATCCCTGCACGAAATTAGTTTTCCTTACGAAACGCGTAATCGGAAGTCAGTATTGATAGCGAGACCTGAAATAGTCGCCTGGCGTCGAAAATACCTACGCGAAATGATTGAATATAGGCGACAAAGCAGAAAAATCTATTATTTGGACGAGACATGGGTAAATGCAGGTCACACAGTTAAAAAACCCTGGATAGACAAAAACGTAGTGAGTAACCGACAAGCAAGCATTGAAGGTTTGTCAACAGGTCTTCGTGGACCGTCAGGGAAAGGTCAAAGATTGATCGTAACTCATATTGGTAGCGATAGTGGCTTTTTAGAAGAGTGTGACTTGATTTTCGTCTCTAAGAAAGGAGGTGATTGCCATGACGAAATGAATGCCAGCTGCTTCGAGAGCTGGTTTCAAAGGGTGCTTCAGCGAGTTGAGCCCAACTCTGTGATCGTCATGGATAATGCTTCCTACCATAGTCGTCGATCCGAACGTGTACCGACTATGCGATCTCGAAAAAGTGACATGCAGCAATGGTTGCGCGAAAAAGGAATCCCGTTTGATGATTCATGTGTGAAAGCGGAATTGTATGAAAAAATTAAACAGCACAAACCTGCGAACATTAGTTACGTGACTGATGAGATGGCCCGTCAATGTGGTGTCACTGTGCTGCGGTTACCGCCCTACCACTGTGAACTGAACCCAATAGAGCTCATCTGGGCTCAAGTGAAGGGTTATATTGCGCGCCATAACACAACCTTCAAATTACCAGACGTTAAGGTTTTACTTGAGACTTCCATACAGCTAGTAACGCCCGAAGCTTGGCAGAATGCTATCCGTCATGTTGTGAAGGAAGAAACAAAAATGTGGCAGCTTGACCACCACATCGACACCATCATAGAGCCAGTTATAGTCAATTTCAACGAGGAAAGCGATAGCGACAGTTTATTACTGTCAGATGTAAGTGGAAGCGACGATGAATAAAGGTAATTCCCAAATTTTTGACTTACAATATGTTTCAAACCACTCTTTATTAAGCATGTGACAAATCTAGTTCACCCATGTTAAACATTCATACCCCGCCTATGAACAGCCGACTACTGGTAGTTAAGTGATGTTCACGTGAACATCGATGAGTCATTACAGTTTTAGATAGTTACAGTATAGTAACACCTCAAGGTTGCCACGAAAACAGATTTTTAATATATTTTCCAGTTTGCTCATAAAACTACTTTCCATTTTTGATGGTACAACCTGTATAAGTGATGATAAAATGATAATGGCAAATAGTAAAGGACTAAACACTGACAATTTCCCACAACCACACTACAACTTTGATTTATGCTGAACCTACTTACATTACTTTTTTCACTTCGACGATTAACCTCTGCCTTTCAACGCTGTATTTGAGCGACATGAGAATTCTTCCAAGACCGGCCTCACCGGCTGACCTGAAAATATAAAATATCTTTTCTACAACCATCCTAAAACATTATGTTTCATTGGTCGCAGTCGAGCTTGTAAAATTGACGTTTCCAGATGACCATGACCACAGCAAGTCTTGTATGCTTAGTATTGTAACGGGTTGTCCAATAGGGACGCAGGAAAGTAAACGTCAATTTGACATAGACGCCATCTTTGTTTTCTGTCACCGACATGTCATTTTGTTAGTTGAATTTTTACCATTGATCGTTATGGAGTCGTATTCGATTGAAGACCGCATTAAAGTTATTCAAGAGAACTACAAAAATGGTGCCAAAATAAAAAACACGTTTCGCGCGCTTCGTGAACATTTCGGTCGCAACAACCGCCCAAACGAAACAACCTGAAGGAATGGATATGGACGATGTTTATTTCCAACAAGACGGTGCAACATGCCACACAACCAACGTCAATATCCATCGATTGCAGTCCTTCTTCGGTGATCGCGTGATTTCGCGCAGAGGAAATGTGCCATGGCCACCAAGATCGTGCGATTTGACTCCCTTGGACTTCTTTTTATGGGGATATTTGAAAAGCAAAGTCTACGTCAACAAACCAGTCACCCTCCAAGAACTCAAAAACAACATCATTGCCGAGATAAATGCCATAGAACCGACCATGTTGCAAAATGTCATTGAAAATTTCGAGCATCGCGTGGACGTCTGTAAATCCAGTCGTGGTGAACATTTGAGCGATATTATTTTTCATACATAAATGGTAAAAATGAACCTTCAAAATAAAGTACCCAACTTGATTTGAATATCAATCTTTCTTGTTTTAATATGCGTTTACTTTCCTGCGCACTTAATCCCATAAAAACACGAACTATTGTTAGTAGCCACGATAACATCAGTTGAATTCAAATTTTGCTTGTGCAAAATATGGGCGTGTTTGCTGCTTTAGTATTTCATCTCTCTCTCTTCTCTTTTGCATCAAGTTATTCGAGAAGTATTGAAACGTTCCACAAAGCCGATTACATTGAAAAAATTAAAACATCTGGAGCTTTCATATTACAAAGGTCCAGCCACAAAACATATGGAAAATGGGTCACAGTCGATTTGTCTACAAATTCGGTGTGATATATTTCTTGACTTTCCCAACAAAACTGTACAGTTTGCCTCATTTACAAAATGGTGACAGTGCCTGTGGTAGTTCTCAAACCAGAACGTGGAGAATTAATACACAGGGTGGCGCATCGAAAACGAAATAGACGCATTTACTGCCAGGTCAGTTTTTTTTTCGAAAAACGCTCAGACCCGTCGATTTTGTTTTCGAGGGGGACACAAGTTTGGCAAAAAATCACGTTAACAAATGGAAAGGGGGTCGAGTGATACCTTATTTTAAAGGTCTTTCAATTCCCTTTATAATGATATAAAATTAATGTACTTCAGTTCAGTAGTTTTGAAGATTTATTGATTTAAAGCTTAAAGTAGACTTTAACAGGTACATCAGATTATTTTGTACTACTTTCAGAAGAAATTTGACTAAAAGAATTTACTTAATAAGTAAATGCTTTTCTTCACTACGCCCATGGTTTGTTTATCATTTTGTTGTTGAAAATAGCTATTGGAGCGTTTTTTTGTCGCAAAAAAGTTATTTCTTGAAGAAAGATAAGGACACATCTCGTACTTATTTTAAATAGGAATCTAGTACATAGTTTGCGATTGATCTGACCAAACTTTGTTGCAAAAATAACTTGTAACGCTTTATTACATAAATTAACCATGGTATATTCCACAGCAGAAAGAGTTGAAATTATCGAAATATTTTTCGAAAATAATCAGTGCGCTCATAGAACAGCAGAAATAGTTAACGAGCGACATGAGAACAGTAACGTGCATGGAAAATATGTTCTAGAACTCGTAGCTAAATTTCGGGAAACTGGGTCAGTCGCCAATAAAAAACGCAACATTGAAAATCCCATAAGGAACGAAGCAATAGAAGTGGGGGTTTTAGGGAAAGTTTATGTAGATCCTACGTTAAGTACCCGCAAATTGCAGACTGTGTGTGGTGTTAGTCGGATTCTAAAGGCCCATAGTTTTCATCCGTATAAAATTCACCTGGTACAAGAACTTAATGAAGACGATTTTGATCGGCGATTACAATTTTGTGAAGATATGAGTGAACGAATTATAAAAGATGAACATTTTCTATTCAACACTTGCGTTTCCGACGAATGTTCATTTTTCTTAAATGGCGTAGTAAATCGCATAACTGCCGATATTGGTCCGATTCTAATCCCAGAATTTATCACTAGGTTCATACACAGCAGCCACAAAAATGAAATGTTTGGGCTGGTATTTTTGGCGATCATTTAGTCGGTCCTTTTTTCTTACCTGGAAATTTGACCGGTGAAACGTATTTGGAATTACTGGAAGACGCCATAATTGAAAATCAGAATGATCGGCGGTACATTGCGAATAGGTTGATGTTCCAACAGAATGGTCCCCCACCACATTACGCATTACGTGTTCGACAATATTTTGATCAGACGTTTCCAGATCGATGGATTGGTAGAAGAGCTGCCATTGAATGGCCCCCACGATCGCCAGATTTATCACCTTTGGATTTCTTTATGTGGGGTCATTTAAAAAGAAAAGTCTATGCTACTCAGCCAACATCATAAGAAGACCTGCGACAAAGAATTGTGAATGAGTACCTCCAAATTACTCCTCAAATATTGCAAAATGTGCGGCAAAGTTTTGAGCCAAATCTTTATTATTGCATGGAGAGTGGCCATTTTCAACATTTACTTGCCTAACGGGTCAGTTCATTCTTTATTTTTAAATTACTTTCCTGCCAAATGTATTGATCTCCACTAATGATGATGTATTAGTTTTATTTAAGCTTTAAATCAATAAATCTTCAAAACTACTGAAATGAATTAATTTTATATCATTATAAACGAAATTGAAAGACCTTTAAAATAAGGTATCACTCGACCCCCCTTTCCATTTAAGATTTTGGGGGTGGTGTCACCCCCGCTTAGGGAGCTGCACGTGCTAACGTGATTTTTTGCCAAACTTGAGTCCCCCTCGAAAAAAAAATCGACGGGTCTGAGCGTTTTTTCAAAAAAAAAACTAAGCTGCCAGTAAATGCGTCTATTTCGTTCTTGATGCGCCACCCTGTATTAAAAGAAATATTTTCGTTTTAGGAGGGTTTTTGGAGGTGTCATGGTTGATCGTGACCACGATCGTTATGTCAGTTTCAAGGCAAGTTGGTTTTCGTATGTTTATGGTAAAAAGATCTGGCACGAGTTGCTCGGGAATTCAGAAAACTAAATAGGACAGTGAGCTTTTGTTTGTTTGTTGGATATTTGTGGATAGTAAATTACTCGCGAGCATTATGAATACATTATTTCAAAATTATCAAAAAAAAAACAAATTACTTCTATAGAGTTTCCCATAATCTTGGTTATTCCAAAAAAATTGTGTATAAAACTATAATTCTTCCCCATTTTTTATATTGTTCCACCATCTTGTTTATAGCAAATGAAAACATATTTTCAAAATTACAAATTCTACAAAATAAAGCTATGAGGATCATTTCAAATAAAAACAAATATGCTAGGATTAAGTCTATGTTAGAAGAACTACAGTGGTTGAATGTGAAAAATTTCATACATTATTTAGTTCTCGTTTTCATATTTAAATTAAAAAACCATTCATTATCACCACATTTAGAAAACTTCACAAAATGAAATAGTCATTATCATAACTTCGAAACTAGGGGCAGTATAGATTTTCATCTGCAAAATTGTTATAGTAGCATAACTAGTAAATCTATATTTCAAAAGGGAGTATTTGAATTTAACAAATTGAATAATGATATTAAACAGTGTTGGAATTTAAAAATGTTTAAGGTCAAATTAAAAAAATCACATTATGAATAATCAAAATGCATAGTGATGTGATTTGAATAGACAAAAATGTAAAATTACAGGAAATGGATTGACGAAAAATATGTACCCGAATCATTATACAAGAAAATCTTCAACAAACAAACAAAATGTATTTAGCACTAATGCTACAATGTCAATTTGATATAATTATCCGTTTACATATTTTTTGAATCAATTTCCTGTAATTTTACATTCTTGTCTGTTAGTTAGAGTTTTCTTGTTTTGGTCTGCTTCCGACATTTTGAATAGTATGAGAAAATATTTCGAAGGTAAACCAAACTCCAGTAACATTGAGAGCATGTCAGAAAGCCACATATGCCTAGGGTTCGCATACATCCTCAGGTTACTTTCACGTTACAAAGTTGGTCCGGACTTGATTCCTGTCGATCTATTGAAGATGTGTGCAGCGGTGTCTCTTCTAGATATCGTACGAATCCAGCACCTTCCAGAAAACTGAAAATTTTGTCATCTCCAACAAATCATAAAAAAGGATCTAAGACCGACCCTTACAACTACAGGCCTGTAGCTCTGCTTTCTGTAAGGTGATGAAGAGAGGCATAAATCGCGAGCTTCTAGACTATGTCACGTGCCAAAAATCACGAAACCTTTTTTTTACTATTTTGATCACTTACTAGTAATTTGAATTTCTCTTTATTAATGGTAGAGTGCCCATTCCTAGGCTCTTTTCAATGATTTTCTTTTGGTAAATTTCATAGTTTATTTGTATAATTTCACACGTATTATATATTTCTTTCTCAATGATTCAGTACTGTGTTTGAAAAAAAAACTGTGGTTTTTCTCCGTTATTTGGTTTCCTATCGAACATATCTTCTTTAAGGCCACTCAATGACCCTTCCTTTATGAAGTTAGGTGTTTCGTGTCAGTCTTTTTCCTCCTGAGATTGTGATGTGGGCGCCATTTGTTTAACCTACAGATTCTGGGATATTAGGTGCCGAACACCAGTGAACCACAGAGGACCTCCTAGCTTACGTCAACAGTAAGAAAATTAGTTTCTAGTTGGATACCTCACCTGTTGACTGAAGAGCAGAAAGCAGCCAGGGTTAATTGGTGTCAAAAAACGCATCACCGTTTCAATTTCGGAAACTCAAAAAATGTGTACAGCATTGTTAGTGGTGATGAATCGTGGATTTACTGTTATGAACCAGAAAATAAACGACAGTCGGCTGTTTGGGTGTTCCAAAGTAAAGAAAAGCCAACAAAAGTCATCCGTTCTCGAAGTGTTTCAAGAAAGATGGTTGCGACATTTGTGTCAAAAGCTGGTCATATTGCAACAATTCCTCTTAATGAGCAAATAACTGTTACTGCGGATTGGTATACCACCATTTGTTTGCCAAAAGTCATCACCGATCTTCGAAAAATCAACCCCGAAAGAAGAATCATCCTCTACCAAGACAGTGCAAGCTCGCACACAGCCCAAAAAACAAGGCAGTATTTAATGGAAGAAAACGTAGAATTATTGAACCATCCTCCATATAGTCCCGATCCAAGTCCTAACGATTTCTTTACTTTCCCGAAAATTAAAAACAGACTGCGTGGTCAAAGGTTCCAGTCACCAGAAGAAGCAGTTGACGCATTCAAAGATGCCGTTTTGGATCTGCCAGCAAACGAGTGGAATAATTGCTTCGAAAATTGGTTCGAGCGCATGCAGATGTGGAGAATACTTCGAAAAACAATAAAGTCATATAAAACTACCTACCGTGTTGTTTTATTCCCATATGCGAAACTTAAAAGACATCCCTCGTATTAGTTTAGGGCTAAGAAGTGCTCTTATTCGAATGACCTCCTCACTCTATACGAGGACCAGATAAGACCTAGCCTCAAGTATTGCTCACATTTTGGGCTGCTGCCCCGACTACATTATTATTTATGCTCGATGCTGTCCAGAGAAGGGCTGTCCGACTGGTCGATGACGTCTCTAATATAAATTCGACGGCGAACTATCTCTTTTCTACCGCTACACCGGCGAGCTTTGCTCCTAAGAGCTCTCCTCCATGATGCCGCCTCGCGATGTGCCTGCCAGACAGACCCGCCTGACTTCGACCTCCCATGCTAAACTTTGTACATGCAGAACTGGCCGATAAGACCGTTCCTTTGTCCCGAGGGTGTTGAGAATTCCGTGCACAGCTGCCATTGATTACATCCCAGAGGTGAAGGCATTTTCCAATTTATATCCAAATGATCTAACAAAACAGTGATACCAAGGTATCCTCTATTTTATACTAGTAAGTATCCCAATTGATACGTTTAGAATTCTTGATTTAAAAAGTCGTTTTCATCGCTGAATGTAGAGAATTTTTAGAAGAGTTTTGTAACAAAGGACTCTCGTATGGTAAACCATACAAAAGGAACCTTCTGTAATCTGATTTAACATTTTTTGCAACCTAAACATTTTGTTTAAGGAAAGCATAAGCTTTACATCCAATATAATAATCAGTGTAGATTTAACGTTGGTTGTGTGGCATGTTGCACCGTCTTGTTGGAAATAAACATCGCCCATATCCATTCCTTCAAGTTGCGGCAAAAAAATAGTCCTCTATCATCACGTGATATCGCTCAGAATTGACGGTAACGGCGTCCCCGGCCGCATTTTCGAAAAAGTAAGGTCCGATGATGCCTTTTGACCACAATGCACACCACACAGTCACTTTTTGAGGATGCATCGGCTCCTCTTGATACTCACGGGGATTTTCGTTCGCCCAGATGCGGCAGTTTTGCTTGTTTACCTTCCCATTCAAAGTGAAATGCGCTTCGTCGCTGAACATGATTTTTGATGAAAAATTGGCATCAATTTGGCCGTGTTCAAGGAGCCAATCTGAGAACGTTCGGTGCGAAAAATGGTCGGCCCGACGCAGCTCTTGCGTCAATTGGATCTTGTAGGCGTGTACATTCAAATCCTTGTGGAGAATGCGGAGCAAACTGGTTCTCGAAATGCCCAATTTTTGGGATCGACGCGTTGTTGATTGTTTCGGATCGTCTCTCACACTCTCCTTCACAACAGCAATATTTTCCGGTGTGCGAACGCTCCTTGGCCGGCCAGAGCCTGGCAGATTTGCCACAGAACCTGTTGCCTCGAATTTACGCACCAGACGACCGATGGTTGTTTCATTTGGGCGGTTGTTGCGACCGAAATGTTCACGAAGCGCGCGAAACGTGTTTTTATCTTTGCACCATTTTTGTAGTGCTCTTGAATAACTTTAATGCGGTCTTCAATCGAATACGACTCCATAGCGATCAATGGTAAACATTCAACTAACAAAATGACATGTCGGTGACAGAAAACAAAGATGTCGTCTATGTCAAATTGACGTTTACTTTCCTGCGTCCCTATTGGACAACCCCTTATTAAGAGTAAGACATAAACTTGCCCAGAAGCTAACCTTGTAAAGACCTTGGTCACGATCAACATGACACCTCCCAACACCTTCCTACATTCCTACAACGTGTTTTAAAGAAATACTTCTTTTAGTATACTCGTACTGATTCTCAAAGTTTTTGCTCTGAGAACTACAATCGGCACATTCATCATTTTTTTCAAATCAGACAATCTCTATCTGCCTATTTCTCAGAAACTAATCATAGGATTGCTCTGGTTTCATAGACACTTTTGTTCGGGAAGGCAAGAAATATATCATACTACATTTTTAGATAAATCGCCATTTTCCATATGTTTTGTGCCTAGTCATATCCTTTCAAAAAGTAAAGAATAATAGAACTACAGATGTACGTTTTACGTATACAGGGTGTCCGCAAAGTTGGGGTTTCCCTTTACACGACGTGTAGATCTTGAAAACATAAGCAATTTTTCTTAGTACCATATACAACCGAGATAAAGGGCTCTGCAACATCAAAAATATCTGAATACCGTCCTGTAGCCGCGACTCGCGATATCCCGACTGGTACTAGGACACTAGCTCAACCCGACGACAGAACTGGGTCGGGGGTCGGGGTCAGTGTGTCAGGTCAGTATGCAACCTTCAACCGACGGTTACGGTCACGCGTGTAGAGGTAAACGAACCCGTATAATCGATTGCGTTTCAAAAAACAACAAGCACTAGAGACGTGGCTAGAGAAGTGCAAGTATCAAAAACTAAAGTGTGGCAAACGCTGCGTGAAGAGGGGTTGTATCCGTTTCACGTCCAACGTGTACAAGCCCTTCAACCTGACGATTTTCCAGCAAGAGTGCGGTTTTGTGAGTGGTTGTTGCATCAACATGACAATAATCCGGACTTTTTGAAGTGCATATTGGTGACAGACGAATCTACGTTCACGCGTAATGGGGTGAATAACTTTCGCAACACTCATGTTTGGTCAGTAGAAAATCCGCACGCTGTCCGTCGGGCACATTTTCAACAAACATTTTCGGTGAATGTTTGGGCTGGCATGGTGAACGGTATACTCATTGGACCATTTATTCTCCCAAATCGATTGGACGGGATGCAAAACCTAGACTTTTTACGCATCATTTTGCCTTCCTTGTTAGAAGATGTGCCATTAAGTGTAAGACAATCAATGTGGTTTCTGCACGATGGTCATATTTGTTACCTCTGTTCGTGGTCTACTGGTCTGCACCACCGCCGACGTCTGCTCGGTAGCGCATCAGCTGATTTCATTTTCTGTTGGAGCGGTATGATTTCGGGCAGAGACGTACTTAGCACTTCTCGTCAACTGGAGAGTGAGTACTTTTTTCTTTATTTTTTTTACTTGGTCGCCCTCGTTTCACTACACATTACCTTTGTTATTTCAAGGGTAGTTGTTTCTGAAAAGGAAAACCCCAACTTTGCGGACACCCTGTATAAGCTACCTAGGATATGTTGCGAGACATTGGGCTTTGGGCTAATATCACACCATCAAATGAGTCCGTTGTTGCGTCTTGACATGGACGCTGGTAATTGGAATAACAAAATATTGTACTCACGAGGTTACGCTCTGTGTTCGATGAAGTAACTGAGGAGAGCTTTCGGTTACAGATGCTGTTTCGGACATTACAACGGTTTCTCTGTCTTCCTGCATTTTTTCATCCACTCCTTTAGATTGTTCAACACTATTGGTTCGGCTAACACTTGTCGCTCCTTCTAAAATGAAATGATTAGACTGACCTATTTCGCTCTCAGCACAAACAGCAAGTTTACCTGAGGCAGGTATTGGTTCAAAGGAGTCCATGGAGGAATCATCAGCCTCGTCAGCTAGCATGGCTTCATTTTTTCTTTTCAATATCTGGGAATAAATATGTCAATATAAAAGCAAGCGGATTCCATTGACAGAGAACAGTATACCAAACAACACCAAATAAATTAATAAGGTTGGTTAAAATGACATGATCGGGACAATGACCAATGTCACATTGGCAGGGAAATATCTAGAGCTTTTGGACCCGCTATCTACAACGTTGGAAACTATTTTACATGAGTGTGGTATACAAACCTACGAAGTGGTTTACTAAAGGAACATCAGTTGATTGCTTATGCCGATGACATAGCAATAATAACGAAATCCAAAGCAGAACTGGGTATCAAGTAAAACAAAAGAGTGAATATACAAATCTGTCTGTGAAGCTTGGGTGTTAAGCCAGAAAAGCGTAAAAGGCTGGAACGCTGGGGAAGAAAAATATATGGGGACACCCAGAACAACGATGGTACATGGAGTAGGCGAACTAACAAAGAAATGATGAAGATGTATAACCAACACTGTGTAATAGACAAAGCCCGAGCTTGACGGGTGCGCTAGATAGGGCACGTTTACAGAATGCCGTCTTATAGAAAAGCCAAAAAGGTGCCGATTGGAAAAGTAGAAGAAGTACCAAACTGAGAAGAAAAGTCCTAAAACAGAAAAGCTGGGAAAGAAGTTGTCAAAAAATATAAGCCATGAGGCGGTGAATTATATCATATAGAAGAATCCGAATTCTATATTGCTATTATATGCTTATGTTTTAGTGATCTAAAACCACATTTTCACTTATATCCCCGTATAGTCTAATCATATTAGCAAATTTTCCCGAAATAATTGTAAAGTCTGGTTTTATTCATGAAAAGTTGTTCAAGGGGGTATTCAAAACATGGACGCATAAAATGGGTACACCAATTTTTGTGGGAAAACTTTCTATTTTAGCCCCAAAATTTTTGTACGATTCTATTTTTGAAATTCAATTTTAGAATTTGGAAATTTAGGGTTTTCTACATAAAAGGTACTCTTATTGAATATCGATAAATTGTGCCATTTTTGAATAAAATCAAACTAAAAAATTTGTCACATTATAGGAAATGTACTGCGAATTTAAATGAATTGTTGAATAATTAGCCATGACAACGAAAAAACTAATTTAATAATTGGTAAATATTACATAAATACATATTTCTATTGCAACATAGCTAACATTTAGGCAAAAACAGAAGAAATAATTTTTTTCTACGAACGAAATTGAAATTTGTTTAAAAAAGAAGACATACAGTTGGATATACTTAAAGCTAGCTTTACAGTAAGTGTTCAAATAAATTCCCATTTTGTTGGATACATAGTCTCGCTCGACGAACTAATGATTGCGTAGCCCGAAAAGTGGAAAACCTTTTTCCTTCTTATTTCATTTGCAGCCTGATGGATTCTTTGAAGTAAATCTTCTTGAGTATTTACTTCAGTCGAGTAAACTAGGTCTTTTAATGACCCCCAAAAATAGAAATCCAATGGATTTAGGTCAGGTGAACGTGGCGGCCACGCTATAGGACCTCTTCGGCCTAACCACCTGTCTGGAAAATTGACATTCAACCAATTTCGAAAATTGCGTCCAAAATGTGCAGGAGCGCCATCATGTTGAAAAAACATATTTTCTTGAAACTGCTGGCGCACATCCAATGGTATTATATCCATGAGCTCATTCTGAAGAAAGTTCAGATACACCTCTGAATTAAGACGATTGGGAGGTACAATAGGCCCAATTACTTGATCCCCAATTACTCCTGCCCATAAGTTCAATGAAAATCTATGTTGCGAATAACTTTTGGATTTTCATCTGACCAGTGATGCATGTTATGGAAATTAAAAGCACCATTCCTAGTAAATATTGACTAATCCGACCATAATATTCTCGGAATAGTGTTTTCATTTGCTATCATCCACTGGCAAAACTCGATTCGTGGTAAAAAATCTGCCTCCGTTAAATGCTGCACCCGTTTAAAATGATAAGGATGTAATCCTTGCATTCTTGTCATTCTTCCTATCTAAAATTATTATTTTTAGGATAACTATTCAAATAGGTATTCATAAATTTTTCTTACTATTGATCGAGGTATATCCATAATTTCTGAAACATTTTGTATGCTTATTTGCGGATTATTTTCAAACATATTTAAAGCAATATCCATGATGATTTCTCAGTAGCCTTCCTGAGCCCTGCATGCGCTGAAAACTTCCATGGTTTGACAAATTCCGGTGAATATCAGTAAACATTCGACGTCTAGGTACTATGCGATTGGGAAATCTTCTTTTTTATTCTCTTACGGCTGCCAATGAACTGCCATTGCAAAACCCGTACACAGAATGCATGTCAGTCAGTTCTCTGTCTGTAAATCTTGGCATTTTAAATCGATTTCATAAAAATTTTGATTTTAATCTAGTAATTTGTTTTGATTTTATATTTATTTACTCATATTGTTTATTATCTTTGTACATTGAGTGAATAAACATTATTATTATTATTATTATTATTATTATAATTTTACACTGCTAACAATGTCAGCTTAACGTCAAAATGTCATAACAAATTAAAACAACTTTTGTTTGCAGTCATGGCTAACTCTGTATAATCAATTCATTTAAATTCGCAGTACATTTCCTATCATGTGACAAATTTTTTAGTATGATTTTATTAAAAAAAATGGCACAATTTATCGATATTCAATAAGAGTACCTTTTTTATGTAGAAAACCCTAAATTTTCAAATTCTAAAATTGAATTTCAAAAATAGAATCACACAAAAGTTTTGGGGCTAAAATAACCTGAGTCCGTTCCTGTTACATACGCTTCCAAACAAAACTGTCTAAAATTATTAATATTTTTAAATCCAGCATAAAAAACTAGGCTAGGATACCAAATTTTATGTCTTTATCTCAACACGTTTCGGAAATATTAAGGAAAAACCATCTTCAGAGGAGCCCCTTTAAAAGACGGTAGCGCCCTTAGGGGACGTTTGTCGACCTGTGTTTATATAAACTTTTCTTTCTATTTTAAGCTCTAGAAACCGCTGGTAGAATATTGCACACTTTTTTCGGGACACCCTGTTTATGCACGTTTTTATTTAGCTTGATACTAATCTCATTATTTTAACACATATGTGATTGACTTAGGACCGTACCGTCGGTGTTTCTTACAATTGTAAGACGCCTATGTGGCCTCCTTGATTTTCATAGTTTTTCCTGACCTTGTTCACTTTAGAAACATCAACTCTTGTTTTTAAAAACAAATCTAAATTTGAAACATTAAATATAAATTACAATATCAGACGAAAACAAGATCTTAAATTAGTAATCCCCAAATCAACACTTGTAAAAGAATCAATAATTTATAATGGTCTGAAAATTTACGTGTGTCTTGCTGATGCAAGGAGAAAAGAAAAGAATGAACAATTTAAAGATATTCCGCGAGAACTTTTTAATATATGAACCATATTATACCATGTGTGAGTGCTACAATTCACCTGCTCAAGACTCACATATGTAATTTGTTTGTTTCAGATTTATTTAGCATTAATGCTATAATATCCATAATATCTATATTACACAGTATATCACAAAATATATTATGTCCACTACATATTTTTAAACAAAATTTCACTACTATGAATTCTGCTTTTCCATGAGATATTTTTTCAATTTTTCTTCGAACATTTTCAAACATCTTGATATCATTACTTAATTTATTAAATTCGTACAATCCCTTTTGAAATACTGACTTGCTCGTTACATTGCTACTGCAGTTTTGTCAAAAGTCTGTACTTCCTCTAGTAGAATAACTGTGGCACTCATCGTTCAATACAATAAAATTTTCTAAGTGATTTGGTAGAAGATGATTTTTTAACTTGAATATGAAAATGAAAACCAAGTAGGCTATGAAATTTTGATATTTAACCAATGCAGTTCTTTCAGCATAAAATTTATTCTAGTATATTTATTTTTATTTAAGATGATTCTCATAGCTTTATTTGGTAATATTTGTAATTTTGAAAATAAACGCTTAGCCTATGCGAAATTCTATAAAAGTAATTTATTTTCTTGGATATTTTTGAAATAATATATTCATAGTGTCCTTCAAATTTTAATTTACTGTCTACGTATACGCCCAAATATTTAAATGATTCGATTTTTTCATGATTAATTGTAAGCTTTATCGTATTTTGATATTAGCATATATTTTGTTTTGTTTGTGTTTAGTTTAAGATTATTCACATTTAACCAATTTATTACGTTTTTCATATCATTATTTAAGAGCTCTATTGCAGTTTCAATGTATTTATTTATATATTAATGTATCATCAGCAAATAGTTGAATTTTGCAGTGTTGTAAAATATCAGGAATATCGTTAATATATAAAATAAATAGTAATGGACCTAATTTGCTACCCTGTGGCACATCTACCGAAATGTTTTTAATGTTTGATAATGTATTGCCAATTTTAGTTCTTTGACTTCTATTGATTAAATAATTTTGTAATAAGTTGAATACTGAACCGTGAAATCCACAGCAATGCAATTTCTTTAACAATTACTGTAAACTTTTTTTCAGCCATATTTCGCCTACATTCTTCTACTACCAATTGAATTGCTGTTTCAGTAGAATACTTTTTTCTGAATCCTGCTTGAAATTTTGTCAATATTTTATTTTCATCAATATAGTTTAGTTTTAAGTTAGCTGAGGCATTAAGAATTACTGTATTCTACATACAATAAAGCATATTTATCTATTCACAAAACAATTACCACATACCCTCAAATGAATTGACCAAATCAGCTTGCTCTCTGGTCCAGATTTCAACAAAGCAAACGGCTCTTTGCTGATCTCCATATCCTTATTGGTCAGAATGTTCTTGATTTTATAGATAAGTTGTCCGATCTCGTTGCCCGTTTTGTGATCCATAATAGTCACGAATACGGAGTCATTGTCTGGGCTGACAACGGGGAATGTGAATCCTTGTTCCCACACTGGATGAATTGTTCTCATCAGTACATTAGTTTGTTGTGTTTTGTTGCCTACTTTTATTACTGCGTATGGATCCGGTTTTGTGGACATTCTGGCTTGCTGAAACATTTACACTGATTTAATGCCAATTGAAAAAAAGTATTCTAGCGACGGACGAATGTACTTTTACGCGAGACGGGATATTAAATTTCCATAATACTCACACGTGGGCCCAAGAAAATCCTCATACCATTCGTGAAGATCATTTCCAACAACGTTTTAAAATAAATATTTGGGCGGGTATTCTTGACGATCAGGTAATTGGCTCTTTCGAGTTACCCCCAAAGTTGTCAGGAGAAGGATACCTTAGCTTTCTTGCCAATAACCTACCAGAACTTTTGGAACAGACCTTAGACAACATGTCATTACAACGGAGATAGAATTTGTGGTTTCTTCATGACGGGGCACCACCACACATTTATAGAGGCGTCATTCAGCATTTGAATGAACATTATCCAAATCGCGGGATCGGTCGAAATGCTCCTGATCCTCGAAAATGGCCAGCAAGATCTCCTGACCTCAATCCGATGGATTTCTGGTATTGGGGAGAACTTAAAGGGATGGTTTATGGGGCCGGTCCAATAACAACTGAAGCACAACTTCGCGAAAAAAATTTTAATGCGGCTGAAATAATAAATGTACAACTTCGAGGACCTAGAGCAAGAAGAAACTGGGTTCGTCGTAATGAAGCTTGTGTGGCAAGTGGAGGACGACATTTTGAACACCTTCTTTGAATACAAAAAAGTGCAGTGTGGGTTTTAAACAGAAAAACAATGTATGTATCAAAATTGTTCCCTATTTATAAGTGGATTTTTTTAATACGAAGCACTTTTGCATAGAGGCATGTAGACCATGTCCAATCGACTTATTTTGAATCTAAAAATACGTGGTACTTCTATGTCGACGGAATATCGAGACACGCTGTACATCTCTAGCTGTTTTAAACAAACTTCGAAGTTTAATTCGGACATTAGCGCCAAAGTTGAAATGGTAAGTTATGTTTCATCCCTCAAGTCTTATCATAATGTTTTGACAGCAAAGTAAAAAAAACCTGTATAGTTTTAACCGAATCCAGTGGCGGTAGCGGGAACATTTCGTTATTGACCATTTTGAGGTTTGCAAAACCGTACTGGTAGTATCTTCCAGCATATTCTGATTTCTAACATTTTTCCGATTATTATCTGTCCAAAATAAGAAAACAGAAGAAAATAAGAGTCGGACTTTTACATATCATCTGTCAGATGAACAACGTTAATGTCTGCGGGGATTTCCATGATCTAGCAACCTAGATTATCAAGCAGCTTAGATTAAAACAACAATACTGAATTTATTTGAATGACTGGAATACTTACCGGAAGATTTTTGGCGGAGTCCAAAAATATTGTCAGCAATGCTGTACTTAAGTTTGATGATCTCAACGTTTGTGTTTCAGTTAAAATCTACAATAAAAACAAAACAATGTTAATGCAATGTTCCACTCTAATGCTGCGATATACATGGTACATTTAAATTACCACTAATAATACACACGCATCATAGACAGTATAAATGGCAACAGTGGCAGGTGCGTGCATGCACTGTCCACCTAGCGTCAACTCTCGGCAAGTGACTCGACGTCTTCTCGCTCGCTTTACTAAATCACACACCGCTGGATGAATAATACTAATCTATACCCTATTCGTAGTCCATTTATGCCTCGGAACAACAAAGCTGCAGCACGGCAAAGCGGCAGCCGCCTAAGCGTTGCAATAGCTATTGGTAGAACTCAGGCTGGGGGTGTCGCCCGCATGCCGACGCCGGCAGTTGCTGTTCATATTCGGTGCATACATAGCGTTTATACGTTTAGCATGTCGTCTACGGATAGTAGTAGTAGTAGTAGTAGAAAGATTTATTTAGCACATTTGGCTACATAAACAGAATAATTGTAAACAACTTAGAACTAGTAAATTCAAGCCATATGGTGTATGATGTATAATTGTAGATTTAACAAGTGATTCTCAATTTTACTTTAAATTTTGTCAAAGTTTTCTGGTCTATTATCTCCGAGTATAATTTATTATATTCAATCAACCCTTGATGGAATACAGATTTGTAGCATATGTTATACTTTTTGGTCATTAAATGGAAGTCATCTTTATTTCTGGTATTATGTAAATGATGGTCGACATTTGATGATGTTAAATTAGTTAGACTTGATGGAAATATATTATTTTTTACTTTATAAATGAATATCATTACAAGATATTTGATAACAATTTTTACATTGAGCCATTTTAATTTGCTAAGCATTTGCCTAATTGGAGTATATTTATCTTTATTTAGTATTATTCTCATGCACTTATTTTGTAAAATTTGCAGTCTTTCAAAAATGGAATTATTTGCTAAATATAGAATAGTCGAACAGTACAAGAAATTTGGAAGAATGATGGTATTATAGATAATTTTTCTGCTATATGAACTCAGACATCCAGAAACTCGCGATAAATATCCCACTTTACTACTAATCTTATTTATAACTTTTTCATAATGAATATCCAAAATTAATCGAGAGTCAACAAAAACCCCCAGGTATTTAAAATTTTCCACGAATTCAATATCTTCACAATCAATATTCAGTTGAACATTTGTACATTGTTTTTTTCCGATTAACAAGGCTTTCGTTTTACTTGTATTTAATTTTAGTCTGTTAGATGCTAACCATTTTGAGACAAATTTCAAGTCTTCATTTATATAAGAGATACCAGTCTGAATATTTTTAGTACTTATATAAATCATAGTGTCATCGGCGAAAATCTGAATTTTGCATTTTTTGACTATGGCAGGTAAATCATTTATGTATAAAATAAAAAGAAGTGGTCCCAAGATACTGTCCTGTGGAACACCCAACCTATTTGAGGTTAAGTGGTAGAGTAGCCATGTGGCTAAGCTTCGCCTCAATTCGAAGGTTTCAATAAAGACATTTATTATTATTATTATTATTTTCAATTTTTGATGAAATAGTGTCATTAACTCTTGTAACTTGCATCCTTTTAGACAAATAATTTCTAAACCAATCTAAAACACTTCCTGTTATACCATATGCCTTAAATTTACCTAACAAAATATCTCTATCAATCGTTTCAAATGCCCTCTTCAAATCCAAAAATACTGCTATAACAACTTCTTCTGAGTCTATGGCTCTTCTCCAATTCTGAGTTACCAACTGGAAAGCCGTTTCTGTGGAATATTTTTTTCGAAAGCCTGCTTGCGCCTGCACTAAAATTTTGTTTTCTTCTATAAACTTCATTAATTGGTCTATGCACTATGGACTCTAATAATTTTTCAATGTCTGGTAACACATTTACTGGTCTCATATCGCTGCATCTTTTAGAATTTTTTATTTTGGGAACTGGTGTTATTGTAGAGCATTTCAAATTTTCAGGAAAAGAACTGCTTTTCAGTGAACAATTGATCCAATTTAATACAGGATATCCCAAAATTTCGAAACAGTTTTTCAGCACGTTTTTAGTAGTGATTTCGGCACAGTTGTTATTTGATTTTAAACTGTTTACTTTTTTTCTTAGATAATTCAATGACACGCTGTAAAATTTTGAAAGTGTATGCAACATTTCCCCCTGGAAACTGATTTTCTTATAGTCAGGTGCAGCATTGGCAGTACCCACAATATCAACAATACTTTCCACAAAATATTCATTTAGTTTGTGTGCAATCACCAAAGAATTTGTTTCGGTACCGTTTTGAATTGGATACATCAGATGAAACTGAAAATATTTCTCCCAATGTTTCCTTCTGCCATGTTTCCTCTTCATTGATGTCCCCTCCCCAAAAGCGTGACAAGAAGGGACATTTGAATATTCAGGCAAAAGAAATTGTCCTCAACGTTTATAAGAGCGAAATTTTTGAGCATCCTGAAATGAGATTTATGATATTGAAAGACATGTGGCAAACAAAACAGGCTTATGTCCTAAGATAATTTTCAACATTGCTAAAGAATATATAAAAAAATGCCTCCATCACACAAGAGGCTGCATTATTACACGAAAGGTTAATAGTGATGAAGACTTACCTACTTTCAAAAGGACCACATTCTATACTTTACTCAAAGAACTTCATTTTGAGTATAGAAAACTGGGCAGAAATAGTATTTTGATGGAGAGCCAAGAGATTATTTAAAATCAATAAAGAAATACCGCGACCAGGGCAGGAAGATTTATTACTTGGATGAAACCTGGATAAATGCAAGACATACAAAACCTAAAGTACGGGCTGATTCTACAATTAAATCAGCAAGACAAGCCTTCTTAGATGGACTAACCACTGGCCTAAAGAATTCGTCAGGTACGTACATCTAACCAATCCGTCATTTGTGTTGTAAGAATGGTGTTAGGTAGACTGAATCTATGAGCCCACGCTGAAAACTTAACAATATCTGGTTGATTTGGAGCCAACACCTATTAAATACTCTGCTTGTATTATTACTAGTTTTCTCGAATACTATATGAAATCATTATTTCCAGGAAAAGGAAAACGATTTGTTATCTATCACATTTAGTAAGCCAGAACATGGATATCTTTGCCCCAGTATTATCATTAATGAATCGGTAGCTGCCAGTAAATTTCCAACAGCTCTTAAACTGGCATCGTTAATTATAATATTTTAAAAGGGTGAATATTGTGATGTTAAAAACTATACGCCAATCGCGCTATTAAGTATTTTCTCGAAAATCATTAAAAAATTGGTTGCAATGAAAATTGAAAATTACTTTCTTAAATTTGCTATTATCACATATGCTCAACATGGCTTCAGGGCAGGCTACTCAAATGAAACAAGCATTATCAAATATGTTCAGTATGTTTGTGATTTAGGTAATTAATAATAATAATAATGTCTTTATTCCTACAAAAGAAAATACAAAACAAGTTGCAAAACCAGTTTTATATGAAAATATACTAAGTGACATATAAATCCGAACACCCAGTTTAAACGGTTTTATTTTAATAAAATTTTGTATAAGTACTTAATGAAGCATAATAAGTAAATGATAAAAATTTCAAAATGATTGCACTGCTTTAAAGCCCTTTGACCTTTAATAATGTGTGGATGCACCCTGATGTGCTACGCATTCTCCAACGCGCCTAGGCATGCTTCTGATCAGGTGGTCAATGTCCTCCTGTGGTATCTCATTCCAGGCAACCACCAACTCCTCTCGATGTGCTTCTAGAGTCTGAGAAGGACGTTGCAAATTGAGCAATCTCCTACCCATCATATCCCACACGTGCTCAATTGGGGATAAGTCGGGAGATCTTGGTGGCCATGGTAACAATGTGACATCATTATGTTGAAAGAAGTCTATTGTGACTCTTGCAACATGTGGTCGGGCATTATCTTGTTGGAAAGTTGGATCTGCCAGGGTGTCAAGATAGGGTAAAAGATGGGGTTCTAGAACTTCGTGGATATAACGCTGCGCGTTCATGTTACCTCTGATGAAGATTAAAGGTGACCTGGAACCATAAGCTATAGCACCCCAAACCATAACTCCAACAGTGTGATGAACATGTCTTTCAACAAAAAACTGTGGATTCCTCCTTTCACCACGTCGCCTTCTAACCCTGGCACGACCATCGTGCATGCCTAAACAAAATCGAGACTAGTCACTAAGGACAATACTGTTCCATTCCTGGTCCCAGAGTGACCGTTGTCTGCACCACTCAAGGCGATTACCTCGGTGTTCTCGAGTTAAAGGGAGGACCCAGTGTGGCCGGTATGAAAACAAGCCAAAACTTCTCATTCGTCGGTAAACACTTCGCATGCCAATAGGTCTTCCGTGTTCTGCAAACCATTCATTTGCAATGGACCTGGTAGTGGAGAAACGGTCCCTTAAGGCCAATAATCTTAGGCGGCGATCTTCACGGTCTGTTGTTCTACGGCGGCGTCCAGTGCCCCTTGCTCTTTGCGTACGACCTTCTCGAAGCCATGCCTGACAACACCTAACCACAGTGTCTACACTTCTTTGCACTCTAACTGCAATTGCCCGAAAAGAAAGTCCAGCTTCCTGAAGTCCCACTATACGGCCCCTATCAAACTCACTAAGTTGACGAAATCGTACAGGTCTCCGTACTCTAGGCATCGTAACCGATCGTAAAGGATGTCAAGAACCAAAATCCGCCAACGTTGATTCTTTACTGCGGCTGAAATATTCATTTTTAGAGCGTTAGTGAATTAAAAAAAAGCAGTATAAAAACCGGAATGTCCAACTGATAAGGCTGAAAATTTTTTCACTTGTTATTTACAGTAAGATAAATACATTCACCAACTTTTATTAAAATAAAACCATTTAAACTGGGTGTTCGGATTTATATGTCACTTAGTATATATGTATGTATAAGCAGTATCAGAGAATGGACCCTAGCGGCTAATTTGATAAATGGTACTATAAAA